AAGGTGGCGATGCAATGTAGGGGCGTGCAAGACGACGAGATGGGGTCTGAGGGCTTCTAGCCAGTGCGTTGTAGGCGAAAGTTTGTGTAGTAGGTGGTCCTGGCTGATGCGGTGACGCAGGGATATGCATCTGAACGGTATCAAGTCGGCGGCGCTTCACAGGACTCTCCGGGGAGTTGGCAGGTGCCGCAGGATCGGCATTTTCGCGCGAGCGTCGTCCGAGGCTCTGGGAAGCGCGGTTCGAAGGGATGTCGTCCCAGGTATCGTGTACGAAGGCCAACGGTACCTCTGACGCTCCTGCGCGCATTTTTTCTCGGTGGGGGCTTTGATGTGTATTTGTGCTGATTTGCCGTGTAAGTGGGAGTCGTGTAGACACGGTTGGATGCATATGCGGTGAAGAAGGCGGGGTGGCATGGTGTATGTGGTCCTCGTGGTTTTCGGGAGCTGGAACTGGGGGGAAGATGCCGGCTTGCGTCGCATAGGGTGGCACGGCAGGGTTGGGTAAGATGCTACGGTTCGGTGCATAAAATTGGAAAGAATTCGCGCGAAAAGCGAACTTCGAGTTCATTGTATAGCTTTAGTGTTCGCAAATGGATGCTTCGAGTCGTTACTTGGTGCGTAGCTAAGCCAGCGGCATTGTGGTGGCATTGTATATTGTCCCTTCTATATTCGGAAGGAAGCCTACTTAAAAGGGATATCCCCGAGGGGCTACAGCCGTGGAAAATAGCATGTGACGCAGAATCGCCTCATTCCGGGTTTCAGGGCGCGTTTGAAAGCAGACGTTCCCCGAACGTCTGCCATGGGAGACTACCGCTGGCTTAGCTACGCACCAAGTAACGACTCGAAGCATCCATTTGCGAACACTAAAGCTATACAATGAACTCGAAGTTCGCTTTTCGCGCGAATTCTTTCCAATTTTATGCACCGAACCGTAGCATCTTACCCAACCCTGCCGTGCCACCCTATGCGACGCAAGCCGGCATCTTCCCCCCAGTTCCAGCTCCCGAAAACCACGAGGACCACATACACCATGCCACCCCGCCTTCTTCACCGCATATGCATCCAACCGTGTCTACACGACTCCCACTTACACGGCAAATCAGCACAAATACACATCAAAGCCCCCACCGAGAAAAAATGCGCGCAGGAGCGTCAGAGGTACCGTTGGCCTTCGTACACGATACCTGGGACGACATCCCTTCGAACCGCGCTTCCCAGAGCCTCGGACGACGCTCGCGCGAAAATGCCGATCCTGCGGCACCTGCCAACTCCCCGGAGAGTCCTGTGAAGCGCCGCCGACTTGATACCGTTCAGATGCATATCCCTGCGTCACCGCATCAGCCAGGACCACCTACTACACAAACTTTCGCCTACAACGCACTGGCTAGAAGCCCTCAGACCCCATCTCGTCGTCTTGCACGCCCCTACATTGCATCGCCACCTTCGAAACCAGCGAAGTCCCGAAAGGTTCCGATTCTGGCAAGGTCGCTAAGAGCGCGCTTGGAGGCGATGGCAAGACGCGATCCTGTCGCGAAAGTGCTCCTCGAGGCCGGCTCGAGGGGATCTGCTCCTCGCCAAGATGTCGTCGTTGACCTAGAGGAAGAAGTGTCAGCGAAGCCCCCAGTCCGTCGCGTCTACCGAGCTCGCCAGCAAAAGCTCGACCTCTTCTTCTGGTTCCTCGAGCATGTCCTTGGCTGGACCTATGGCGAGCTCCTATACTACTCAGGACGCGGCACGGGAAAGGGCATGGCGAGCGACACCCAATATCACAAGGTGTCGCGCTTCTTCTCAGGACAGCTCGACATCGAATACTGCCCTTCCCGCATCCTCGAGATGTGGTTCTCGCACGCGTACGGTGCCGGTTGCTCGGATCCCAACCACCTCTACGCTTTGGAGCCAAAATACACGGACATGCGCGATATGCGCGCTTCACTCACGTCATTTGCTGCTCAGGCGGTAGCGCAGCAATTGGAGCGCGAAGCTGAGGTCGCTATTCGCCCCGAAAACGGACTGTGTGTCACGCTCGGAGAGAGGTCGAAGGCGTCGCAGAGGATTCAATGGCCGGATATTGGGGCTGGCACGGTCCAGCGTGTACGTGAGCAAATAGAGCGCCATCAGCCCTTGCTTTGGGGGATTGTCAGGCGGGTAAGCACGCGGAAGGCGCGGAGCCGCGAGGGGCTGGTTACTGTTCGAAAGCGAAGGCCTGTGGAGAATGTGAGTGCCCTCTTGTTGTGTAAGACGTACCACGGCTCACGCTCAAACCAGGTGGCTACAAATGTTATCAGTACTATGCTATTCTCGCGCTCGGACCGTGCCAACCTGCTTCCCATCGCCTCTGGCATCCTGCACTTTGGCTGTCTCGCGGCCTTCGACCTCTATCGCTACCACAGTCGAATTGGCAACATGCCCGCATACACGACGATCATGCGGGCGATGCGGCGGCTCGCAGAGCACTCCACTGCAGAAGCGCTGGCCTACGGATCAAACCCGTCAACTTTGAACATTCTTCGAGGAGATAATGTTCACAATTACCATCAGCATCGCGACCCCGGCATCGGCTTCGAGAATGAGCTGAAAACGGGCTACTACGGCGCGCTGTACGAAGCGGAAGACTACGTACCGGTCTCAGTGTTCGACATCGAAGAGAAGCGCCGCTATGTTGACCTTGGGAAGCGCCGCGAGGTCAACGTCGACATGCTTGTTGACCTCATTGACTTCAGACACCTGAATACCGTTCTGGCCTTGCAATGGGTTCAGGTTCTAGTTGACTACATCCCCGAGCTCTCGCACCTTTCCGCACCCCTTCGCACAATGCATTCCGAGCTCGCATCGAAGCTTCCGCTCCCGATCCGGAAGACAAAGATACATCCGCTTGGCTGTTGCTCCAAGAACGAGATGTTCTATCCCGAGCTTCGCGACGCCCATCTGGACATGCTGGATCAAATAGGGCAGACGCGGGAGAGGCATGGGACACACCTTGTCGTCACCGGGGGTGATGGTTACACATACCAGCGCCTTCTGGAGATGCTGGATATGCTTCAGTTCGAGGGCAACGTTGTTGACAGCCTCGAGATTATTCTCCCATTCCTTGAGGGCTGGCATCAGGAATTTACAGCCAACAACGAGATCATAGAGACACACTATGGCGAGCCCCTCACCGCGGATTATTCGACTCTTGGCCATAGCGCGGCCAAGCTGGGGCGACGGCGGCCAGCGGACCTGAAGAAGCTCGATTATGCGCAGGGTGCGCAGCTCATGTATCTTGTTCTCGATGCCCGCATGCTGGACTGCTGGAGGTAAGGCTTCATTGTCCGAAACGAGACGTGTACCTGACAATGTATTGCAGACTATCTTTCAAAGCGGACGACATCTTCGAATATTTTCGCGATAAGAAGCGGCTGGGGGCGCTACCGTCACTGCAAGCCCTTTTCGAAGATGCGAAGAAGCTTACCCGAGCGTACATGAGCCTCCGAGAGCATCAAAACATCCTCCGTGGCGATGGCATTGAGGAGCTTGGCATACCTATGGGAGATCGGTGGGATGGCGTCATCGAGGACGATTCCAGCAAGGATTTCAGCTTCATCAACCAGGGAAAACGTGCAGCTCACCTTGGCTCAAAGCGCACGAAGGGGCGGAAGGCCATGGCGCAGCCAGGGCTGCCGAAGAAAGGTGGTGCTGCACCTGAGGGTGATGAACGCGAGGGAGACCTGGCGCTTGCAAATTCACGCACCTTCATGCGCGCCGCTGCGCTCTCACGAGAGAGCATGCGTGCTGCTGCTGCTGGTGATCCTGGGCGCGTGTACGAGGTCACAAAGTACCAGCTATTCCAATTTGCGGGATCCTCGTGCACTAATTACACCGACTACCTCCTCGAGAAGATCATCTCATTCGAGTACGAAAGCAGCCCCGAAATGAAGACCGCTCTCTTGCAGCTCTCGCTTGTCAACCCTTCAGGTCGCGCCAACCACTTCTGCCATGGGGATCTTCTGCAGGAGTACTTCAACCGCTTGCTGGACTCCGTCGCGCAGCATAAAGGTGTCGACTATTCAGATCGCTTCTTGCGCGAGATCTGGTCACGGAACATCTACTACGTTGCCCAACTGAAGATGGAATCAATGCAATCCTTAGGGCTTGAGAAGCGGTCCGAGAAGCACACTCACCCCAGTACAAATCCGGAGATTCGCACGCTTCTTGCGCTTTACCGAGCGCACGAACTTCACTGCTTCCGTGCTGGAAGAGTCCTGGATGGAGCCGAAGACCGAGAGCGATTCAACAGAGGGCTTGACAACCTCCAACGCAGGAAACTGGCGAAGTTTGTGAGCAGGACATCCCGGAAGCGCGGCTGGGCGCGACGACTGGCAAAAGAAAATAGCCCGCAGGACGTAGATGGAGATGCCGGAGGTGCGGGAGAAGAACAGGAGGAGGAGGCGCACCTGGATGATGGAGCTAGCGAGTCTGCGGAGGACGTCGCACAGCCGGTGCGCCCCGGTGTAGCCTTCATTGCATTGAGCAATGATCGCCTCGTCATCCGCCCTGTCGACTTTGATGAAGAGGCGATTGAATTGTTGGAGGAACTGGAGAATTCACGCCGGCTGGTCAGCGAAGATGATGAAGGACCAGGAGATGAAGACCTACCACCCTCAGACGACACTTTGCCCTCCTTTGATGACCCGATGCTCGGGGGTACGGATGACGAGACTGCGTGAGCAGTACGAGTTGGAACTCGTAACTCGTGAGTACAGTCCACCGTATTCAGCTAGCTGCTGCAAAGGCACTTACCATCCTGTGTTTTAGCTGCATTAGAAAGGCCCGTGCCGCGGTGTTGCGCCCTGCTCGTGGTCGTCGACGGTGAGATGCAGAGCATCAACGTGTCCTTCACACGCGGCGGCGATTGAGCGTCGAACCGTGACAAGAAAGATCACGGTCACTCTTACTGGGTTCCCTCGCTCGGTCTGCGACGTATGCCGTGTCCCGCGCTCTTCTGATCTCATTCATCTACGATACACCTTGTTCTCTATCAGATTCTACAATGCCCCTATGTGACTGGTCAGTACCAGAGGCTCAAGTCCCCTTCGAAGAACTCCGGCGCATAGACCGGAGTCAGTGATCGTTCGAAAGCCTCAACCTCCTCCGCTGTCAACGTAAATGGCCTTAACGACAGATCCGTGGCAAGTGCGGCTTGACTTGCTTCGAAGACATCCTTCCGCCTCTTCTCCTGCCTGCGCTCACGCTCCCTCGCTGCCTTCTGCACTTTATCCCGGGCCCGCATATCCTCCAACTCCAGATGAATGGCACGCAGCCTGCCCAAGAGGGAAGTGCAGAACTGCCGGAGCCATCTCGCACCTTTGATGATGGGAGCAAGGGCCGGTGCGTCACGCAGTGCCTGTTCATCAACTTTTCCTGCTCGGTACGCATCCCATAGAGACGACACGGCATCGCAGTCCAATGAGGTCGCCAGAAGCGGGGTAATCTGTTCGATCCGATAGTCGGATAGTATCGTCGCCTCTGATGCGTCCTCCTCAGCAGGTATGCACCCCAAAATCTCCTTCCGCCACTCGGTAAGACGACGAGCGACGTACACACGCATGGCCGGCGTGAGCTTCTTGGTAGGCGGCACGTCTGCCCCCGGATTCGTCGTCTTCGGGGCTGGCGAGTCCAACTGTTGTGTGGGCTCGGTGACACAACCGCTGCAGGTGCACGGTGAGGGGAATCGAGCGCGCGGATGGGTTTGGCAGCTGCGACAGCCACACGGCGCCTCCTCGGGATCATTTTCGTACTGTGCGTCGATTTCCTTCACCTTGCACGCAGCTAGAACGAGGCGGGGGATTGATGTATCAGGCGGCCTCCCATCCTTCCGATCTTGAGATTTCTGTGCGTGCACCGCCGCTATGACCGCCTCGGGTGCAGAGAAGACCTTGGCTGGCACGTAAAGAATCAACCGCGGGTGTGGGACGAGGCGAAGATTCCTGCCAGCCCGCCCACCCTTCTGCCAAGCGTCGTCTATGTCGACGGGATCGAGGACGACAACCGTGTCGATATCTGACACATCTATCCCGACTGAGAGCGCGTCTGTGGTTATCACGACGATTTTCGACGAGGAGATGACGAGGCGGATGGTTTCTGTGTTGAACCCATCGCTATGCAGACGGTTGTACGTGTGGGGGCGGTTCGTATGGGAAGGGTTGGGCCATCTCGACAGTAAGTAGTCCGCAATTTTGCTTCCCATCTTGATGCTTTTACAGAAGACGAGGACCTTGCCAGGAGTATCAACAATCCAGTCGAGATCGGGGAAGGACGTGCTCTGTTCGTTGTGGCGGAAGGGTCGGACGATGACCTTCGTTTCGTAACGCGCGTTCGAGCGTTTTATCGCGTGGAACTCGCCCGCATGAAGCCCGAGGAAGCGACAGACGTCGGTCTGAGGCGATGCGCCTGGCTCGCCCTTGCGCAGCGTTGCTGTGAAGGCCAGAAGCGGGACCCGCTCGGCAAATAGCTGCCGTACGTGTCCGATCTGCTTGTATTCAGTGCGGAACTTCTGACCCCACGCATCTAGCAGGTGTGCTTCATCCACCATGAGCGCAGCTTGGCGGCGCTTGAAGTCCTGCCTGTCCAGCAGTCCGCGACGGACACCCGTTGACACCAGCATCTCCGGGGTCATCAGCAGGACTCGGTGGCACACATCGGCCGCCTCCGTGAATATATCACGGCCCTTTGTCTGCAACTCCTCCTTCCGACTCTTGTTGAGAAGGAAGCAATCGATGTTGTACTTCTTCAGCTTCTTCTCCTGTGCAGATAACGTGAGAACCCCACAGCACGCATAGAAGGACAGAAATACCAGATCCTCCTCTAACGCGATGGTGGGACATATGACCACAATAACCGGGTCTCGCGGCACATCGGCCTGAGGACAGAGCGCGGGATTGGCACGTAGCGCACCGAGGATTATCGCAAGCATATAGATATACCCCGATTTTCCGCTGCCGGTGTACGTGACTGACAGGACACTCACGCGGTCGAGCGCGTACGAGAGGGCTTCAAGTTGGTGGTCATGGGGCTCAATCGCCACAGTGTCCTGGAGTATCTTCTTGATTAAGGCCCGACCTTCTTCGGAGACGAACTTGAAGGGCATTTCCGTGGCGGGTACACTCATATGCCGCTCAGAGGAGCCCAGTGATGTGTTCAAGTTGTATTTACTACCGTATTTGGAAGGGAGCCTGCCTAAACGAGATATCCCCGAGGAGCTTTTACCGCGGGAAAAGTCATGTGCCATCAATTGTCCTCATTCCGGTTTCCCCGCCGCGTTTGATAGCAGACTAAGCCAGCGGCATTGTGGTGGCATTGTATATTGTCCCTTCTATATTCGGAAGGAAGCCTACTTAAAAGGGATATCCCCGAGGGGCTACAGCCGTGGAAAATAGCATGTGACGCAGAATCGCCTCATTCCGGGTTTCAGGGCGCGTTTGAAAGCAGACGTTCCCCGAACGTCTGCCATGGGAGACTAGGACCGTGTACAATTTGAGGCCGAATTCTCCAACACTTACCTCTGCTGGCTCGAGGATTCTACTGCTCATGCCTTCACCGAGTTGTCTCAATCAGCCCGACATTCTGCTCCTCATCTGTGAAGAACTACGGTCTTCGAGCTCTTATGGTTCCTTGGCCGCCTTCGCGGCTGCAAATTCTCTGATCTGCGATGTTGCGTTGGACGTGCTCTGGTCAAAACAAAAGTCGCTGGTCCCTCTCTTGAAAATACTCGTAGACTATCGAATTGTACAGTGGGTCAGGCCACCGACGCTTGTGCGTACAGCCTGATAGCAATGCATAAAATGGCACGACTACTTACTCGTGTTCCAAAGATATTACAGGAAACCATTGATTCGGTGGCATGGGCACGGATGAAAAACTATGCCGCGCGAATAAAGGAGCTCGAGTTGCAAGCACGCTGCGGAGCGCTCTCCATGAAATGTCCCGAGTTATCTCTGGAAGGCCACTTCGAGATCGACATTGAGCGGGCGACTCTCGAAAGGGTGTCAGTGCACGCAGAGCCGACGCCCATCTTCCCTCGCCTCAAAGTCCTTGATTGGACCATGCCGGACCCCGCCCTTCTACCGCTCGTTCCCATGTTATTTTCCCCCTCGATCTCCAAAGTCAAGATACGCTCGATGCATTGCGCTTGGCTGGTCCGTCGCCTGTCGACGTTCTGCCCGCGCCTGACCGAGCTGAGCATATGGGGCAATCTGCTGGAAATCACATTCCCCTTTTCCAATATCCTCACCGATGCGCTGCGCCAATTACAATATCTGGAGTCTGTCGATATTTCCACCATGCGTCCCGACATCCTCTTGCTCGTGGATCAGTTACCGTCCTTGCGGTCGCTCGAATTCACCCTCGGTATACAATTTACGACTTATGTGGATGGGAGGCCCCCGCCGTCGCGGCTTGCCTTGACGAGACACGTGCCACACGTTACTATCAACTTGGAGAACCCGGTCAGCTTGGATAGGTTCTTTCGCATTGTGCATCGTCCGCTGAAGATCACGGCCTTCGACGTCCGTTGCCACGAGGACAGCAATTGCGGGACTTTCGATGCTCGCCAACATAACTTGGAGGTCATCGCGCGGTCCCTCGATCCAGCATACGTCCGGCAGATCATCTACTACCACGACTGCGACATCGACCTGGATTGGGGTCCCGTTCCCGCCAAATCCCTCTTGCTGCTCACTCGACATCCGCATCTCACGTTCCTCGGCGTGGATTGCTGGCTCGACGTCGGTGACGCGGATCTCATTGCGCTCGCGCGGGGACTTCCGCTGCTTGAGTTCCTTGTCCTGGACACGCATGCTTCGCGGCTAGCGACGGGGCACCGCGACTACCTCGATCTCGAGGCACGCAATGTGCGCACGACGCTCGCGGTGCTGCCTGCCTTCGCGCACCACTGCCCGAAATTGCGCGGCCTATGCATTCGGCTGCAGGCGGTGAATGTGCCCCAACTTCCCACCAGCTCGGATGAGGCACCTCGAGTGCAGCATCCTGTGCGCCTGTATTTCGCAGAGTCCCCCTTGGAAGATCCAAACGCTGTGGCGCTCTTCCTCAAGCGGGTCTTCGTGCGAGGATGTAGCATCGCATCTCGGCCTCTGCGGGAGGGTATGCACAAACAACATCTAGATCACTTTTGGGAAGACGATGGAGATACCACGAAGGAATGGCCGGTGGGAGAATGGCTAGTTGTGCGTCGGAGGCTGTTGGAACTAGCCGAGGGCGAGGTTTGAGGTGCCAAGCTTCAGGTGTGGATGCTGCTTACGTCGTATAAATTCACGAACTGACCGCTGGGACCTTCTGAGGATGATTTGTAGGCAGCGCCAAGGCTCAGGCTTGTCTACGGGCTGTTTCTGGCTTAGTTCATGAAGTTCAACCGTAGGCACATGAAAGTCTCGTGACACCCGGCCAAGTCACGTTGACCGACGTCGGGCTCGAACTTCTGGTCTAAAAGAGTGGAAGGCAACGCTGTTGGCTAGAAGGCGCCGCCTACACATCATGAGTATACCTTCGTAGTACCTTGCCAGTAAGTATTGAGCTTCGGAGTTCTATGACCCTGCCCCAGCGCCACTGACCACTTGAGTTCTTGACCGAGAAGGCCGCCTATAGAGACGCACGTTCGTTGACGTCTGTTCTGGACTGCGCTGGCCAACTCGCGTGAAGGTGGCGACCAGCCCAGCCGCGCATCACAAGCCCGTCGCGACAGACCAGAACCGACCCCCGCAGGGCCCCTGCCAAGCCTGCGGGGCACGCCGGCAGCCCCCCGCCAAGGCGCGGGGCCGCGCCATTCAGTCAATTGAAACCGCGACGCGCAGCGCAGGCCCTCCCCCGCCCCTCTTTCACCTACGACCACCATACTATCGACCATGTACACCGGGGAGGCCTCTTTGCAAGTGGAGCTGCGCGGCGAGGACCGCTCGTCGCGGGAGGAGATGAGGGCTGCCCAGCAGGGATCGGGCACGGCGCGCCCCCGCGGGGCCATGCTGCCGCCCCGCGCGCTGCTCGTGGCGCTGTCGGTCCTCGCGTGCCCCCAGGCGGCGCGCGCGGATATCTTCGAGGATGAGGATGGGGAGTGGCACATCGGGACGGGCGCGGTCGCGGGGATCATCGTCGGTGAGTGGCGCGCGCGCAGTGATCGAAGCATGTTTGTTGACGAGTGGTCTTTGTCTCGTGTTCCCCTCCCCTCGAACTCTGCGGATCTCGCGTCTATCGACGACTGCCTCGCTCTATCTCCCCTCGTCATGCTTCCCCAACATCCTCGACGCTATCCCCCTCGCTTTTGCTTGCTGCATACCCCATCGCAGGCGCCGTGTTCTTCGTCATTCTCTTTGTTGGTGGTATAATTTACCGCCAGCGCCGGGCACGTCGCGCAGCAGGCGGGCTTCCCTTCACCGGGCAGCCGCCATACGCCTCGCAGGTCCCGGCGCCCTCGCCTCTCTATACCCCACGCGCGGACGGGGGCTTTGGCGGTCATCCGTATCCGCAATCATTTGGGGCGCAGCAATCGCCCGCATTCGGTGCAACCCCGATGTTCGGGGCTCCTCCGATGTACGAGAATGGCGCGTATGGGGGCTACGGGCCGGACAAGTCGGGCGCGTTTGTTTCTGTGAGTTGATTATGTAGCGAGGCGGGTGGCATTGGGTTGGCTGACGTGTTTCTGCTAGGACGCGGGCGTCCCGGGGTCGGCATATCCTCCGGCGGCGCATCTGGCGGTGAGTAGAATCATTACCCTCGTCAAAGTTTTATAGCTAACGATGCTGTTCAGGACAAGTAATCTCATGTTCAGCCAAGTGACGGAGTGCCTGCGACCGAGGGGCACCTGTTAGGCCGGGCGCCTGACCACTTCACCTTCACCCACAACGGTGCCCCCGTGTCTGCCTCCTCCCGTCTTTCATCCTGCTCTCCCTATCTTCTCATGTCCGCTTTCTCGTCTCGCGCATCAATCATCGCTTCACTGCATCGCATCCTCAATCACACACATCATGGTCTTCCCCCCTACCTCGCTACCTCGCTATCCCACACCCTACCCTTCATCCTACTACCCGGACCACGCATCTGACCGCCTGGTGCATACCTCAAATGGACTTGTAAGTATGATTGATCGTATTTTCTACACCTCGCTCTTTCTGCTTCTGCTATCGTATGTTTCGCCTCTGATCTGTCCTTCTTCTCGTCTGGCCATACCCATTTCTTTGACCTCATTTATTGCTCTGCCCTTTCTGACCATCACTGACACCTGCCCTCTCAGGTACTTACGCGCGGTAGCCACTCTTTACTGACACCCAACTGCAAGAACACTGTACTCCTAGTCGCCATCGTCTATACCTGGCGTATCATCGTCGTCTGTTTGGCTTACCCGCGTCGTCTTACTCGTTGGCACATAGCTGCCATTGACGCTTGGGCGTCATCGTCGTACCTGGCGCATCGACCTACACATCGACCTAATTATTTCCGAGTCGTAACTTAACGTACGTGGATGTCTGCCCGCCCTCGGTGGACTTGTGCAAGGGCTGTACAGGTCTGACCGTCGAGCGTGGCTATTGTACTACCACCCGCTGCTGCGACTTACGTGCGTTCCCGTGGTCCGGTGGCGGGTACGCAATGCCAATCGTTGTATTGCTGCTCTGGCGAGCGACCAATTTCTGGAGTGCTGCACCGTACAATACTGACCAGTTCGCAACCTCATTGAATTCTCCACTACACAACTCGCAGATCTACCGACCCCGACAGCCGATCAAGAGGGTTACCCTCCCTCGGATATTTGTCCCTCACAGAAGGCCGACGACCCGGACGACCCTTGACAAGACATGCTTGGCTCGCGCTACCGTTGTCTTTATCGTGCCAAGGATGAATTGTGGCGACTTGGAACTTGCTCGGCATTTTCCGCGGTGGCTTCTCGTCCGATCGACCCTCCTTCCTCCCGATTTGCCTGTTTGCCTGCTTGGCCGAAGATGGCGCCAAGAATCCGTCCTGGCCGAGGCCATTTCTATTCCGTCTTCGAGGGTGCGACGGTCTACCCTTGCACGTCATCGGCTAGCGTTTGCCTGGTCATCTGCCGCGACGACCAAGACTTTTGGAGGGTCTCGACAGTGGCGACTACGACTTGTTGCAATCGAGTTTCTGTCTCTTTCGGGGGGCCGATACGACTAGCTGGATAACGGAGACGGGCAAGTCTTTGCGGACCTCTCGCTAACGGTGATCTGGTATCTTCGAACCGTCACAAAAACCGTCAGAGGATCTGCGATTGAAGTGGACTGAATCCTTGAGCTTGACTCACCCCTCTCGAACGCTGTCGACGACCTCGACCGCGCGCCAAGAGGTATACTTCCGGGACGAGAGTAGCTTGTCATTCAGCGGCGTCCGGCTGGTCTCCCGAGACGTGCGCGGCGTTCCCGAGACGAGCATGTCTTGGACTACATAGGGAGCGTCGGTGGCCCAAGCGTCTCTTCACTGACCGCCATGACCATCATGAACTCATCATTATCATCAACATCTACGACGACGCGGAGGCGGCGCGCACGCTCGTCCGCGCATACAGTGCCCTCGGCGCCCATCACGCATTCACCACCTCCACGCACTATTCTGCCTGTCGCGCAGTCACACCTCACACTGTGGGCGCTCCTATTGACGTGTCCTCCATCCGTGCACGCGCAGTACTTCTACACGAACACCCGACATGAGTTATCGCCAGGAGCTGTCGCGGGGATCGTCGTAGGTGAGCTCCTTTCTTTCCTTCACACAGATCGTCATGCTGAACAGAATCGTTCAGCCGCCGTCCTCGTCGTCCTATTCTTCCTCGGCATGTACCTCTACAGCCGACGGCGCCATCGCCGGGCAGCGCTCGTGCTACAGCGGGTGAATAGCGAGCCGCCGATGGAGGAGACTCAGGCTGCGCCGAGGCTGGTGCATTTTCCGGAGAGGCCGCAGACGGCGCACAGTGTGGTGAGTGACACGAGATATATTTCGCATGGGTGGGAAGCTGACGGTGAACGCAGGGGAAAGGCGGTATATTGAGGTCGTCTGTTTGAGTAGTGACTTCGAATACCTCCCTTTCCTGAAACTTTCTAACCTCATCGTCCTTGTGTACAATGGTTTAACTACCTCTATACTCCTCTCGACTACTTACACGACTTCCAATGTCTCTTGCTATCGCGTTATAGTTGCTCTGCACAATGTATGACACCCGACTACTACCGATTCTACTAGAAAATGAGACTCAGAGACGATAAGCTAAAAGCAATGAAGAGCCAAGCAAACACAGGAGTGAAAGAGCGTAGGATATCTCCCTTCCCCTAACCAGCGTGGCTGTGCCAAGCTGTGGGTCCAGCGCACCGCCACTCGGTGAATAGCCTTTCTTGGAAGTGTTCCCACCCCTGAGCTGGGGGCTGGGTCACTCGCGACGTCATCCAAGACCGGACAAGACAGCCTCACCCCACGGACCTTTATCACGACGCCATGGACGGGCAGTGCAAGTTGCTTCTTGCTTTCCCCCGTCATCTACAACCACCACCTTCGCCTCCAATATCGGCACAACCGCCCAAGCATCATGACCTTCACCGACACACGCACGCTGAGAGCAGCGGCGCTCGGCGCACTGCTGGCGCTCCCGAAGACGGCGAGCGCGCAGTACTACGATCCGTACCGCCGCCGGAGGACGGGGCTGGCGAGGGGGGCGATTGCTGGGATAGCGATTGGTGAGTAGATTTCTCCTGTCCCCCGCCATCCGCCAAACGTACTCTCCCTTCACCGAACATGCTCCACCTTCGCCGCACTTTGTCCCCCTTCACCGAATCTCGCTCCCCCTTCACTAGAACCTTGTCGCTGACGACCCATTCCATCTCACAGCCTGCGCCTGCCTCGCCCTCTTCTGCTTTGTCCTTGCGTTCTTTCTCCGCCGGAGGCGCCTGAGGGCCTTCCAGGCGAGCAGGATCAACCACGTTGAGGCAAGGCCCGTAGCCTTCCAGCCGCCCGCGTCGCAGTGGAACTACCAAGGCCCGCCGCCGAGTCAGCCGAGCTACACCGGAGCCTACGGCACTGGGCAGCCGAACTACCCCGGTCAACCAAGCTACAACGGCTCGGCGCCGTACCAGGCCGAGCAGCCAGGGTACAAGGCATATGAGGCCCCGACGTCACCGCCCCCACCCCCGCCGGCGTATGATACGGCCGCGGGCGCGAAGGACCAGACGTCGTTTGCACCGGTGAGTTCGAGGAAGTTGTGAGGTGTGGAGGGAGTTGAGGCTGATATAAATGTAGCCCCCGGGGTCGCCGCCCGCAGGAAGCTCGTCGCAGTACGCGCCGCCCCCTGGGCCGCCGCCGGCTGCTCATACGACGGTGAGTCAGGACGATTCTAGTCGAGGTCGGCACGGGTGCTTACGCTTCGAAGGGCAAGGACGACGGCAGCTTCATTGGCGGGTTTAGGCGCCCGAACTAGATGCTGCACGAACGCTCCGGTGCATCCTCCCATCATTGCTAAGAGCGCATTCTGCTTGCTTTGACCACCATGAATGAAGAATATAAAGTACCAATACGATGAACGATTTCTGATTCCCCTTCTGCTTTTGCCTGTTTGTAGCCATGGTTCGCATGATACCTTACTCCTCTCTCTTACTGTACCGTATAGCATCGCCTGTTTATTCACGAGTCGACATTGTTACTTTTCCGAAGTTCGATGTGTGCGATGCTGCCTTTTGAGATGTCCGAATGACCATAACGCCGGGCGAGAGCAGGGCAAGAGGCGATGAGCAGGCGGACAAATACGCGCAAATACGAATCGACCAAACAAAGATGAGCAAACAATCCGAGGCGGGCTCGCAGGACGATCTGCTTGTAAGGAGCGCGTCATTGTGGCCTCTCGATGACTTCGTCGAGGCTCATGTGATGCCCGGGAGTGCCTGTGTGCGCCGGAGGTCACGTCGAGTGGAGATGAAGCCGAGGAAAGGATGACGGCTGGGAGATGCTGGCGGTTAGGAGGGGCTGGCGGCTAAGAGAGGGCATTCAATGGCTTCAGGAATGACGCGTTAGTTGCGGGCAAGCAAGGATGCCAAATGTACATAAAGAGGAGTCGTGCATCAGGCAAAGCCATAGTAGAATCCGAGCGCACGCCAAAGGTTTATTGAAGAGGTCGTGCTGCTAGTGTACATTTTCATGAAGATCGCTGGCTCCATGCCGTCGCGTCATTCTACCCTGTGTCTTTACTCTGCAACTGTCATAATGCGCCGCGCGACTACTTTCGTAGCGCAAGGAATAGGTAGTGCGGTCGACTATTCCTGCGCGGTGAAGGGGTTTGCGATTTGCTCTGAGCCGTCGACGGGGCTGACGAGCGTGATTGTGGGTCCCCGGAGGACGGCGAGGCCGAGGCTGCGTTGGTGGGGTTCGGGGACTAAAGAGGAAGGAGAGCGACGGTGTGAGGACGTTCGAAGGTAGGAAGGACGTATGAGAGGGTTGAGTTAGTTGCAGAGAAGGTATGCGACCATGCGGATGGGGAGGGGACGAAGGTCAGAAAGTAAGCAATTTTGATATTAGAAAGCACGCACGCAGTACATCTTCGGTGACCTCGTCCAGAACGAGGTTTAATAGCTGATCGTAGCCCTTGAGGAGACCGGTGACTGGGAGGTACGAAGTTAGACGCCAGTGATTGAGTGAGGCATGAAGAAGCATCATAGTACAAGAAGCAAACGAGTAGTAGGAGATGGAAAGAATTCGACAGAGGGGCCATGGAGTTGCTAAGAAAGGTCTGAACTCACCCTCGCGTCCCCCAGTAAACTTGACGCGTATCCTCTCGTTCACGTACTTCGAGAGATCGAGGATCGCCTCGCGACGAGGCTTGTCACCTCCTGGCGGGGGAGGTCCTCCACCACGTCCACCTCCACGACCGCGGGATGCACCGCCTCCTCTGCCCTGGAAACAGCGTCAGCGATGTGGGGAAGACGTGATTTAGAGGGCGATCGTGTGCGCGACGGGGAGGGGATGGAAAGCGGCATGGATATGAGGTGTGGAGGAAGGGTATGTGTATATGTTTTCAAGAGAGCGATGCAGATAGTCTGGACAGAGAAAATTGAGACATACACGGTCTGCCATTGTACGAGGGATGGGGGAAGAGCGTAAGAGAATGACTTCCTGATTTGGACGACGCCACATGAAGGGTCGTCCGGCCCGGTGAACGTGACGTCGACAAACGCGAGCGCGAGTTGCCGAGTTGAACTTGTCCTGAACGTCGAACGTACTCGATTGCTGCTGTGCTGAAGCCCACTTATATTTTCTTCTCTGAATTATATCTACTACTCTGTGTCTGCTTTCCCCGCGCTGTCGGACAACTAACTATGTGCGGTCGCTTCGCCTTCGCTCGCTCTCGGACGCAGATCCGCCAGAACGTCGCCGAGGACCTTGGCCACGACGTTGACGAGTGGGTTGACGAGGACAATTTTCACCCTCGTTATAACGTTGCTCCGCGAACATACAGCCCCGTCTTGCGCTCAAGGGACAGTTCGCCCTCTTCGTCGAGCAGCGGCGCGTCTGAAGCTGGCGACGCTGCAGGACCTTCACAAGGCTCTACTTCTCATTCTGGCGAGCCTCACTTTATCCTGCACTCTATGCGGTGGGGCGTCGTCCCGCATTGGAGCAAGGAAGACACGTATCAGATGAATACCATCAATGCCCGCGCGGAAAACCTACTCGAGGGTGGTGGCATGTGGGCCAGCCTGAAGGGGAGCAAGCGGTGCATTGTTCCATGTGATGGGTGAGTGATGTAGTTGAGGGGATTGATGTGATGGATAGGGAATTCGCGCGGGAGAGACCGAGCGCGGTACAACGCGTGCTGCTTTGCAGCGCCTGGCTAATGCGCACTGATAGATACTACGAATGGCTCACCAAGTCACCAAAGACAAAGCTTCCACATTTCCTGAAGCATAAGAACAACCATCTCATGTACTTTGCCGGTCTTTGGGACTGTGTGCACCTACCTAGTGCGTATTTCCCCTCTCATCATCTCTTCTCGCTCGTGTACGTCCAACCATCCCTTGGCCCGCGAGCTCTTTAACCAACACGCGCACTCCGACTAACTACCCTAATACAGACTCTCCAACGCCCCTCTATACCTTTAGCATCATCACCACGTCCGCGCCGTCCGCCTACGCCTGGCTCCACGACCGACAACCTGTCATCCTGTCGTCGGCGAAGGAGATTGAGACCTGGTTAAACCCGACGCTAGCGTGGGGCAGTGAGCTGGCGCGCTTGCTTGAGCCGTATAAGGGAGAGGAGCTGGACTGGTGAGCAGTCTGTATCGCTGTTGCTTTCCTTTTTCTCTTCGCCCTCTCTTCATACGTTAACGACCCCCAGCTACCAAGTCCCGCAAGAGGTCGGCAAGGTCGGGAACGAGTCACCGGCATTCGTGCAGCCAATTGCTCAGAGGAAGGATGGGATCAAGGCGATGTTCAAGAAGCAGGTCAAGAAGGCCGATAAGGAGGTGAAGCGAGCGGCGAAGGTCGCAGAGGGAGACAAGCGAGCGCGAACGGTCAAGAAGGAAGAAGACGACGTCGCAAAGGTCGAAAGCGGTATTTCGGACGCTACTTTGCCGCAGGTGAGGGTCGAGCCAAACCATCCGCTGGCCAAGGGCGAGGCGAAGTCACCCGCGGTCAAGCAGGAGGTGAAGTCGCCCCAGAAGCGGAAGCGCAGCTCGAGTCCGACACCGAACTCGCAAGGGTCACAGGCGGCGCCCTCGACGCCGTTGAAGAAGGTCAAGACGTCACCAGCGGCGAGCTCGCCATCACCCAAGGTGTGTCCCTCATTGAGCTGCGTGAATCGCAAAGGATCTGACGGAAGGCGATTGCTAGAAGGGCAAGGGCACGCCAGCGAAGGATAAAGAGATATAACTGCGTTCTTCAAGAAGAAGTGAGGACGGCTGGAAGAATTCGATGCACTCTTGGCGGTTTTTGGGGCTCTAGGTGATGGGCATATTCACCATTTGGACCCCTCTTCCTACATAGTAAGCCACCGAAAATCATGGACGGGGCTTTGACGAAGCTGACATGCTATATTCCAGGTCGCTTATTCCGTTGTATTTCTTGCGCAGAGCGTATATTCAACCAGCAGGCTCATCTTTGCAGACAAGTTTGCAGACGCATCTTGCAGGCGACATCGACCAAGCTGGCAACATGGAAAATGAACAAGGGATGCTACCCTTCGATTTCCCGACGTTGACGGTGACGCGTGCTTCTGGACGCTATGTGGAGTTGATCTTATTCTTACCCTTTCATGCCGACAATAATCGAATGGATGCTGAGCTCACGAGGGCATATACAGCCACACGACAACGTCGGCGCCGCGCCTCACCGATGCTTTTACGGTCATCTTTCAATAGCGCGGCGTACAGTCGCATCACGTTCAGACTGCCATGATGTACACATTTGGAGAGGCATCGCCCCATCTTGACGTCTCACTCACTTTACCAGTATTCAGCCATGGTCACGAAGACGATTAGTACTTTATGGAAGCGAACGCGCTTGTCCACAACGTTATAGCCGGGGAACTAGAACTTGGAGCACGCCATCGTGCCTTTCCAGCGCCCGACGGCTGGACAGGGTGGATCGTCGGTTGGTGGGCGACCCTGTGAGCTGTCACCAATTCTTGGGGTAGAGGTACCACAGTATATAAAACAGCGATCTTTGAGCGTGGAAGGTCAGGACGATATCTTCTTCCTACCTCTACACTGAACGCACATTCACCAGAGGTATCATGTCTCTCAGCTCAATGGACCCCTACGCCAACTTCGAGCAGACGGGCTGGAAGAGCAAGCCCGCTGCTGCGCTCTCTGAGGATGCCCACGCGACGTCACTACCTCCGCTCCCCATGCCTGGAGGCGCACCGGTGAGTTCTCTCGTCCTTGACCACCACTGCCACGATTGAACAAGGCGTACAGGCACCGGACCCGCAGTACGACGTTGTCATCGTAGGCTCTGGTCCGGTCGGATCCACCTACGCGCGCATGCTCGTCGAAGCTGGATACAAAGCCGCGATGTTCGACGTTGGGGAGATGTGGGTAACCTGACTCAATGCTGATCCTCGTTGTTGACGCTGTCCTCTCGTATAGTGACTCCGGAGTGAAGCGAGGCGCTCACAAGAAGAACGTGAGTGTCTGCTCGAAAAAACGGCGACCCCAGACTCAGCCTGCTGCCCCAACAGCTGGTCGAGTATCAGAAGAACATCGACAAGTTTGTCCAGTACGTGCTCGTCATGAGTGACGGGCGCTGAAGTTGCTAACCCAGTCATTTGAACAGCGTTATCCAGGTGTGCATACCATATGCATACGCGTCGAGCGCAGCTGACATCTAGTAGGGGCAGCTGATGCCGGTCTCGGTTCCGGTGAACCAGCTGGTCGTCGACAACCTCGACCCGGGAAGCTGGCAGGCCTCAGCGCACTTTGTCCGCAACAACGCCAATCCAGGTACCATGCTTATCACATGTCGTGCACCGTTCACGATTCGACGCTTTCTCTTCAGGCCAGGATCCCTTCCGCAATCTTAGCGCGCAGGCAGTGACTCGCGTCGTCGGGGGCATGTCCACCCACTGTATGCTACCTGGTACCTCACCTCTATCCTTGAAACTGAGGATTGCCCAGGGACTTGCGCGACTCCTCGATTCCAGAAGGCGGAGCGTCCCATGCTCGTGAAGCCTCCGAAGAACAATAATAAGGCGGACGCGAACGAGGAGGAATGGAAGCGCCTCTACGACAAGGCCGAGGGCTTCATCGGGAAAGGCGATGACCAGTACAAGGAATCCATTCGTCACAATCTCGTGCTCGAGAAACTCAAGCACGACTACTCTGGTCATCGCCAGTTCCAGCAGATCCCTCTGGCCGCTAAGCGCGTGAGCCCGCGATTCGTCGAGTGGAGCTCGGCCCATACCGTCTTCGACCTCGAGGATCGTCCAAACAAGGAGCATCCCAACGAGCACTTCCATCTCTTCCCGGCGGCGATGTGTACCTCGATTGAGCGGAGCTCGGACGACAAGTCGATCGAGGCTATTCGCATCAAGGACCTGCGCGGGAATGGCGATGGGTATAGGATCAAGGCCAAGATCGTCATTCTTGCGGCAGGGGCGGTGCATAACCCTCAGGTAAATGATATTTACTTGCTTTGATGCTGCTCCTTGCTCATCCAATGCCCTCAGATACTCACCAGCTCCGGGTTCGGCAAGCTTGGCGCGCCGAAGAGCGCCGAGACGCCCGCTCGCCTACCCTATCTCGGCAAGTTCATCACGGAGCAGACGCTGGCGTTCTGCCAGACAGTGATGAGTGCCGAGCTCGTCAACCTCGTCAAGTCCGACATGAAGATCTCGGGCACGCCGGGAAAGCCGGACTACAATGTGACCTGGGACCCCAACGACACGAAGAACAAACACGAGAAGTGGTGGAACGACCGCGTGCAGGCTCACATGATGAAGCACCAGGAGGATCCCCTGCCCATTCCCCTCGATGATCCCGGTGAGTGCGCTTACGAGGGCTAATTCGCCTTCGATACCAACGCGCTTGCAGAACCCCAAGTTACGACGCTCTTCAACGACAAGTTTCCCTGGCATACTCAGGTACCGTAGGCATGACGCACGTCATGAAATATGCTGACGATGTTCTGGTAGATCCATCGCGACGCGTTTAGGTACTGCTCTTCCCCACCCGTTCATGGCTGAGGTCACTGATCCATCTGTAGCTACGGAGCCGTTGCTGAGAGCATCGACACTCGCCTCGTCGTGGACTGGCGCTTCTTCGGGCGTACGCATCCGGAGGAGGCCAACCAAATATGGTTCTCAGACAAGATCACGGACCCATATGGGATGCCGCAGCCGACCTTCAACTTCCGCTACCAGTCAGCGAAGAAGCCAGGCGAGTCGGAACTTGAGGCGTCGCGGATGATGGCGTAAGTGCAGATCTATGCACTCTGACCAAGGCAATGCTGACTTGCACCTTCTTAGTGATATGTGCGCCATGTCGTCAAGGGTCGGCGGGTTGTATGTCCACCACTTTGTTGGGACGTTAGCGTGACTCTAACTATTGATCTATAGCCTCCCTGGCTCCAACCCGCAGTGGATGGAGCCCGGGCTCGCGCTTCATCTAGGTGTGCGTATTCTTCCCTCGATTAGCAGGTCCGTGTTGCTCATGAACCACAGGGAACGCATCGCATGGGCTTCGATGAAAAGGCGGACCGTTGCTGCGTCGACACATACTCGAAGGTGTTCGGCTACGGCAACCTCTTCCTCGGTGGCGTCGGGAACATTGGCACGGCATACGCGTCGAACCGTGAGTCCGCCATATCGCTCGTGCGCACGCTGGCTCAACCGCTGGTAGCGACTTTGACTGCCATGGCATTGGCCATTAGGAGCTGCGAGTATATCATCAAGAATATCCCAAAGGGCCCGGCGGGTAGCGAGCAACATGAGGATTGAAGTGTTGGGTGTGACACACCAGCGACTTGTTGTACTATATACTCGAACACGATTGCATTTGTGTGCTAGTTTCTTCCGAATTTATGTTGACAACGGACTTGTTATTGCAAGATATAAGAGTGGGGATTCGATGAAGTGGAGATGTATATGATCACGCAGGCCAGTGACTACCGCCAACAAAAGCGAAATGAATGTACAAACAGTCGTTCGCGAGGGCTATACAGAACTACCGGCACCTCTCCGCGGTCAGAGAGACCTTGCCATCCCGCAAAGGCCAAACTTCGGCAAGACGGTCTCTTTCCCCAGCCGAAGGCGCGCCGTCCAGAGCTGCTTGTAAAGCAGCTTCAACGGCCTTCTTGGTCTCCTCGTACTTGTCTGCCTCGACGAGGCCTTCGCTCTCCGGATTGATGCCAAACCGAGTCAGGATGCCGTCGCAGATGGACTCCGCATGCTGATACGACTGCAGCTCCTCGTCAATCCTCTGCGCCTCGTCCTGCGTAAAGGGAAAGGGGAAAGGGATAGTGGGACCGCCATCCTCGGATTTGCCCACTATTGGTATCCACACATCCCAAACCATCTTCATGCTCCAACGCGCATACAACAGCGCCTCATAGTGCGAGCCCGCAGTGATGGCGGACGAGGGCATTGTGGTCAGCCGCAGGGTGCTTGCACCGCCGTCCAAGGAGTAGAGATCCCTTGCCAGTTGCTCGTCGTGGTGTTGGAGAAACACCTCGTGCGTAAACGCCCGCCACGCGCGGCGCAGGATATGTTGTGCGCGTTCCTGCTCCTCGGGGGAAAGCTTGTCGTAGCTGTCAGCCAGCTTCGGAGGGGTGCCAGGACCGTGCACCACGAGCTCTGTCCCCTCGTCGACCTGGTAGGCCGGTGGTACTCGAAACTGCCGGTAATAAGGGGCGACGACAGATCCCTGCCAGTCGATGATGCCTGAGATAGACGGCTGCTCCCCACTCTCATCGATGATGATGTTGCTTGAGTGTAGGTCTGGATGCCAGAGGGAAACGGCCATACGCAGCGGCGCAATAAAAGGGACCAGCTTCTCGTATTTCGAGATAAGGCCTTGGTATGTGCCATTGGGATCGTCTTCGAGGCCAGCATCTATGCAAGCGCGAGCGCACTTCCCAACAGCATCCATATACGCACGATCGTCGGGCCCTGTGTGTGCAATCAGTTTTACTTTGCTTTGCAACGCCATGGTTCACTTACAAGGTCCCCTGTCGATATTCAGAGCGGATCGCCCGGCGCGCCAAAACTCGCGGTTGATTGTAGGCCCTATGCAGAAGCGTGTGGAGTTGGGAGTCCAGTATTCCTTCTTGCTGTGCAAAGGCCAATCGCGACGAAGATGGTCGGGGACATCATCCTTGTAGTACAGCGCGCCGACGAGGTTGAAACCTCGTTCGCTAAGAATGGACTCGATGGTCACAATGGTGGGTAGAACGCGGATGAAGGGGTCGCTCTCCAATTGCGTATCGGTCTTGTCGTAGTACTGAGAGAGAGGAACCCCTGGAATATTCTCATACATGATATATTCTGTGCCAACTGGCGTGTTTTCGGCGTGAGAGGACCAGGATCGGACCCTTGGCACCGGTATGCCCAGCTCGGTGCGGAGGTAGTCGAGCGTTGCAACCTCGCTCGCCGTGCAAAAATGCTTTGGCCCCGCGACCGGAAAAGGAATCTTGACTATGAACTCCTTTCCATTATCGAACTTCAGGCTCAGAACGCGGTTGAAGGTCCCTTCAAGGGGATGAGGTGTAGCACGGTACAGATCATAGGCCGACTGACCGTCGTGAATCTTCCTCAGAGACGTGCATCGCTTTGCGTTTGCAGACCGCGTTGCTATATCCAAAAGGCCCCTCACGTTGTACGGCACGTAACGAGCAGCAAGTTCTGATGACAACGTCAGACGACTGTCCATGAGCAAATGGTCGAGGGGATGCATACGTTGCTCGTTGTTGTACAACCATCGGTATTTTGTCATCGAAAATAGCTCTTGTTCATCTAGCAGTCTCGCCATGAGTCCAAACAGCTTTACGTGCAATGATACCGTCCATGACGAACCGTATACCGCGGTGTGCGTTCTGCGGAGGGATATGGCAAGATGGCCCTTGCATTTCGATAGCTTCAGTGACGGTGATGCCAACGAGTGAACAATGGTCTTCAGCATGAGTTTTCGCGAAGAGGTATCGCAAGGGACCTCAAGGCAACTTCCTACGCAACACTGGATGGAGGTTCAACCAAAGCCTGTCCACCCACGTGCACCGGATGCAAATGCTTCGGCATATCCCGCGGTGCGGACCCACACTCGTTTTGCAAGGCTTGAGGCACACGAAAACTCCCATATCTTTCTGAAGACAGGATCAGCGCGAGGAAAACGGCATAACGAGCATAGCATTGCACGGCGTTGCGAGGACGTATGTGAATATATACTCCGGTTCGACAGTACACAGTACAATGCGATGGGGGCGCTCCGACGGCAAGGCGTATCGAAATCAAGGTTCAACAACATTTGCCAACGAGATGGCGCCTGGAGTGACGCGGACCGAGCCAGATCGTAAACCGGACAGATATGGATCAGGTCGAACACCGGATGTGCCAGCACGATAGCCAGACACGCGTCAGAGATATTGGCGAGTACCGGTTGCGAGGAGGCAGAAACTCGGGGATGGAGCGCTTGATAAACAAGACGGACGCCTGTTAGGAATGGAGAATCATGCGTTTGGCAAATTCTGGCGATGGATGGGAGGCGAGAGGAGTGGGAGGTGCGGGTGAGGACTTGGAACGAATTTCCGACAGCGTAGCGTATGGATTTAGATAATCAACTTTCGACAAGAGAGATTGGCGAGGAGTGCATGGACGAGGACAGGAAGACGGTGCAAGACCGGCAAGGAGATTTGTGCGCCACGCGACGCGATGGGCGCCCATTGTGGTCGGTACTTTGCTGTTGTGTGGATGCTAGACGCACTTGATAGAGGTCGAAAGGCTGGCAAGCAGGAAGATCTTCGTGGCTGGCAGCGCAGCTCCGCAGACGCTATCGTGCGCGTTCTCCAGCTTGTGCTGCAGGTTGCACGTCGGAGCGCACAGCACTTTCCTCGACGACCGCATTGTCCTTCTTCGGTGGAGGTAGCGAGATATCTATCCGCGCCACCCTCTCCGCAAGCGCTTCGTCTGGTGGCGTGGGTGCGCCGCTCAGAGGCGGCGGACTTGGCAGCAGAGATGAGTGCGGCGATAGGACAGGCGATCGCGGCAGTGAGGAAGGTCCAGACCTCAAGGATATGTTCGACCTCGACGCAGGCGAGTCTGGCCCCGGCACCGGCGATGGTGATCGTGACGAGGAGGCCGCGTAACCCATCGACGATGGTGACGGCGAGCCGAGCAAGGGAGATCCATGACTGGGCGACACCCTGCTCGAGGACGGGATTGGGACGGCCGCCGCGGCCGACAGCGTTGGCGAAGGCGCCATATGCGGACTTTGCGCTCCCAGCTGGGGACTATGGTGCCCCATCTGCGGGCTGCTCCCGATCTGCGGACTGTGCCGTCGCTTCTGGAAGGAGCGCTTGTGCGGCATGCGAGGCGACGAATGCTGCATACGCGGCGACGAGTGCGGTTGTGAGTGCTGGTGCTGGTGCTGGTGAGGCGGCTGATTCGACAGCGCGACGCGATTTCCGTGGGGTCCAAGCCCCGACAGCACCGGCGAGCGCATATTGGGAGATCCGCCGGAATGCATCCTCGGTGGCTTCCCGGACATTGGAGGCGTCGACGGCCCCGCGTACCCGCCCGACAACCCCTGCATCGAGAACTTCGTCGTAAGCGGCGGCGGTGTCATCGTGCCCACTCCCTGCGCGTTCGCTTGGTGATAAGACGCTGGCGTGGGCGTCAGCGGGCCCGGCCCATACGTATGTCGTCGGCCATCCTCTTTCGCGGACCAAGTGAGGTCCGTGGGCGCCTTACGATGGCTCAGCGAGGGCTGTAGGCCCGTGCGCGTCAGCGCGTCGTGGGTGGAGCCGGTGAGAACGTCGTGCGGCGGCGTCGGGTAGGCAAAGTGTGTGTAGTAGGGCGCGACGAGGTGCGGCGAGCCGTGCACGGGGTATATGACAGGCACGGGCGACCGAGGAACGGTCGTCTGATAGAATACAGTTGCCGAATTAGACAGGTCCATTGTGGTACGGAGATTATGCTGTAGGTCCTTCGGTGGTGATACAGGGGAGGGCGGAAGGTTGAGCGTAGATGTGAGGGATATGGGCGAGCCATGCGCCTGAGGCGGCGAGTGGTTCTGCTGCCCGGCCTTGTTGAGAGGGCGTGCGGGCCCTGAGATAGATCTTCGGGCGAACTCCTTCGCGGAGAGCGAGGGTTCCACCGCAGATTGCGGCGCTGGCGAAAAGTCCGTGGGTGCCTTTGCATGGTGGTGCTTGGGACGTCCGCGACCAGAAGCATGGAGGTCGATGAAGGCGTTGGGGCTCATGCCAACTTGAGCGGCGCTCGCCGTTAGTTCTTGCCAGGAGATACGCCTGCCGCCGGCTTCCGAATGTACCGAGTGCACATCAGACTCGGCAGCGTCCGAACGTTCTCCCTCTTCGACTAGCTCGCTGTTCCCCGACGAGTCTTCGTCCCTCTCGCGGGCCGTCATGCTCGACGTCGCGAGCTCTAGTGACTTGCCCAAGGACGTCTCATACAGTTTGTGGTCCGACGGTGGCGCGTCTGGCGGTGGCGGACTCGTCCACTTCGCCCGCTTGGGCGCCATGTGTTCGGGCGGGGGCCGCGGCGACACCTGCGCTGAATTCACAAACCTCGGGCCCGGCGCAAATAGCGGCGGAGGCGAGAAGTTATCCGGCGGCGGCGCACCCTTCGGTCGCAAGTTGCTCCCCACCGTATACGGCGTCTGCGGCGGTACGTTCGGCGGGCGGGCCGGCGGCGCGGAGACAAGGTCCTCGTCCTTGCGCTCTGCGCAGAGCTCGGCTATGGCGACGATGGCGCGGTCTGGGCGCACTTGCAGAATGCGTGATGCGCGCATAAACTCTCCACGGATCTTGTGGCCGCCAGAACGTCGGCATGGGGTGCGGGCAAGATGTATGTCGACTCACTGTGTATAGACCATCCTTGGTCACGCATCTCGCGACATTGAAGTCGGTCTCGAAGGGGTCCTGACGTACGAAGCTGAACATGTGGGGCCTGGAGCAATAGAGTAGGCTTACCTCGATGCAAAGTCTATTCCTCTCGCGCGCATCGTTGACGCGGCCAGGGGAGAGCTGCGATCAAGTCAGAGGAGGGTAGAGCATCTCGTAGCGCTACTGACGTCGTTTTGCCATCCCTTAGCGTCCTTCTTGAGCAATCCCGCCCGAATAGATGCGACGCCGGTATTATAGAGGAAATCCTTGGAGTAGTACCGGAAGAAGTCAATCAGCAGCTCGGCCACGCTCTCCGTGTTTTCCGAGTGCCAACGCTGGCGGAGGACATCGATGTCGTCGAAGAACCTGTGCGAATTAGACATGGATATGGGATAGAACATTTGGCATACCATATGTTCTTGTCGCCTAGATGAGTATCCTCCTGCGGTGATTGTTAGGTACGCGAGAAGCACAGGTGAATGCGGATATGACCTTGGATATTGGGCGAAGAGGGGGCATCTGCTGCAAGTTGGGTAGGACAGCAGGATTCTTAACATGTACTAGGAAAAAGATGACGAGAAGAACATAGCCGTAGGACGACAAGGTGCCCTTGTACGGCGAGTTTATTTTCCTGTCAAACTATCAGAGTTGCTCACGGACAAAATGTGCGATACTCACCGTCGTTTACTCCATACTTTGACTGGGGAACGGTGAGACGCTGTTCAAGCGGTCGAGTGGCGAATTACACTCACGGAAGAGGACGAGGGTGCGAACGCGCGTAGGATCGATCATGGCGTAACACATGAGAAGGCGGGTGTTCTCCAGCGCGAGCCTGTTCTCAAAGCCGATATCGCAGGCAATGCCGAGCGGCAGTCCGGGGGATGGGTCGAGGGAGAGCTTGACGATGGGGATGCGCGCGTGAGGGAGTGGCTTTACGTGAAACTTGGTTTCTGAGGGGAAATATATATGAGCGCCCGGGCGGGGAAGACGACGTCTGCACGCACCCCGTTCGAGTAGATCACCCAGCATCGTTACGAGGTCGGAGGCGGATAGGCGCTCGCCCGAGTCGATCAGGCAGCAGAGGTCCATGTCTATGAGAGCGTCAGATTTGTGCTGAGATCCGCGAGCATCCTCGACGCACCAGAGTTACGCAGGCTGAAGCCGTTCGCGGTGCTCCCGAAGGACAGCAGGCGGCTCTCAGGCTCGATAGTGCGGATCAGCCGCTCCAGCAGCTTGCGGACGTCCTCCTTCACAGACATCTCCTCCGCCGTCGGGAGGAGCTGGATGACGAAGTCGAACAGGCAGTGGGAGAGGTCTGCGAGATACCGCAGCTTGACGTTAGGCCGCGCCGCCGCCACCGCGGCTGGCGGGGACTCGCGGGTGAAGGGGTGACTGTTGGTGTGGGTATAGGCCATCGCGGAAGCCATGTCTACTCGCTGGCTGGCGTTCCCGACACCGGGGCTAGCTGTACGGCGCGCAGGCTGTACGTCGGCGTCGTGGCGGAAGACGGGGAACAATACAAGCCTCGACAACCCTCACGATTCCAATTACGACACCACGTGGGTGACCGCGTGGTTCTCCTTTGATTCTGAACGGTCGTGCGGGGGTTCGCAGGCTTCACCTGTGGTATCCCATGTACCGCTAGATCGAGGATGGTTCACGAGGGAGAAAGCGGAATATCAACTGACGGTAAGGGCATTGTTCTCCCAGGATCTCAGTTGACAGAGCGAAATCGCCGGAGCGGGTATATCTTCCAGGCCTCCCACACGGCACGCCTTCATTACCGCAAGCTCGACATCCATGATATGTCCTATGTCTTTCCAAGTCTATGCAGTGAACATCTCACATCCTGTAACGGCGCAGGACGGCGAGAATTGTACAAAGTCAAACAAACCACGTGATGAGTCCATAAACTGTGACCGCATGCACACAAACACAAACAACCACCTTGTTCCCTACCATCATTATCATCAAAGCTGTTTTGTCTTTCTTTCAGGCGTGCGCTATCTTGGCACTGTGCTTGTTCTATACTTCTTGCGTCTCTGCGAAGTGCTCTCGCGCTTGCAAAGAGCTTTCAGATTTTTCAGCTGCGATCATCATTCACGCTGCCGCTGCAATCCTTACGTTGTAGGCTCGCGCAACTGAGCTGCACGATCGATGTCTGCTAATAACCTGAGGGCTTGCCTCATCCGCCGTACACCGCCCCTGCTACACGGATATATATAGTAGGACCAACAGTCTCGGTGTTCAGAATATTGCTGGACGCTGGCCTACGTTTCTGTTCCTCATACCGTCCTCCAGTACCAAAGATGAGAGGGAGTTGAGGCAGATTGTCTAATTCTACCTTCCTCGCCTTCATTGCATAGCAGGTCGCCTCATTCATCGCAAAACAAAATACGCTGGAGTCACCTCCGCTGACACGCTCATCACGCTGGAATTCGCGGTGGTCAATTCGAAGGACGCGTACTGGATGGCACTATGGATGGCGGTCTGAGTATATGGGAGTGACTGTCGAGGTGCGTGGTGGATTTCCTTGGTAGATTATAGCGCCTGCCACTGCAGTCTTCGCAAATTCTCACCTTTCTTCTCAACCTATCTTGCGCCTTGCCACTGCCTCCATCTATACAGACTTTTGCAGCGTATATATGCAAGCCTGAGCTTGCACGACGAGGAATTTTACGTCCGCATGCGCAGCACAAGAACGAACTCGCGAGCGCGCTGGCGATTGTCCTGTGCGGGAACAGCACAACAGCCAATGCGGTATCAGCCATCCAACTTATGCTGGCTGCGACAAATACTGTGAGCAAGAAAAGGGCGATCGCATGGACCGTCAACAAAAATCGACCGAACAGGCGCTCTCCTGCGGTCGCAAGCCGGTCACAAAATCCACACTTCTATGCTGTCCTAGTCTTTACGTGCTGGCGCTAAAGTAGAAGAGGCTTCTTGTTTCATTCGTCATCGAGACTGTTGGTATGCTTCGCCTGAGACGCACTTCTCTGCAAAGGGCACTCACATCTTGCAGATGGTATCAATCTCTCTGCTTAGATCGACAGGTCAATGTCATAGGGCTCATGCAAGTGGTACGACTTTGTCATTCAAGAGAGACCGATTTTTGTTGCATCTGCTGGTCAGCAATGTACGTTGTTCCCAGGGTCAATGCCAACACGCGTCTATGTTTTCCAGTCAATATTCAATTTGACGATGGCTTTGGCAACTTCTTCAGACAAGAATGGTGAACCGCCTACGAAAATTGTCACTCAGGGCTTTTCTTCATGTTGACCGTCTCAGTCCACATAGGACTGCAACGATGTTGAATAGTCTGAATCTACCGATCGGCAGTATATCAGGTGGCACAATGCGAGTATTCCTTGTCCCATAAGGCTTGAATAGTATGTCACAATTCAGAGATGACCAATTGGCCGCGCGTTTGTTACTGGTACTGTAAGTTAAGTACGAGTCTGCGCGGGCAGTTGAACTGCGCTCACGTGATTTGCGCCCCAAATTGAGGCCACAAACAAAGGAAAACAAAGCCCTTTGCCCAGGTCTGAGCTCGAAGTGCTTTTGTCCGGTTTTCTATAAAAACCTTCCTTATCCTCTTCCCGTCGTCTGCCACACCTTTCCCTTACACTTATTCTGCTTGTGGACTTCAATCACGACCCAAGATGAACGCGACGGATCTTCTCGCCAACACTTTATCGCCAGGTGCGCGAACCGCGTCGCGGGAGATCGCATGTGCTCACTGTGGCCTCTTTCCCCGTACCATTCTGAACAGACACCGCTACGCGTCAGAATGCGACGCAGCAGCTGGAGACCGCTTTCCGGGATAGCTACGTGCGTCGCGAACGGCGCTTATTGTGATTCTCAATGGCACTGACCGCGTTCCACAGCCGGATTACATGTTCATGCTCTCCACTGTTCTCGTGGACGAGAGCATTCCCCTTCACGTGCGCAACGCTGCCGGTCTCGCGCTGAAAAATGCGCTCAGCGCAAGGGTGCGTGCTCGGACCCTGCGACACGCGTCACCACGCCCCGCTCACCCTCACCCCACCCACCATAGGAAGCCCCGCGTCAAGAGGAATTCTCCGCGAAATGGATGGCCCTCAGCATCGATCAGCGCACCAAGATCAAGCAGGACGCGCTCCTCACCCTCGCCTCGCCACAACAAAAGGCCGGCGCGTTCGCTGCCCAGGTCGTGTCCGCGATCGCCGCCGTCGAGCTCCCGCAGGGCCAGTGGGCGGACCTCATCGAAGTTCTCTTGGGCTTTGTCAACAACCAGGCGAACACGAATCTCAAGATCGCGACCTTGCAGGCGATCGGCTTCATCTGCGAGTCAATAGTGCGTGGGCCGTCGCGTCACCTTGGCATTGTTTTACTGATGGGTTGCCAGAAACCCGAAATCTTGAGCCTGCGCGCGAATGAGATCCTCACCGCTGTTATCCACGGTGCGCGCAAGGAGGAGCCGTCTCCAGAGGTCCAGCTCGCCGCCATCCACGCCCTGTTCAATTCGCTCGAGTTCGTCCGCGACAACTTTGAGCGTGAGGGCGAGCGCAACTACATCATGCAGGTCGTGTGCGAGGCGACGCAGAACCAGTCCGTGCCCGTGCAGGTCGGGGCCTTCGAGTGCCTTGTCCGCATCATGAGCTTGTATTACGAGAAAATGAGCTTGTACATGGAACAGGCCTTGTTTGGCGTAAGTAACCCCCGATCTCATTGTATCTCTTGCTCACGTAATCCACAGTTGACCGTTGTGGGCATGAAGCATCCCGACGAGCGCGTCGCGCTGCAGGCCGTAGAATTCTGGTCCACCGTCTGCGAGGAGGAGATGGAGTTGGCTCTCGAGGCACAGGAGGTGGGTTGCACGACACTAATCAGAAATCAGTATGCTAATCGTTCCTCACAGGCCGCGGAGTGGGGCGAGCAGCCCGAGATTGAGTCCCGCCATTTCGCCAAGATCGCGCTTCCGGAAATCGTGCCCGTCCTTCTGCTCCTGCTCACCAAGCAGGAGGAGGACGCGGATGAGGACGAGTGGAACATCTCTATGGCCGCGGGTACGTGCCTGACTCTCCTCGCTGGTGCCGTCCAGGACCACATCGTCGGCGCCGTGATCCCCTTCATCGAGGGCAACATCAAGGCGGACGACTGGCACCGCCGCGAGGCCGCCGTCATGGCATTCGGCTCCATCCTCGACGGGCCCGACCCGACGAACTTGACGCCGCTGGTGAACCAGGCGCTCCCGCTGCTCATCGACATGATGGCGGACAGCAACCCGCACGTGAAGGACACGACGGCGTGGACGCTCGGGCGGATATGCGACCTGCTGATTGTGACGATCAAGCCGGAGGTGCACCTGCACCCGCTGGTGAGCGCGTTGGTGGCAGGCTTGCAGGACAACCCGAGGATCATCGCGAACTGCTGCTGGGCATTGATGAACCTTGCGGACCAGTTCGGGTACTACGTCGAGGAGGAGGAGGACCCGAAGACGGGCCCGCTTTCGCCGTACGTCGATGGTATTGTCCAGGCTCTGTTGAGGGTGACGGAGAGGTGAGTGAAATTCTGATATCGGCGTAGTGGTCGTCTGACTGTCATGCAGCGCAGGAAACGAGGCCAACTTCAGGACGTCGGCGTACGAGGCGATCACATCTTATGTGACGCACGCGACGCAGGATGTTATTCCCGTCGTCCAGAACACCGTGCTTACCATTCTTCAACGGATGGAGCACCTGTTGAGCATTCACGTAAGTCTTCTCGTAAATCCCTCGATGTCCTATTCTCATCTGCTTCCCAGAACCAAATCGTCGGCGTGGACGATCGCAACAACTGGAACGAGCTGCAGAGCAACTTCTGCAGCGTCATCATTGTGCGTAAATCTGTAAAGTGTCTTTGCGATCGAGCTGACCTTCGTTCAGGCTGTCATCCGCAAGCTTGGCCAGGGCATTCAACCGCTCGCCGACCGTATCATGACGCTCATCTTGCAGCTCATTCAGGCCGCAGGCAAGACGTCGACCATGTTGGAGGATGCTTTCCTCGTCGTCGGCACGCTCGCCGCCGCCTTGGAGGCCGGCTTTGCGCCGTACATCCCTGCTTTCCTCCCGTCGCTCTACCCTGCCCTCAAGGCACACGAGGACACCCAGCTCTGCACGGTCGCCGTCGGCATCATCGGCGACATTTCTCGTGCGCTCGGCGAGTCGTCTGCGCAGTACGCTGCGGACTTCATGACCGTGTTGCTCGAGAATTTGCGGAGCGACGTCCTCAACCGGAATGTCAAGATCACGATCCTGTCGTGCTTTGGCGACATCGCACTCGCGATCGGGCCCGCGTTTGAGCCGTACTTGCAGACAACGATGGATGTCCTGGGCCAGGCGAGCCAGCTGAACCCGAACCCGTTGGACTACGACTCGATCGATTACATCGGCGAGCTGCGCAAGGGGATCCTTGAGGCGTACACGGGTGTTGTCACTGGGCTGAAGAACACGGAGAAGGGTGAGTGTCTCGCTCACTTATTCTGGAAACGTGTAATAATCCCCATTCCAGCGCCCTTGCTCCTCAACTACGCCCAGCGCATACTCGAGCTGATTCATAAGTGCCTGTCCGACGAAGAGAAGGACGACACGACGATGAAGCTGTGCTACGGCTTGATTGGCGACTTGGCGGACGCGTTCCCCGCCGGGCAGCTCAAGCAGGTGTTCTTGACGCCATGGCTTGCATCCGAGATGCGCTCGAAGCACCGGATGAGCAGCGAGACGAAGAAGACCCTGCGGTGGGCAAGAGACGTGAGTGCACCCTTCTCGTTAACACTCGATGAGCTTGCTGACGCCTCCTCCAGCGCGTCAAGAACGCCACGCAATAGACGTGTCATATCGGTGCCGCGCGTTGTATTTTTTGTTGTTTAATTACCTCTACTCCTGTTGCGCTTTTCTACTACTATCTCCCCGAGTCTGCATGCAATCTACTTTACTGTTATAGCCATCTCAAGGAAGGCCTCATCCCACCATCTCTCTCCGCTCGTCGTGTCTTATTCCATCCGTGCCCAACTGATTGCATCCTTATCCATCCCGCCTCCGATCCACATCGAATCATCGATCGACTCACCCTCACATGTTGCATGTAGTGTATTGAATAGACGTCGCAGACTCTTTCTCTTTCTGTCGTCCCTCCAGATTTGGTTACGTCGCTGCTTTTGTTGCCTGATCCACCACTGTATCCCGTACACTCTTCTCTTTCTTCCCTTCGTGTTTTATCTGATGTGTTTGCGCATTCGCATAGTCAGATATGGCAGAACCGTCCTCTCCAGAGCCGTACTGATGCGTGCTGACGAGCGCACACAAACTTGGAGGAAGCAACGCAGGTTGCCAAAACCGCAACGTATTAGATTCGCGTGACTGATCACGTGGCTTATTTGCCACGTCAGCGCTCTCGGCTTTTGCCGACGCCAAGTTCAACCTCGCTCACCGGGCTCTCGTGAGGTTGTGGACGAGTGATCTCCCGTCCAAGTTTTTTCGAGCAAGTCTCTTGACACCTGGGGCATGGTTAAGAAGCCAACTCTCCTACCAGGCAACCTGATGTGCACTTCGTCGAACGGTGTATACCGCAGCGTCCGTGCCTTCCATCTGCAACTACCTCCCGTTCAGCGACATACATTTTTAGTAGCGTTGCATCGTTCCCAAGTAATCACTCACGTCTGAGGGTCACAATCTTCCCTGAGGATGAACCGACGCAGAATATAGGTTTCTCTCCTTTCGAAATATCCCCCTCAGATCATTGTCTCTTGATGTTCTGTACATCCCCAGTTACTGTCCTTTGGCAGAGGACGACACGGAAGATTCGAATCTGCGATACGGCGCCTAAACTTCCACGTGGCGTGTACTTAGTAGCGATTGACGTGTCGGCCACGAACTTGGCACGAACGCTCATCATCCTCCTCCTCAAATCAATGCGCTAGACCTGCGGACTCTTTCCTCGTCGCCACGATGCGGTTGATATTGTTGTTCCACTTGCTTTTATCCCTCGCTCCCTTCACGGCATGGGCGGCCGTGCTCGCCATAGACTATGGATCAGACTGGACGAAAGCGTCCCTCATGGCCCCGGGAGTACCGTTTGACGTGCTGCTGAACAAGGACTCGAAGCGGAAGATACAATCCTCGATAGGATGGAAGCAGTCGGACAGATTATTTGGGACGGATGCGTTCAACTTGGTGCGTCGCACAAGTCCTTCTGCGCGGTTCGGACTCCCTGACACCCCCACAGGCTTCCCGGTTCCCTCAAGACTCCTTCTCCTCAGTCAAGCTCCTCCAGGGTGCCCCATACAAGTCTGACGCGGTCGAATTCTACAAGAAAATCTCGTCCGCGGACGTGGTCGAGATGGACAGACACACGGCCGCCCTCCGACGAAGCGACGGCACGGAATGGTCGGTCGAGGAGCTCATCGCGATGGAGTTCGCCTACGTGAAGCACCTGGCCGAGGGCGTCGCGGGCGAGCCCGTCACAGACGTCATCGTCACCGTCCCGCCATACTACACCCAGTTCGAGCGCGACGCAGTCGTGGACGCGATCGAGATCTCCGGCCTGCGCACGCTGGCCCTCATACATGATGGCACAGCAGTCGCAGTAAACTACGCCATGACACGCACCTTCCCCAAGCCCGAGAACCACGTCATTTTCGATGCCGGAGCGTCCTCGATTCGCGCCACGGTCGCACGGTTTGAGACGATCAACGACGCGACGCAGATTACAGTCACTGGTGTGGGCTATGACAGAACCGTCGGTGGCACGGAACTGGATAGGAGGCTACGGGAACTGCTAGTCGAGGCGTTCACGTCCAAGCACAGGCAAGACATTCGCGGCAACGCACGCGGTATGGCACGCTTGTGGAAGGAAGCTGGCAGGGTGAAGGCGATTCTTAGCGCGAACACAGAAGCGTTTTCGTCCGTTGAAAGCGTCATTGGCGACGTGGACTTCAAAACGAAAGTCACTCGATCGTCTTTCGAGGCGAAGTGCTCTGACCTGAAGGGGAAGTTTGCGCAGCCCATTCTGGACGCTATAAAGAATGCCGACCTGACTCTGGTGCGCACGCTTGCTTTCGCCATCACTATTGATTCTTAAATGGTCATAGAACGACATCACCTCCGTGATCATGACGGGCGGAAGCATGCGAACGCCTATGATCCAGGCTGCTGTGAAAGCAGCTGTCGGCGAGTTCGTAAGAACCTTCCCTGCTTCCTCACAACGCTGACATCACTCCCAGAGACAAGCTTGCGTACAACGTCAACGCCGACGAGTCCGCGGTCCTGGGCGCAGCTCTCTACGGTGCGAGCCTCAGTCGCCAGTTCAAGACGAAGAACATCAAGATCTCGGACATCAACGTGCACGACGTGCAGGCCACGTACTTCGCGGCCGCCACCGCGGCGAACGCTAAGCCTAGGACGATTACGACAGTCGTGTACCCCGCTGGCTCGAAGTTGGGCTCAAAGAAGACGATGACATTCAAGCGGAAGGAGGACTTCAACATCTTCTTGGACTACAAGAACCAGGTCGCGCCGTGAGTTTCTTCTCACCGATCCTATTGAATCGCTTACTGATTAGCTGCCTCAGTGGCTTCGCTACCCGCATGCTTGAAGCCGAGCTCACTGGCGTCCAATCCGCCATCGCGAACCTCACTGAGCGCGGCGCCGCCGACCCAGTTGTCAAGGCTACCGTGACGCTCTCCGACTCTGGCTTCATCGCCGTCAAGGACGCCATCGCCTATGGCGAAGTCAAGGACGATAGTCTCACAGGTAAGTCGTGACCCCCAAACCTCCTCCTTCCTTGTTGATAAATGTGACGTCGGAAGGGAAATTGAAAAACCTCTTTGGCGCAGGTTCGGGCTCGTCTTCGGAGGAAGCATCGACCGAGGGCGAGACTGCGACGGATGCGTCTGCGTCTCCGAGTGCGACTGGGACGGGCGCGACACTGCAAGAGACGATCTCGCTGAATATCACGACGAAGTTCCCTGTGCATGCGCCGATGTCGGTGGACGAAAAGAAGAAGGCACGATCAAGGTAGGTTCACGAGCTTCTTGTTGCGGTTGTGTTTAGGGGCTGACCTGTTCGAAGGTTGCGGATGATCGACACGGAAGAGGCCGCCAAGAACAGGCGCGAAGAAGCTCGCAACTCGTTCGAGTCCTACCTCTACCGCCTCCGCGATCTGCTTGACGAAGATAACGACGAGACGCCCTTCATGAAGTGCTCGCAGGCTAGGGAACGCCTCGCCCTGCAGGAGCAGCTGGACAAGGCCTTCGAATGGCTGCACGAGTACAGCGACGTCGCCGAGACGTCGCAATTTTTGGATCAGCGGAGCATCCTTGAGTACGTTAGATCTCGTACCGCTATCTACGTCTCGCTGACATAGCTTGTAGGGTCCTCGAGAAGCCCATCATTCACCGCTACCAGGAGATCGAGGCTTTCCCTCAGGCGCTCAACAACAGCCAGATGTGGAATTGGTCCACGCGCCTCTTCCTCACAGAGGCGAAGCAGAACCTCACCGCGGAAGAGGAGGCCGGCGTGCCCTCCAAGTGGACCCGTGAGGAGCTCGCCGACCTCGAGAAGACGCTCAAGGACCACGAGAAGTGGCTCGCCGAGTGGGTGGAGAAGCAAAAGTCCGTCCCGCCGAATCAGGACCCCGTCATTGAGACTGCAGAGATGCGCGCGCGTGCCAAGGTGCTTGAGCAGCACCTGCAGAAGCTGTGGAAACGAAAGGCGCCGAAGCCGAAGAAGACGAAGGCGAGTGCGCCGCCGGAGCCCAGCAAGACCGCGGAGGCGCCGCCAGAGCCGGAGCAGGATCCTGAGGGGACGCCGGGGCAGCAGGAGCCGATACAGGCGACGCCAGACCAGCATGACGAGCTGTAGGCGATCTAGAGTTGATGCGTATTTATGTAGTTCTGGACAAGACCCATGCCCTGGTGGAAACATACTGGACGTACCCACGTGGTACATGTAATGGCAAACCCCCGTTGCTTGATCCCGAATCAAGTGCTATTCAGCGGAAGCTCAGGAATGCTACTGTGAAATAGCTGCGACGCAGTAGTAGCACTGTAGGAGCGCGTCCCTACATGCACCTGTCTCAAGGCGTTCTTGCATAGTTTTTGCGAGCAACATCTTCTATGTCTTCCTCTGACAACGGAGTCTAGTAGAATACCGATGAGTACAGGATCAAGTCGACATGCATTCAAGTCACTTACCAGTCTAAGACTGTCGCGGGTGCGCTTAACCGTTCGAAGCATCAAATCCTCCCGCGCGATGAAGAGCCTTGCAGTCGTCGACGGCTGCAGACTTAGAACCTCTGTCATCGTCAACGGGTCCGGACGAATACAGAGGCGACGAAAAGCATCGAACGCCCATTCGGGGTCAATGGTGTATCTGTCGCTCAGAGATATCTTGCGAACATCCTCCAGCGCGTTCATCTTGCCTAGATTGTATAAAGCCGTCTGGATAACGTCTTCCATGTCGAAGCGGTCCGCGATTATCAGGATGGATTCCCAGTTATGGACGTCGTCGTCGTCGACCGCGGACGTCCTAGAGCGGAAGAATGAGCAACCATAGTTTCCGTGAGCAGTTGCCACTTGCCATTTATACGGGTACCGGTAGAAGAACCACATAAGGTTCGCGAAAGCGACGTTATTCGTGAACTGCAGTTGAATCGGTCGATCTTGCGTTGCACCTTCGGGGCACGACTGTTCGGCAGGAAGTGTAAACATAGTCCGGAAAACTTTCGACGCCCTTCGAAGGTGGTAGCTATGTAGAAAGAAGATTCGACCCCCAATCTGTAATACTTGAAGGTGAGCAACGCCAATTTGGTGGTAGGGTTCGGACGCACGTCGCAGTATGTATCTCCCTCATTCACGCCAAAACGGGACTCGGCGCTTGCTAGGCCTTGAGCAAAACCTATAGGGGAAGGTCGGAAGAGTGAGTTGCACGCTTGTAATGTATCACATACCTGCATAGGGCGCAACAAGATCCAGCATTGCTTGAATGCTGGCTTTCGTCATGTAGGATCCTGCATTCGGGCATCTGCGATAATGATGCTTGCACTCGCCGCTGCCTTTGCTCCTCCGGTGACAAATGTGCATGCCACGATAGCATATAGCCTCTCGTCCACATGAAGGACAGGACGGGGATGAGTCGGCGCAGCTACTGATCAGTGCTTGCTCGCGAGCACGCGAAACAGCAACGGTCGCGCCAAGACCTAATAGCCGGCTCTCTACATCGGACAAAGGTCTGGTTCGAAGGATGATCATCTTCAGAGCACCTGCAGCACCGAAAGTGGTCCGCGAGGAAACCCCAAGCGTCGCGCACAGCACAACCTTCCGGACTTCGTCCAATAGGCCCAAGCCATCCAGCACAGAACTCGCAGCTCGCAAAACAGGCAGCATCTGATATGTCAAGGCCAGCGAGAAAATGCGCTCCCATTTATCTTTGAGGCAGGGTGCGTCCCTTCTACAGGTCGCAAATCAGCTAGTGACGCAAAACTTATTCACAAAATGCCCTTACTGATTATAGGCCGACTCATAGAAGAACCAGAGAAGATCACGAAAGGCCTCAACCGTGACATCTTCGAGCACGATTCTTGATAGGTCCTGGCTCGCTCCTGCGCCCAAGACTCCTTTGCGAGGCTCGAGACGCTCATCAAAGAATGAAGTGGTACGACGGAGGTGATACGCATGGATGCGAAACAATGTGCTTTCTACCTGCAATGTCCAGGTGAGCACCCATGAGATGTTCAGCTCCGATCACTCACTTGCACGACGACATCGCCGTCGTCGAAGTAGTAGTCCCCGCTTGGAAGGACCGACAGAGGCGGCGGTTTTGTTTCCATAATAGGTCTTGTTCAACGAGAGGTGGGTCACTTGGTAGGGGTGAATCGGTTGGCCACCAGAAAGAACATCAATGCCCTTTTATAAGAAACGGCTGGTCCACTTTACGAGCGACGAGTACGCTTGTTTGGAGATCTCCGCGGGCATCCGCACGTAATTCCCGCGTCTCCTCGCCATAATATCCTCGATCAGCAGGCAGCGGACGAGTACTACGGACTGCTTCCAGTCCTATCCAATCGGTGCTGTAGATATTGGAGGTGGTTCCCATCCAGTTGCGATGTGCACCGACAACGCTGCCCAAAAGTTCAGGAGACAAAGCATTTTCATATATTTTTCATGTCTTTTTACGAATTCAACTCATTTTCTGAAAGTGCCTGTGGAAGAGTTCGCATACATCAATTCCCTGTGAAAAAGCGTCAGAAAAGGTGTAGAAGCAGAGGGAAAGTCAAGCAAACAGAAAGCCAAGTAGATAAAGACGTGACGATAGGCACTCACCCAAAGGCCGACTCCATGCACTGCTTGATCTCCTTGTACGTGACCACCAGGCAGCTCTGCTCGTCCCGCGCGACCAACATCACACGCTCGTCTGCTCCGGCATCCAGCTATCAGGTCAATGAGCATAACGAGTTCAACACCAAGGCGACGACAACGCACCTTGTTCATGCAGGTCAGCACGTGCGACATGCTGATGACGGGGTTGCCATGCTCGTCGACCTGGTGGAAGACATAGTCGCGGAAGAGCTTGATGATGTACCGGTCGCCCGTCTCTGACCATCGCGGGTCGCGCGCGAATCTGGAAGGGAGGGGAAGATGGTGAGGAGCAGAAGAAAGAACGAAAGAGGGGGAGGGTTCGTTAGCAATGGCAAACCGCGCAGGGAGATAGCGAACGCACTCAGGCCGCTCAGTAATGAAACCAAACATCGCCATGAGGCGCACCAGGCGCGCGTTCTCCAGCTCGCCGCGCAGCTCGTGCTCGAGCGTGTCGGTCGCGATAAGCGCGTCGTCCATCTCCGCGACCACCTTGCTATTGATGATGTCGAAGAGCTGACCGATAGTCTGCATAAGAGCATGATCAGCAAAACGGGCTCGAGAACACGGCGAAACAGTCAAGATATAGCATTCTGTAGTGTACATTCGATAATAGAGGAAGTAGCCGAGAAAGGACGACAGAGACCGACGCACGCTCACCCGATGCGGCCCGCTCTTGCTGATCAAGTACAACGCGACGTTCTTCATGTCCGCGCTGTAGTTACGACCCATAAGCTCCAAGCTCTTCGAGAAGTTCCCGCTGCTCGCGCCGGACGGGTTGAGCGTGCAGAGCGCAAAGACGAGTCGGCCAAACATGTGCAGATCCTCCTGCTGCAGAATCGTCATATCCTGCGGCGTCTCGTGCATGAGAATGTCGATGATGCCACAGGAGCCGATGCGAACGCTGGGTCAAGTGTCAGCACACGTACAATGGAAGAGAGACGCAGATAAACGAGATATTATGGAGTTGAGCGACAGCTGCTGAGGGTCCGTACTCACCGATTCTGCGAGGTGACCAGGATCTTGCTGATGTCGATCATGCGCACCGCCTGCCCAAGGTCGTGCACCTTCTTCACCGCGGACGCAATCTGCACGATGTACGACCATATCGTACGCTCCGGGATCAGGGTTTGCACCTGCGCGGGCTGGAAGCGCGAGGTCGAGCCATACTGCTGCTGCTGGTTCCGATTCTTGAAGTGCATGTCGTAAAGCGTCTGCGCGTTCGGATGGTAGGTGTACGCGACGACGAGGGCTGAGTAGGGTGGGTTAGCACTCGAACCGATAGAGTATGAGTGGCAGGGAAATATGTGACGATGTACTGACAGTTGTCGTTGAAAGCGCGCGTAGTAAACGCCTCATGGACATGCACGATGCCCGGGTGGTGGATGTTGGACCAAACATCTATGGGTTGGAACGCAGTCTGATTGATCAGGCGGAAGTCTGGAGGAGTATAGTCAATACCCAGGCCTGATTGTGTCATTGAGACGGCACGCACTCTCAACCCGGCGGAGTGCATATGGTAGTCCATCCACTGAGTTGATCGCACGATAAACGCTCGAGAACCAGTTCCCGAAGCGCCGTCGCTCGTTGGGCGTACTGGGACTGTCTAAGGGAACGAGGGTATGGTAGCCGGACATTTCCTCGGGTATGTTGAGGCCCGCAGGGGCAATGCCGCGGACGGTTTCGCTCTGCTGGGTAAGGCGTTCCCGCAGCTCTGGGGACGGGGGTATGAAGTGATTGGGAGGTCCCTTAGGCGGGCGCGTCGAAGCGACGGGCGTGTACAGATGGTAATTTAGCTGAAGGATGGATAGCAACGGTGAAGATCTAGACGACTGGGATAGAAAGACAGACGTACGGGCTGACGGACGAAAACAGGTGCTGTAGAGTAGAAGGAGGCGTCCATAGCGCCGTCGTATTCTGTCCCATAGCCAGAATAGTCGCCTTCGAGGTCCAGCTGCTGGGCATTAGTTCATATGATAATCTGTGAGATACGCCACACACATCGGCCATGCGCGACTCGAGGGACTCGAGGCCTTGGTTGTATGCGTCGCTGTCATACGGTTCATGGGCGGGGTAATCATGCGGAGAATGAGCGTAGGGGCTGCGAGAGGCGAGACATCAGCGCTGATGGGATGCGTGTCGCTGGAGATCGCGTACGATGCGGGGGGCGCATACTGGGTGGGCTGCGGCTGGGTGGCCTCTGCGTTCGAGAGCGTTGGGGACACTGTCACGGCGGGGGACGACTTGGGGACGAAGACGGGCGCGTTGATGGCCTGCGCTGAGAGCGACGTGCCGATCGGGGACTCTGCGCGCGGCCTGGGAAGAGCGAAGGAGGTCAGGGCGAGGGTTGAGGACTAGCAAAGCTCGCAGACGCACGCATCGGACTCCGTCTGCGCTGGTGTCAGTGCGGCACAAGGGGAACATGTTGATGGCTTACGGGCGGGTGGTAGTATGGGCAGCCCTGGCCCTCAAACTTGCACTGTCCGTAGATGTGGACGTTCTTGCAATGGCGTTGCGAGAGATCTGCGCGCGTGAGCCGTCGCCATCGCCGCATATCGCGGTGAACACACCCTTCTTCGGCGGCTTCGTAAACGGCGGCAGCTGCACATCCCCGCCCTCAGGCTTCACAATCTTCACCGCCGACGACGCCTGCGGCTTCGCAAAGTATTCCATCCTGGAAGAGAGCAGGAAACGAGCGCCGGATGGACGGTCCAGTGGTGGACCGGGACAAGTCTATTGTGCTCCAAATCGAGCGGGAAATGCAGACTTCAACATTCCCAGGGCGACTTCTATTCGCCACGAGTCAACTACAAACTTCGCATTAAATCGAGCAATGTGTATGACAAGGAAAGCGCTATGAGTGCAGGGCAGAGCAGATGTGTATAGTACAAAGTAAGTAGAAGCATAAGACAATCCATGTCCGTGAAAATGAGAGGACGCCCGACAACTCGGTCGAAACTATGAAGTCCACGATGTAAATCCTACATCCAGAGGTCCTTGTTACATCCAACATGTCCCTCCTACCTATCCTTATCCAGGGTAAGTATATACATGAGCGATGAGGCAGTCAGCGTATATGGTGGGGAATGTCAATCAGCGTGCAAGGTCCTCAAAGGAAGTGACGGTGGAAATGGACCAGGGTGTAGGTCGAACAGAGGTTAGCGTCCATCCATCCCCAACGGGCTCGGCTTCACAGGCGCTTTCGCGCCAGGCGGTAGCGAAGCAGTCGGCGATGACGACCTGTCGCTTGAGTACGCGTCCTTCGGCAAGTACGACGTCGTCGCCATCGCGCTCTGCCCGCTCCCCGTGCTCGCCACCGACATCTTCGACGAGTTCAGCGGCGGGACCGGCGGCATCGGGTAAAACACGCTCGCCGAACCAGGCGAATCGCGGAAGGGGTCCAGATACATCGAGGGCGTGGGCGACTTCTTGGGCAGGCCGCGCGCGCTGTTGGCATCGCTTGGCTTCCTGCGCGGGCTATCGGCGGTGCTGTAGATGCTGCTAGCGCCATCGTTCGGTGGAGTACCGCCGATGGAAGACGAGGATGGACTGCGCGGCGATTCGGGAGAGTCGATGCCTCCGCCTCGCGGCCTGTCGCCTTCTCGCGGGCCCATAACATCGTCGACGATGTTGCCTAGCGCACCGCCTGTTGCCAATGGATCGACGAAGCGCGTGCCGTTCGCGCCTGGAGGCGGCCAAACGCCCTCCTCATGGAATATGGATCCGGAGTCGGACGCAACGCGCGTGGGGAGAACGGAAGGCGTTGAACCTGCGGCAGCGGCCATGTTATACTTTGGACCGCTGACGCTTGCTCGTGGCGAGCCTGACCGGGACGCACTGCCGCCAGCCGCTGCCGCAGCCGCAGCACCCCCTCCTGCTGCCGCTCCTCCTACCGCTGCTGCCGTTGAGGCACCTGCAGGTGGCATCCCTCGGGCTGCACCAGGTTGCGGCGCACCTGGAACGTACGTCGCGGGCGGAATGTACGGATGGCTCTGTGGATGGTCCCGGTACTGCCCCATCACCACCCTATCGTCGTCGTCGAATTCATCGTCAAGAAGCCCCACACCACCGGCGCCCTTGCCCTCGCGCCTCCTGCGCATGAGATTTTCGAAGAAGCCCGCCATGCGGCGCTTGCGGTGGCGGTAGACGAAGATTGCGCCGAGAATGATGAGGATGAGGACAATGCCACCGGCGGTAGCGCCTGCAATGATGCCGGTGCGTTGGCCAGAAGACAGTGGTGTGGCGGAGGAAAGGGTAGTGCTAATGGGGGTGGTATACTGGAAGGTTCTTAGGAATTGGAGAGAAGGACGAGGGGAAGAGGGAGAGACGTACGGTAGTGAGCTTTCCGTCGATCGAGGTCACTACAGTTGAGTAGGACGTTATGAAGTCGGCAGTGGTCGTGGCATCGGAGGTGGCGGTTGTGGTCTGCTGGCTACTCGTTGTTTCGGTCCGCGTACTTGTACCCTCAGAGGTCGACGCATCCGAGGAAGTAGTCCGGGTTTGTGTCTGCGTTTCCGTGGTCTCCGAGTCCGACGAGGTAGTACGATCGGTGGTGGACGAGGTAGACTCCGAGTTTGTCGACGTTTCGGTCTCTGTCGCAGTAGTCGCGGTCGCGGTCGCGGTCTGCGTCTCCGTGGTCTCGGTATTAGTATTCGTCGACGTCTCTGTCGGCGTTGGGGTGGATGTAGGGGAGCTAAACCGAGGATGAGTATATTGCACGGACGCATGTATGTATGCCATGAGCCGAAACGCACTCTGTAGTGGTCGTCGGGTCCTCCGTCGCCGTCGTACTATCGTCCTGGGCTGTGGTATCCTGTTGGTCGTTCTGCTGCGACGTATTTGTATCCGTAGTATCGTTCGCCGACGTCGCATCGTTGTTATCAGAGGCACCATCCTGCCCACCACCTATGAGCATTGCGGTCGGAGGGGGGAAGGACATCCAGCACTCACCGTAGACCCGTCTACAGCCCCAGTGGTCTGCGAGCCCTCTCCAGTATCCGTACCCGTCGCGTCCGACGTCCCCGCCGCATCCGTGCCCGTCGCCGTAGCATCATCCCCCGCTGAAGTCTGCCTCGGTAGATGGATCATTGTATGGGGCGTCTAGCACCTCCAGTCGAAAGTATCGTCCCTCTTCAATGAGTGACGGGTGGAAGTAGATAGATGCGTATCAAGTATCCAAAAAGTGAGATTTCGCGGAGAAGAAAGGAAAAAGGTAGAAGACAAGGGAGAAAACGTCAGGATTGCGGAGCGGGCGTCTACCACGCGATGTGGCTGTACTCCCGGCAATCACCGGTTTTAAGCCTCGGTGCCTGTGCTGGCTTCACACGGTTGAACTTCGGCCACAAAATCGTCAACGATGTGAGGCTGGAGAACGCGCGAAGGAGGTGGAAGGAGGAAAAGGTGGTGAATGATGAGAAGAAAATATTCTTCTTGTAGGTCATCATAAATGATCTGGGTGTATGCATGGCAACGGGAGCCGGCCTCTGGCTTAAGAGGTTGTTGAAAGTGTTCATCCGACTCCATCACCACGATGGCAACGCACGGCCGCAAAGCTTCGCTCAAGCTCCTCCGGCAGACGACCAAGCACCTCAAGGACTCTGCAATCCCAAGCAATACGCTAAAAAGGCATAATAGGCATTGCAATCAGTCCTGGCATTATAGAAACATACACGCTCATGAGGTCGGATCCATACACAATCAGAAAGACAGACAACCCGGTGTCCCGACAATATATAATGAGATGGTGGTGGGGGAAGGTGTCACATACACGAATACACAGGGCGCCGTCAACAGCAGCCAATGTCCGCCAGGTAAATCATAGCAGCAGGCTATCGTCCGTCGGCAGTAGCGACTGCAGGTGCACTCGCGCTTGCGGGCGCGAGACCGTGACCAGCGGTCGGCAGCGATCCACGTCGCGCGCTGTTGGCCGCCGCGACCGCGCGCAGCATGTTGCCCCCGCTCGGGCGCTTTGACAATCCCTTGCCCGGTGCACCCGTACCGGTGCGGTCAATGCGCTTGAGGAATGGACTCGGCAGATTCTCCTCATCCTTCATATCGTACCGCGGCGTTGGTGGCGGTGCGGTCGATGCGCGCGATATGACAGGCGGCGCCTTCGCCTTCCTTGCAGCGGAGGCTGTCGTCGCAGTCGCACGATCACCCGACGCGGAGAGGGCTACAGGGTCAGAGACCGATGGGGCCAGCGTCTCGGTCTTCTCGCTGCGACCCGGTATCGTGGGCCGCCGCGAGTTTCCCCGTATTGATGGTCGGCGAAGACGAGTCGGGGGTGCAGAAGCGACGCCGTTGGACCGCTGGGCAGATGATGTGGGTCGTGCAGCAGAGGCCGATGATGAGGTACGCGGACGTTCCTCGCTCTGCTTGCGTGTGGTTCGTGGTCTCTCCTTCCCTGAAGTCGGACTGGGTGGTGAGTTCCGGTGCTCCGCCGACCGCGCACTGCCGCTGCTCAGCCGCGGCGAGTCCTCTTCGTCGTCGTCATCATCATCCGTCTCGCCTTCGTCGAAGTCGAATATCTTCGCAAAGTTGAGCCCGACCTTCGGCGACTTGCAGAAGAGGTCGACGAGCTCGTTCGGCTTTGGCGTGGCAAGCGTCTCGCCGGTCGCTGTCAGCACGACACCCTTCATCGCAGACTGCGGCGGCATGTTGACCTTCGGCATCGTGACGCGGGCGATGGGCGTCGCCAACTCCGGGAAGGGACTTGCCGGGAACGGTCGTGGGCGAGGCGTAGGCGCCTCCGCTGCCCGCCGCGCCCGCTTGCCGTCATTCTCCTGGGTCGTCATGCGCGCCAGGGGCTCCAGCAAGTTCTTCACCTCTTCAAGCGGCGTCTTCTCTTTACGGCCTAGGCGAGGTAAGGGTACGGTGTCTTGCGCAAGACTGAACCGCCTACCTTTCGCCGTCTTACTGGCCTCCTCCCACTCCTTCATCTTGCGCTCGAGCTCGGTGCGCGTGTCGTCTATGCGCTGCTCCTCCTCCAGCAGCTCCTCCTGGCGCGTGTTGATCCACTGCACCCGTTCCTCGATCTCCTTTACGCGCTCCTCATACTCCTGCTGCATCTGGGACTCCCGCGCCTGCATGGCCTCGAAGAGCTCCGCTTCCCGCGTGCGCACGGCCTCCATGATCTCCTCTTCTCGCCGCGTCATCGCCGCCGCGACCTCCTGTTCGTGCTTGGTGACCAGAACGCGAAGCTCTTCCTCGCGCTTGGTGACCGCCTCCTTCATCGCGAGCTCGACGTCCTGCTGAGTATAGCACCTCTGTGCCTGCTCTTGCTGAATGCCGGCCAGTAGTTGCTGAAGATGCGCTATCGCGGCATCCTTCTCAGACAAAGCGACCTGTATCTGGGCTTCGCGCTCTGCAGCTGCGGCTTCCCGTGCAACGACTTCGCGTTCCCGTGCAATGATGTTGGCCTTGTGGTTCTTGACGGCGGACAGCCTGCATGCTATAATCAGTATATGTGCTCAAGTTCAAGGAAATTACCGACATCTTGTCCGTCTCTGCGGTCTTGAACGCGAGCTCTAAGCGCTCGTGCTGTAGTAATTGCGCTGCCGATGGGCGCATGGCGGGCTAAATAGTTGTCAACGGAATATCGAAGGACATAACCCTGAGAACGTACGTTCAAGTTTAACATCGCCTTGATGACACCAGAGAGTGATTGTGAGTATCCGCGGGGTAATGGTGGTATGCGTCCGTTTCTGCCCAAGTCAGCGTTATTTCCACACTACTGGCGTAAAAATGCACCTGATGAGTATGTTCAGTTCGTTATGGGTCTTGGCTTCGTGGAATGGGGGCTTTAGCGCGCAGAGTTCGTATATGAGGCAGCCTAACGACCAGATGTCGGACTTCGAATCGTAAGCCTTGCCTTGCATAAGCTCGGGCGACATGTAATATGGGGTCTTCGGGAACGTTAGCATCAATGGGCAGCATGAAACGCGTGGTTACGCACGCCAACATAGGTGTTCGCAAAGCTCGCCTGCGCGAGTGCCTTGGAAAGGCCAAAGTCCCCTAATTTGACCGTGTTATTTTCGTCGAGGAAGACTAGGTTCTGTCAGTACTTCGTCTTCTAAGCGAGAGGCTCCGCGACGCACCGTTGTCGGGCTTCAGATCCCTATGCAATATCTGGGCTCGGCGCTCCTTTCCATCCCCCTCCAGGCCGTTGCTCCCCGAGCGATCGTGCCCGTGAGGATGGTGGCAGTGTTGCAAAGCGAGGAGAATCTGGAGAAAATAGTTCCAGATCGTGTCTTCGGGTATGGGCCGGTTGTGCTTCGTCGCCTGCTTGATGATAGTCGAGAGATCGCCACCGCCGCAGTACTCCATGACTATGTACAGGATTCCGGCATCGCGGTCGACGTAGCGGTCGTGATATCGTACGATGTGGTCATGGTGGAGGTCCTTGAGGATGTTTCTGCGGGACACGGCGTCAATTTTAGACGGGACACGAGGCGCGCGTATGCGGGACGGCGAAGACGCACACTTCGGCGACTATCTGCTTGCGGTCGCGCTCGCTCATCCGCTCAAAGTTGAGCTCCTTCCGCGCGAAAACCTGATCGTCTCATTAGCGCGCGGAACGGTCGCCACTGTGGCATCCACGCACCAATCCATCCGTTTTTCTCCTGACTTTTCGGATGATGCCAAAGGACCCATTGCCGATAACATCGACGGATTCGTAGAGTTCGAGAAAGCTGGACATGATGTTCGTCAGGCGCCCGAGGCCGGAGGGCGCGATGGTGAAGGTACGCTGCAAGGTGCGCACTTCGATGTCAACAGAAATGCGGAATCATGTGACCGCGCGTCACCATTCATGTCGAAGTTTGATACCGGAATCGGTTGCCATTCTAGGAGGACAATAGACCAGCAAACACACCGACATGGCCTCAGTATGCCCAGAAAATCCTTTAATATTGCTACAGACACCCGATGCCCGAAAAGAATAATGCTACAGTGATATGCAAGATACAACACAACTACACTAAATGCTAAAACCCAAACACATCTAAGCCGCCGCACTGTAGAGCCTCTTGGTGTACCTGCAAGGGCGATCAGTGTGAGGTCCAACAGCGAGATTCGAAAAACATACGAGTTGAGACCGTGCACACCTCCCTCGAGCTGCGCGCTAGCGGTACGCAGCTCAAAGCGAACCTTGCCCGCCGCGACACCCTCACGAAGCTCCGTCACGCTCTTCACACCAACGTCCTGGAAGGAGTGCTGTACACCGACGTACAGGTAGGGCAGGAACGCCTTGACGCTGCCCTTGTCCTGCACGTCACCGCTGACACCCTGCGCGACCTTGACCACGCTGCTCTCGGAGAAGTAGCGCGACGTCGCCGCGTTCTCGAGGGTGGGGTTGTTCTTGGGCGCGGGGTACTTGCTCGACGCGGACTCGCGAACGTTGTTGACCTTCGCGTTGCTGCCGGCCGGCTTGTTCTGCTCCATCGCCTCCAGACTGCCCATGCCGCGGTAGGCCTTGACGCGCTTGCCATCGTGGTAGAAGTACTCGCCCGGCGCTTCCTCCGTGCCGGCGAGGAGACCGCCCATCATGACAGCGCCGGCGCCGAGGGCGAGGGCCTTGACGATGTGGCCGACGTTGCTGACACCACCATCAGCGATGACGGGGACGCCGAACTTGTTGGAGAACTCGGCAACGGCGTAAACGGCAGTGGCCTGCGGGCGGCCGACAGCCATGACCTCCTGCGTGATGCAGATGGAACCAGAGCCCATACCGACGCGAAGAGCGTCAGCGCCAGCAGCAATGAGCGACGCGGCCTGCTCGCGGGTGACGACGTTTCCGGCGATGACCTCGAGCTTGGGGTACGTCGACTTGATATACTTAATCATGTCGATCTGGAAGACCGAGTTGCCCTGCGAGGAATCAAGGACGACGATGTCGAGGCCCGCTTCGACGAGGTGGGCCAGACGGTCGCGGTCGGAGGGACGGGTGCCGACAGCAGCGGCCGCGTAGAGCTGCTTGCTCTCCGGGTTCTTCGATGCGAGAGGGTACGACTGGTTCTTGAGCAAGTCAGAGCGCGAGAGAAGGGAGACGAGCTCCCCCTTGTTGTTGACGATGGGGAGCTTGCCCTTCTTCGAGTCACGGAGGATGGTGTTAGCCTCGGTGAGGGTCACACCCTGCGGGGCAGTGACGAGCTCGGTGGTCATGACCTGCGAAAGGGGCGTGTTCTCCTCGCGGAACTGGACATCGCGAGACGTGACGATGCCAACAAGCTTGCCACCAACAGCGCCAGTGTCTGACAGGAAGTAAGCACATGTTGTAATGACGAAGGGTAGCCGAGTATCAGCAGCAAAATGAAGAAACGTTTCCGCACGTCACGCATGGCATACACGCGTTAGCTCGGTAGAACGAAGGTTGTTGTTCATCCTTGAGCCGTCATAGGAAACGAGACTCACCAGTGATGGGGATGCCGCAGAAACCAAGGCGGCTTTTGATGTCGAGCACGTCCGCGACGGTCTGGGTCGGGGAGAGGACGACGGGCTCCGAGATGAAACCATTCTCGTGACGCTTCACCGCGCGCACCATGGCGGCCTGCGACTCCGGCGACTGGTTGTGGTGGATAACACCCAGCCCACCAAGCAGCTGCACGAGGGGGAACGCGCTCAGCACGCGATGATCGGGCTTACGCAGCGCAGGAGCTGACTCACCGCCATCGCGATCGCCATCTCCCCCTCAGTCACGGTGTCCATCGGGCTACTGATGAAGGGGGTTTTGAGGACGACGTTGCGCGTGATGCGGCTCTCCGTCAGGACGTCGGACGCGGGGAAGTCGATCTTCCCGGGAAGGAGGAGGAAATCGTTGTAGGTGAGCCCTCCGTGGCGCGTCGAGTCCATGAGGTCGGTGACGGCCAGACCATCATTGCGGGAGTACGTCTTGAGGTGCTCGAGCGCATTGGCGGGGGAGAGGAGGGCAGACATGGTGGGCGAAAGTGCCAAAATAGAAAATTTGCCAAGTGCGCTTTTGACTTGACCGCTTGGACCGATGCGTGATAAGCACGTGGCGCGTTGATATCGCCCTCGTTGACTTGTTCGCAACTTGTTCTTCTCTGTCACCAGACTGGTTTCTCTCCAGAATGCAAGTTGCTTGACTTGGCAGTGAAATCTTACCTGAGACTCTTCGAAGATCTAGCTACGAAGTGATCTCTGTCATAACCAGTGTGCGCGTCTCTCACTGAAGTCTTTGCAGTTACGCCCCAAAGTTAGGAGGAATGGTAAGTCGCCGCCACCATCGGGTGCCTGCTTGAGGCGCTGTGCGAATCTTCAATTTGATGTGTGGCGCGCAGCTTCCTCTCGACTTTCATAGATCCCATGATAGAAGGCCTCGCGTACGGTGCCGAATCGCTGCGGGATTGGTTCCTGCAGGGGACAATTAGGTTCCAACACCTTCGCTGGAAAGTTCAGCGATATTGTCGGGCTTACCATGACTTCACGACCATACACTGATGCGACGTGAAGTACGAGGGCTCTATGCTAACCGCATGCAAGCCGTTAAACCTTCCTCAGCAGGTGACATCCAATGGCCGAGCACCGGCATGTATGAATGGCTTCACCTGCGCGCCGTCTCGTGGTTCATTATATTCAAGAGAAGACACTCAGTCCCAGTGCAACGAAGCGGTCCCCATCGCATGTCTAGGATACCCGGCAACCCAGCTTCGACACCCTGTCAGATGACATGACTTCATCCTCCTTGCGTTGAACCCGAGGCCTGATCTCAATCGCGCTCTCTCCCTGCTGTCACGGTGACCCTAACTCGCCCTCTACCCTGCTAGCCTGCCTTACCAGCCTCACTTTGACAGCGCGACGATGTCCGAACCCGAACGAAAGTGGTGGAAGGAGGCCGTCGTCTACCAGATCTACCCCATCTCGTTCTTCGACTCGAATGGCGACGGCATTGGCGATCTGAACGGGATCGCAAGCAAGCTCGACTACCTGAAGGACCTGGGCGTCGACGTGCTGTGGTTATCGCCCATTTACAAGTCGCCGCTCGCGGATTATGGGTATGATATGTGAGTTGCAGTCAGGGTGGATTTGACATGAAGTTGCATCGCTGACAATTGGCTGGATATTTAGTTCAGACTACAGGAGCATCGACCCGCGCTACGGGACACTAGAAGACTGGGACAGCCTGCTGAAAGGCGTGCACGATCGCGGGATGAAGCTCATGTCAGTACATATCTCCTTCTGATCATGCCAGACCACATATTGATCCAACGAGGCAACAGGATGGACCTAGTCGTTAATCATACTTCGGACGAGGTACGCGTGTCTTCGGCGCGTTCACGTCTCGTCGAGGCGTGCTCGCTTACCCCACCCCCGCAGCACGAATGGTTCCAGCAGTCTATCTCCGGTAAAGACAATCCCAAGCGCGACTGGTACATCTGGCGCCCGCCCAAGGTCGGCGAGGATGGCTCGCGCCAGCCGCCGAACAACTGGCGCTCCGTCTTCCAGGGCTCGGCGTGGGAGTACGACGAGAAGTCCAACGAATACTACTTGCACCTCTATGTCACAAAGCAGCCCGACCTCAACTGGGACAATCCAGAGGTGCGCGAAGCGGTGTGGGACGTGATGCGATTTTGGATCGACCGCGGGTGCGATGGGTTTAGGGTAAGTTCATTGACCCAGAGCAAACATGCATTAATTTATTTTCTGCACGCAGATGGACGTGATCAATCTTGTATCGAAAGTACCCGGGTTGCCAGATGCTTCGATTACGGAGCCAGGCGAAAGGTACCAGCCTGCGGCTGAGTTCTACGCGAACGGGTATGGACCTTTTCGACACAACAGATCCTTGACTAATAAACTTCAGGCCAAAAGTGCACGAGTACATCCAGCAGATGCATCGGGAGGTCCTCTCTAGTGGGTCGCGCTTCATTCATGGCATGTAGATGGCGGACTCAGCAGCTACTGCAGAGCACGACCTCATCACCGTTGGCGAAGCGCCATTCTCCTATGACGAGAGTGCGCTTGGCAAGTATGTCCTGCCTGCGAACAAGGAGCTGCAGATGATCTTCCAGTTCGAGCTCGTCGACGTCGACTCGCCCAAGGGACCCGATCGTTCCTCCCTCATGCCGCGCCCGTGGAAGCTCACCGAGCTCAAGGGCATCATCAACAAGTGGCAGACGTACAAGCGGCATGAGGGATTTTGGAATGCGTGCGTATCGTATCTTGCTCCGACCTCGTCGACCAGGACTGACAACTGGCTTGTTAGCGTGTACATCGAGAACCACGACCAGGCGCGCTCGGTGAGCCGCTTCGGGAACGACACGACCGACGAGAAGCGCACTCTATCTGCGAAGATGCTCGCGGTCATGCAAGCGACGCAGTCCGGGACGCTGTACGTGTACCAGGGCGAGGAGCTCGGGCTGCACAACTTCCCGCGCAGCTGGGGGCTGGAGGAGTACAAGGACGTCGCGACGCAGAATTTCTACAATCGGTAAGAGGACTTCCTGCCCAGGAGAATCGCTAAGCGGAGGTGGATTGCTGAGCCGTGTCAACAGGGTACTCGAGAACCGGCGCCGCGAGCAGGGTCGCGAGGACGTCGACATGTCGGATGTCCTGGACGGGCTGCAGAAGAAGGCGCGCGACCATGCGCGGACGCCGGTGCAGGTTCGTATATGCCATGCTCTCTGGCTATCGGACCTGCGTTGACCTCCATCAGTGGAACTCCTCCCCTCACGGCGGCTTCACCACTGGCAAGCCGTGGATGAGGGTCAACGACGACTATCCCAGCTGGAACGCCGAGAAGCAGATCTCGGACCCCGGCAGTGTGCGCTCGTTCTGGAAAAAGCTGCTCGAGCTGCGAAAGGAGAAGGCGGTTCTGGTGAGTATTGCTTGTTTCGTCTTCGGACACGTTGATGCATTTCGCTGACCGATGTGGTTGCGCAAAGATCTACGGCGACTTCAAGCTGCTGCTCGCTGACAGCGAGGACGTGTTTGCGTACCAGAGGTCCCTGGGTAATTCAAGGGCGTTCGTGTACCTCAACTTCCGCGACAAGGACGTGCAGACGTCGCTCCCAAGTGATGTCGGGTCGCACTTTGAGTATGGGCTGGGCAACTACGCGGATGGCAATCAGTCACTGGACAGGTTCGTCCTGAGGCCGTACGAAGCACGCGTCTACTTCTCCGCCGACACTTGACTGAAGGTCAAATGCCCTCGACAAAAATAATGTATCACTGACCTCTGAGCATCACTCAACCATGTACTTACTACGCCCGCACAAATACAGACTCGACCATGACGCCCCCTCTGAATTATACAGTGCCTAGAAATACAGCTATGCAAGGAATGAGGGGACCTATTCGATGAGAATTGGCGATGAGTCTCGTCCGCGACCATCTCCTCCATCCGGCGGCCCTGCAATACTGCCCGTACGCACGGGCCTCTTGCGCGCCGGCTCCTCATCCTCGTCCACCAGGTCGATCACTTCCCCATCCGCCACCGCGCCCCGTTTGCGCTTGCGCGTCCTCCCCGACGCTGAGCGCTCGTCGTCCGAGTCGTCCACCACGATCACGTCGCTTGGGGCAGGAGGTCGAGCGACGCGAGGGCGGGGCGGTCGTGTGCGGGGGAGGGGTGCGGGAGGTGCGATCATCTTGCCCTTGCCCTTGTCGAGGGTACCCATGGCGTATAGTCGTGTCCAGGCGCGCGCAGTCTCGTCATGCTCCTTGCGGCGAACCTTGTACTGTTGGGCTATCAGAGCCACTAGGAGGGGATGAATGAGGGTTCAGGCGTTCGAAGGGAAGGCGTACCGAGAGGGTCATCTGAAAGATTGTGTGAGGCACAAGCATGTTGTGGGAGACGGAAGCATACCTGGATTTGGGTCCGTCAAGAGTGACGACAAGGAGAGGATGACCTTGAAGAGGGAAAGTGCGGGAGACCTGAGGGAAAAGTGAGGAAGACACCAAAATCTGGGGGATGATGACCGACCAGTTGCCCTTGAGGATATCCAAGCAGATGTGGCCCGCGTCGGAGATCTGTGGCGCGTCAGGCGTGTGTGTGCGTTGAAGTTCCGGCGTCAGGGGACACTTACGTTCATATGGTATATTCTGTGCAAGAGGGTAAGCAAAGGGAAAGAGTGGTCATGTATGCCTACGCACCTCGTCTTGAAAGCCAATTTGGGTGCCGAGAACCTGCCCGGACGCTATGACTGAGCAGCCGTCCGATCGTGCAAAGACGAGCGACGCACGGGTAATCTGCTGGCAAGTGGATTTCCACATCAAAGGATCCTCCCTCGTACAGGCTCCCCTCTGGTCCAGGAATTGTGGCCCTCCACAGGTAGACGTTGGTCTCGTCTGGTGCCAGCTTGATTCCATTCAAGTCCTCCTTCTTCAGGTCCGCAATCTCGCGGTGAATGCGCTTGAGAGTTGTCTGGCTGGATAGTCCTGGTGGCGGCATCAATCTGGGTGGTTGGCGAGGAGGTGAGCCAGAAACACGAGGACGACGGTGCTGGTCAATGCGAAGTGCTATTGTTTCCGATTTCCGCATGAAGACCGAAGATAGGGGCAAAACGCGATCACGTGCCAATGGTGACGCGTCACGTTCTCATCAGCTCAGCGCGACGCAAACGCTTGTAGATATGCACAATTCAAAGCAAATGATGTGTACGCAGATAAGTAGAGAATATAGTATACATATATGCATATTCATATGCATACATAAATCAAGTACTTGGCCACAAGACGAGATTCCAGAGATTAGCCGAACATTGCCTCTGAACCTATCGATTTCCGGAGAAAGAGTAAATGGCATCCTCGACGACGCAGACCCTTTCAAAACAGACGCACGCCGACCCGCCGCCTCCGCACCAGCGTCAAGGGTAATGCCGATACGAGGTACCATACGCTTTCCACAGGATTGCTTGAACTTCCGGAACGGCGGCCGTGGGGATCTACTCGTCAGTCAGCGCCATTCCTATATGGAGTACCTTCTTATAATGGAGAGAGACTGCGAGAGCAAATTTCTCAGCGAAGGCGCGCGCCAACGCCTGAAGGCCAGTCTCCAAGCGTGATTGTAATGGGTCAGTTGTGTGCTACGTCCGACGACGCAAGTGCATGGGCGATGCACTGCAAGTCACCTTCGAGGAGGACGTGGGTTCCAAAGATTAGCGTCACTGTTGACAGTCCACAGCACATCCGCGCTGATGTGGACGCGTTCGCCGAGCGCCCAAAAGCGCCCAGCTACTAGGACGCATCAGAAACGAGTATGCCATGTCCTGCCAATGCCGCAGACTTGCACCACCTCCGTTGCCCGCTCGAGCAAGCAACATCGCCGGCGGCACATACCTACGGCAGCGAACGAGCGCATAGCACCTCCGCTGCCCCCCAACTTCTGATGAAGAAGGCCAGGCAGCATCGACGGCACTACTGCTCACTCGCTGTGACGCAGACCCCGCCCGCCGCATCCATTGTCGAGTCCTTGGTGATGACGCCACGATGCAGCGACATCGGCTCTTCAACTTCAACGACGAGCCCGACGATGGTGAATCTCGCAACCACTGGTTCAGCTGCCGAGCTGGCAGCTTCCGCAGATACTGCGATAGCGATCCACTCACAATCGCATCCGCCGTTGAGCATCTGTCGCGTTGGCTGTCATCAGACGTGCTGACTGGCAAGTCAGGCGCATCTGACGGGAGACTGCTGGTCGGTCTAACTGCGAGATGTGGTCGGTCGGGTGCTGCGTCGGACGCTGGAAACATAAGCATAGCTCAGCGCATCCCTCGGAAAGGATTGCATAGGGCTCCAAAAACTTCGTCGTAGTCGACAGAGCATGCCACAACAGCGCGAACGTATGCACATTCGCTGAACGCACGAAGGCGCGTCAGCTACTAGGCCACGCACGCGGTAGCTGCGCCATGCTCTGCCGACGCCACAGATGTGAGCCGCCTTCGTCACTCACGCGGAGATGAGCAACATCAGCGGCTCACATCTGTGGCCGCGAATGAGAGCGCGACTCCTCCGCTCCCATACCCATCCCAAAGAAGGAGATCGGGAGCCTCGACGGCGTCACGCACCCATTCGCAGAGGACGCAGACCCACCCGCCGCATCCATTGTCGAGACATGGTGATGCCACTGCACAGCAGCGACATCGACTCTTCAATGTCGGCGGCGAGCCCAACAGCGGTGGCTCTCGCGGCGTCTGGCTCGGCTGCCGATCCGGCAGCTTTGGCAGAGACCGCAGTGGCGACCCACCCCACACAACGCATCCGCCCATTGTGCGTCTGTCGCCGTGCCTGTCACCAAACGCGCCAGCAGCCGATGAAGATGGCATGCTCAGCGCGCCTGGCAGGAGACGCTTCGGTCCGTCTGATTGCAAAGTGTGGTTGGTTGGGTGCTGCGTCTGACGCTGAAATTGAGAAGAACGATTTGGGTCACCGCCCGTCTTTATACTATCGGGCACGTGTCATCAATGCGTGTGATCGGCGGATGCCGCCTTGTTCCCCATTCGGACTTATGCATTGTTTCTCTGCATGATGATGGTGTCGCAGGGAAGCGCTCGTGGTCCTTTCAAGTTCCTGCTCGCCTTCAAGAGTCGACTTTGGAAGCATTCCGGCCGCTCAAGCATGTTCAAAAGCGCCTCTGCAGCACGTGACTGCAGCAGGCGCCTGGGATTAGCGTGTCGCTGTACGAGGGCGCCAACGCTTTGAATGACACTCGGTACGTCAAATAGAGATATCTATCTCGAATACATACAAGTATAAACCGGTTCAACTCGAAGGTTTGAGCGAAACGAGGCCTCAGTCAAGACACGACGTGATAGACAGCAACAAGCCGCCGCCGTGCCACGAGCCGAAAGCGCCATGGAACAGCCTGCATTAATCCTGAAACCTGCACATCCCGTGCACACTAACGCCCCACAACCGCGACGACGAAGTGCGTTACCCGCCGCGACACCAGCTCCGGGATTTAGCTCTCCAGCGGATTATTGTACTCGTATTAGGTCAAAACCAACGAGAACGGTGCATGTATGCAAACTTTCTCACAGGTGTCGCTGCAACTTCAGTACATCATGCAGCTGGCTTCGCTAATGTTGAGCCTCTCGCAAGGCTTCGGATGATGCTGCCTGCGCGCAGCGGACTGCCAGAGTGGGCTCTTCTTGGGGACCTCGCATTTCGACAATTTTCTGGAGAGAAAAGCGCTCCGCCATGCCTTCAAAAGAGGACTTTGCCTGCGATATATGAACTTTGCAGTCGCGGAGGTATGTGTGCACGACCTGTAGGTTGCCCGCGACGATGCCGATTGCTGTTTTCTTGTACCTCTCATGAGGTAGACGGAGATTGAGGGGGTCGCACACCATCGTAATCCAGTGCAACGCACTCACATTGCACGGACTCGTAACACAGGTAGCCTACCGTACGAACTCGTTGTGTGGTAATACAATAGTCTGGATGGTCGTAAAGTACACTTCTATCTTTCAGCCGACCTGTGTATGTATGTATTCCTAGGTGTCGCAAGAGGAGAATCGGTCAAACAGTGCAGTGTAAGTAAGTATGAGGGCAGGAAGTGTCCATAGACCTGTCACAGGACATAATGATAATCCAGAAAAGAGGGGTAAAGAAAAAAGATACAACGCATCACGGAGGGGGATCGTCGCGGCTGGACTCAGTCCGAGTTCCACTCACCGCCTCGCGCGAGCGACGCAAACACTCCGCGGCGGGCCATCAGCTCCTCAAACGTCCCCTCCTCGCATACCTGGCCGTCCTTGAGAAGAACGATCCGGTCGCACATCTGCATTGCCTCGAGCTTGTGCGTTATCATCACCGTCGTGCGGCCCTCCTTCGCGCGTGCGATGGCCTCAAGCACGCCGCGCTGGCTCTCCGCGTCTAGCGCAGAAGTGCATTCATCGAGTACGAGAACTCCGCGCCCGACGTGCACCCCAAGCCGCGCAAGGGCTCGCGCGATCTGCAGCCGCTGCTTCTGCCCGCCCGACAGGCGCGCCGCGTCCTCGCCGAGCATGGTGTCGTAGCCCTGCGGGAGCTCCATGATGAACTCCTGCGCGCGCGCGGCCTCCGCGGCGCGAAGAATATGAAACTCGGGCATGTGAGCGGTGCCGTAGGTGATGTTGTCGCGCACGCTCGCATCCCACAGCTGTGGGTGCTGGCTCACGACGGCAAGGTAGTGGCGGAGGTGGTCGACGTCGACATGCCGGATGTTGTGGTAGCCGATGGATATCATGCCGGCCTGCGGCTCGTATAGCCGTTGCAGGAGTGATGCGACGGTCGACTTGCCAGAGCCCGACTCGCCCACGATGGCAACGCACTCTCCGTCCTTGATCCGGAGAGTAAAGTCGCGCAAAACGGGGGCATCGGGACGTTCTGGGTAAGCAAAGTCGACGTTGCGGAAATTGATATCGCCATAGAGCGCTGGGCACTCAGTGCCCTTCGCCTCAGTCGTGTCAAGGGGAGACAGATGTCCTAGTTCGTTGAGTTGTGTCGTAGCCTGAGTGGCTTTGCTGATCTTGGCAGCTAAGAGTATGATCAGTTCACTGAACCTCAAGTCATCGAATGATCACTCACTGAAAGCCATGATCTGGCTGCCGATGGTGACCGTGAATACGACCAGGTTGAGCGTCTCGACCATACGCAAGTACGAGTAGCGACCGTTGGCAATGAGGACGGCGCCAATGTAGAACAGAAGCGCCTCCGCGAAGTAGATTAGACCGGAAGCAATGCCACCCGTGCAGCCTTCGGTGAGCGCGCCGCGCACACCGCTCTTGAGCGCCTGCGCCGCTGCCTTCTCGAATTGCTGGCGGAAGATATCGTCGTAGGTCATAGACCGGATAGCGCGGATGTTGGAGATGGTCTGAAGACCGGTCAGACACACAACAAGCATCGAAATGCGCGATACATACCTCGTAGTATCCCTTGCTGACCTGCTCGCGCGCGAGGCGGTTGCGACGCTCGCACTCGCCTACAAGTCGTGTCTGTATCGCCATTACGCCCATGAACACCGGCGCCACGGCAAAGCCCGCGAGGGTCAGTTCCCAGCCGCGCGCCAGCGCCCACAACAGCCCAATCCCGAACATCGCCGTCACCACTACCATCTGCCCGATCACCGTGCTCAGAAGCAGCTTCGCATCCTCCGCGTCCTTCACCAGCACCTGCACGATCCGCGATACCGTGTTCGCTGGGCGGTCGAACCACGCCTTGTCCTGCGCGAGCACGTTCGCGAAAGCGGTTGCGCGCATGCGGTCGGCCCACAGGCCGGCGAGCGTCTCCATGAGGAAGTACTTCGTACCCATGAGCAAGCCATCGAGACAGGTGACGCCAAGAACGAGTCCGCCGACGCGGTTGATGAGGCCGACGTCGGTCGAACCGGTAGAGACCTCGAACATGAGGCGTGAGAGGAAGAAGGAGAAGACGGGAGTCATGGCGCCGTTAGCGAGGCAGAGGAAGAGACCGAGGAGGAAGAGGGGCTTGTAAGGGGCGTCAGGGTAAACAGCCCTGAGAGTCGCGAACAAGCCTGGTGGGCGAGGGGCCGGTGGTTCGTCGGACGCCTTCTCGGTCCCTTCGACGCGAATGTCGACACTGCCTGCATTTCGGTTGCGGCGATCCGGACGCGCAGTTGGGCGTGGCGCGCTGGACGCCGCTTCCATGCGTCTCTTCTCGTCCTCGTCCAGAATAACCTCCCCGCTCGTCCTGTGTGTTGGCTTCACGAACGTCGGCGATGAAGGGGTGAATTGCAGACTGCGACGCCGGCGGTATCCGTACTCTACCTGATCGTATGCCGGCGGAGGAGAGACGGGGATCGAGACATGCATGCTCGGACGACGACGTGCGGCTTGCGCAGCCGTGTACGTCGCATGCTTCGAGGTAGTAGTCTTTCTCTTCTCCCTCTCCTTCTCCTGGCGCGGCGCCTCTGCTCGCTCGGGAGCGGCTGTGATATCGGCGATGGCGTCCAGCATCCAGCCGTTCGACATCGTCTTCAGCCGCGTCAGGCGCTTGCTGAGGTTCGGTGCCGCGAGGGAGTCCGGTCGGGCGAACGCGCCGCTGAACACATTGGGAGCACGCCATGCAGCAGGCGCTGCCTCCTCTTCCTCGTCAGAGTCCTCAAGCTCCTCTTTCGCGCGTTCCCAACCTTCGTCGACGGCGCCGGGCTCTGAGCCATTGGGTGACTGGACAGCCTGGGCTTCGCGCAAGCGGAGGAACTCGCCATCGCCATCGAACTCGTCGTCGACGACCGAGCGAGAGTCGCGGGCCTCCGTGGAGATGTTGCGCGCCTCCAGGTCCTTGCGGAAGCCCTGCTCGGCCACACGGCCATTGCGCATCACGTACACGAAGTCGTCCAGCTCGATGTGCGAGAGGTCGTGCGTGACGACGATGGTCGTGCGCGTCTTGCGGGGCGCAGTGTGCATGGAGGACGCGACTGTGGACGGCGAGTAAAGCGTGTCCCTCTCACTGTGGGGTAAACGCCAGCGTTTGATGGCCTCAAAGACCAGGACGCGCGAGGTGATGTCCAGGGCGGAGGTCGGTTCGTCTGTGACAAACGTGAGCCTGCGTCGTCAGTAAAATGAAATTTGAACTGACCCAGGATGAGCACTGCTGGGTCCTTGACCCTCGCGCGTGCGATAGCGAGTCTCTGCTTCTGACCACCACTCAGGCTGCTGCTCGTCAGAGGCGTGTCAAAGCCTTCGGGTAGATCTAGGATGAAGCTGTGCATAAGAGCGATGGTCGTGGCCTCCACGACGAGTGCTTGCGTGTGGGAAGGCAATTCGTCGAAGCTCTATCGACAGGGATTAGTATACGGCGGACACGTTGAAAGCTTATACTGACCGCAATCTCCGCACTCAAGTCGTAGCCAGTGCCCATCAAGATATTTTCCCACATCGTCTTGCCTTCCAGCACGACACCCTCGGTCTGACTGACGCACGCAATGTTGGTCCGGATCCAGTCATGGTCAAGGTACCGGACGTCCTGATCGTCAATTGAGATGATGCCGGAGTAATTGTCGTACATCCCGCTGACGAGCTGGGCGATGGTGGACTTGCCCGCGCCGCTGCCACCGACAACAAACGTCAGATCACCAGCAGGCAGGAACATGTTGACGTCCCGCAGCGCTGCCACCTCGGAGCGCGCCGGGTAGGCAAACGATACGTCCGAGAGCTGGATCTGGCCGTCGAATTTCTGTGGGCGGACAGGACGCATCTTCGTGAAGCTCTTGCCGACAGCGAAAGTGGTAGGAGTGGATGGAACGGAACCAGAATCTCTGGATGGCGGCACAGGGGGCTCATCGGCGATCATACCCAACAAGGACGCGGCAGCGAACTTTCCTTTGGCCAAGGAGATGAGCTGAGGGATGCACATCTGCACATGACTGGCTGCGATGAGGCAGGCCCAGAAGACTGCCATCACATCGCCTGGCTCTATGCTTCCACGGCGAACGAGGGTAGATCCGAACCAGAAAGCTTGCACGAACATACACATGCTGACGAACTGAGAAACGCCGGACGTCATTCCCCAGGTCGCATTGAGAGCGCGATATGCAGCACCAAGAGCAGTGAGGGTCTTTGAGAACGCGTTCAATGTGAACGAGGTTGCCGTGAAGGCCTTGACGGTCGTAATGAAGGAGACTGCACGCTCGACTGTGGTGGCAAGCGCGGAGGACAATGCAGATGTCTGAGCAAGCCTCGGCCCCGCGAACCGCTGCGAAATCGCTTGCACGAAGACGAGGACGGGCAAGGAGGACAGGGTGACAAGGGTGAGGACCGCCGAGCGTGAGAACGCTAGCCCCAGACAGGTGACAAGCGTCGTGAGGTGCTGGACGAGCAAGCCGGAGCTGAGGGACGATGCGGCACGCACGTCGTCCGTCTCCCGCGCGAACGTCGCCATCATGCCGCCCGCACCCTCACCCGGGGCGACCGCGGTGTCGAACCAGGCTATGGGCTTATGCGCAACGGCGGTGTAGACGCGACGGCGGAAGCCGAGGACGTTGCGCTCGCCGGTCCATATCCAGAGGCAGGACGTGAGGCTGCCGAGCGCGATCGAGCCGACTGCGAGGCCGAGGAGCTCGAGGGCGCTGATGCCGACGGTGTGCAGGAGGGCGTCCTTGGCGGATTGCGGGGGACTGGGGGTGAGGGGGAACTGGGCGAACGCGTTGAAGGACTGGCCGATCACGTAGGTCATGAAAGGCGCGACGCCACCCGCGACGATCGAGGAGAGGAGGGCGGGGAGGAGGAGGCAGAGCACGTCTTTCCTGGAGAGTGAGGAGAAGAGGAGGCGGATGGAGGGCGCTGGCGCGCCCGTCGCGGCCGGTGCGCTGGGGGACAAAGGCGCGGCGGATTCGTGGGTGCTATGTCGTGAAGTGGTCGAGGGTCGTGGCGAGTTAGATTCGTAAGAGTTCATGTCCTGCTTCTCGACAACGAGTGACTTGGGTCGTTGGCGTCGCATCGTGAACGTTGTCTTCGTCGTCGAGGTCGTGAAAGAACGAAAGGAACGAGGGTTTTATCGAAGTCCTCGTGAACTGATGCCTTTATTGTCTTCTATTTTTAGAACAATAAGGATGAACATTGATATCACGTGAGTTTCATATGCGGGCCTTAACGTGCCTCAAAATGACACTCCTCTGTAGCCACTAATACGACCTCGAGCGACTGCCCTTCAGCGACAACGATACTCAAGAAAAGAATTGTGGGTCCATGTAAAGAAAGACATGTCGAACCACGTGATCGGTGTAATAGTTACCTTATTTGGCAGTCTTTGGTGGTTCGCAAAAAGTATGGCGTCTACTATTGCACATTCCAATGTTTCAACGCTAGAAAAAGGTGCTCAGACTGACTTATAGAGACCTATAAATCTCAGTACTCTTGATTCATTTATGGACAACTATGGGTCCCCGCTTTGTCCATTTTAAGCTCGTGGGAAAGCGCCAAACACGGCGCGCACTTTCGGCGCACAGAAGTGGGCAGCCGTATCCTTTGTTTTTCACCGTCATGGCTTCGTACAAGTCCGCAATACGCTCGCAAGCGCCTTCAGAGCAGGTAGATGGTACCAAGTACCGCGCCCAAGCTCGGCAACTCCAGGAATTCTTCCCTACATGGTCAAACGATGGTACGGCTAGGACACCTTTTTTAATGACGCGCGTCTCAAAAGCATTTTCCCCCCACTGAACAGATCTCCAATCGCTTTTGGTTGAGGTATCGGGAGATGTAGAGCTTGCTGCTGCTCGTATCAGCGAAGGTGCGCCGCCGGCCATTTGTACGCGTTTTCTGTACTGATTGAACATTTCGTCATCAGGTCGCGTAGAGCAATGGGGCGCTGTACACCGCAAAAAAGAGAAGCGCACCTCCACCCCAGGTCATGCATCCAAGGACTCCGTGTCATCCGCTCCGTCCCCTCGTGGGGGAGCCGATTTTCGCGGCGGACGAGGGGGTCGCGGGGGCAGAGGAGGCGGTCCCGTAGGACGCGGTTCCTTCCGTGGCGGTCGCGGCGGGCGAGGCGGTTTTGCAGGAGCCGTCACAAACGGCCATACACCCGCGAGGGAGTCGACCTCCAGCCCGGCCTGGGGCACCTCTGCTGCAAAGCCTACTGCCCCTGCGTCGACGGACGCTACAGCCCCGCCCGCGGCAGACAACGCTTGGGACTCATCCGCCCATGCAGAATCGAACGCAACCCCGAACGCTTGGGGTGCCCCGGAGCCCAAGTCTGAGCAGCCGCCTGCCCCAGCCCCAGCCCCAGCCCCCGTGACGGCCCCCGCACCCGACGTAAATGGCACGGCCACACAGGCGCCGGCGCCGAAGAAGCCAGCTACTTCCAAGATGTCCTGGGCGCAAATCGCACGCCCACAGGAGAAGCCGCCCCCAACGCCCAAGCCTGCTGCTCCCGCTGCAGCCGCTCCCACCGCGCCCGCCCCGGCGCCCCAGGTTGCCCCCGCGGCGCCGGAACCCGCTCCTGAAGCTCAGCCTTCAGCTCGGGAGGAGCCTGTCACGGTTGAGGCGCCGACTTGGGAGGAGGACAAGCCGTCGGTATCCACCCCCGATGCTTGGCCTGAGGCCCCTGCAGCTGCTCCTGAGCCTAAGGCTAAAGAGCCGACGCCCCCTGCGCCCGAGCCCGAGCCCGTCGCTGCACCAGCAGCGGTCCCCGTCAAGCCCGCGGAGGAGCCCCCTAAGCCGCGTGTCGCAGAGGCGTCGCCCAAGCCCTCGCCAAAGCCTCGTCCCGCCGCCGCGCACCGTACGAGCGCTGCCGCTGCACGCTTCAAGGCCGGTGATGCTGTGGTCATGCCACGATTTGGGACCGCGTCCCCAGTCCCTTCCGCCGACAAGCTTGGCATGCAATTCGGCTCCCTCAACCTCGGTGGTACGCCAATCGACGATAAGTGAGTGAAGCAACCTTTTCACCCGATTGTAAGCTAATTCCAAGCAGGCCGGAACCCGAAGCAGCGCCCGCGGCCCAATCTCCCCCTCAACCCGCACCCCAGGCAAAGGCACCGACGCCGCCTGCGCCTTCTATCCTTCAGCAACCTCAGCAAGCGCAGCCTCAACAGGCTCAGCAGCAACCGCAACAGCCGTCCCAGCCGCAGACGTCGCAGCCCTCCGCTTTCTCTGCCGCCATCTCGCAGCCGACGCAGCCCCCCACCAACCACGTCACCGCCTCCACGTCCCCCATCCAATCCCTCTCTACCTCCCACTCCGCCCAACCTGCGCAGACGACGGCGCTGCCGCAAAGCCAGAGTCAGCCCCAGCAAATCCAGAACCAGTACGCTACGGGCCTTCAACACCACCTCGAGCATCAGGCCCCGCAAGCGCCGCAGCCTCAGGCGCCTAGCCAGAATGCTGGGTATCTGCGTCACCAGCAGGAGCCGGCGTACTTCCACACTCCCACTCCCCCGCAAGAGGCGCACTACGGAAGCCCCTTCGGCAACGGCATCGGTCTCAGCGGCGCTATGGGTGCGACTGGTCACAACCAGGGAGGCCTCGGTATGGGTGGGCTCGCCGGTGGCCTCGGTGGTCTCGGTGCTGCCGGTCTTGGCCAAAATGCCGTTGGCGCTATGGCGCAGAGCGCCTCTCAGGGTAACGCTCCCTGGGGCAGCGTTGACTACGGCTACGAGTCTCCCGCCGGACGTGGTGTATGTTGCACCCATGTTTTTTCTCCCTTCGTCGGCTGACTTGACTAGCAGGGCTTTTACGATTCGTACACCCCCGGCTTCAACCGCGGTGGTATCCTTGGCCACGACGACCTCAAGGGCGGCCTGGCTAGCAGCGCGCCGCAACCGCAACAAGCTCAGCAAGGTCCTGTCGCCCAGCAGCAGGGACAGCAGGGCCCGCCTCCTTCGCAGCAGCCGCCGAGCGCCGCCAATCCCAGCGCCGGCCCCGGCGCCCAAACGCCTCAACAACAGCAAGCCCAGCAGCAGAACTACGGTCCCCCGCCCGTCCCCTACTACTACAACCCTTACCCTCAGAACCAATACAATCCCTACGCGGGCGCGCAGTACAACCCGGGCTACGGCGTCGCGCCTGGCTACGTCAAGTATCCGACCATGTTCCCCGGTGGTGGTGGCGGGCTGAACAAGCAGCCCGGCGTCGGTGCCGGCGCAGGCATGGGCGGCGGTGCGTCGTACGGGCAGGGTGGCCTCTACCAGCAGGGCGCGTATGACGATTACCAGCATGGTGGCATCGGGCTCGACAACTACGGCGTCGGTGCGGGCAAGCCTGGCGCCCCGGGTGCGCAGCAGCAATATGGCGGTGCAGCGCAGAGCCCTGCGCAGGGTCAGGGTCTTATGGGTTTGGCTGGTGGCGCGCGTGGTAGCCCCGAGACTGCGTACAAGCAGTACGTGCCGAAGGATGTCGGCGGAGGTCCCGGGAAGGCCGCGCAGCAGCCGCAGGGTCAAGGCCAGCAGGGCTTCTACGGCGGCAGCCGCTTCGGCAGCGGCGCGGGCGTTGGCGGTGTTGGCGGTCTCGGTGCCCAGCAGGGCGGGCCGCAGCACCTCTACGGTCCCCAGGGCGGTGCCGATGGGCAGTTCTACGGGTACCAGCGCCAGCAGGGCTACTGGCAGTAAGCTATTCGCCTCGCTGCGGACGCCATCGAATTGTACACGCAGACGCCTCTGCTGTAATCCAAAGTCCAAGCTCGCTGTAACTGACCGACAAGCACATCATCCTCTTCACCTCCCCTCCATCCCCATCTTGCTCTTGCTTTTCGCTCTAGTTATCTGCACCGTCCGTCCGTCCTTCTTTGTCATCTCTCTTCCTTCTTCTCTTTTTCCTCCATCTTCTTCTTGTCGATTCTCATCTGTGCGTACATACGTTACATCACATATTCTGTCGTGTCTTCGTCGCAATGTCTGTTCTTGTACACTTATACGAACAAAGACCTCTGAGCGAGTCCCTGTAATATGATGGGTCGAAAGACTGAAATCCCCACACTTGCTGGCGTGATGATGTGTTGCAGGCAACTGTTGGTGAAGGTGAACATTCAGCGACTTGATCCTGAGTGCCAGCTGTACTTGCCAACGCAAGCCAATGGGTATTCTGTTATCCTCTGCTGATAGTAGGACTGTATAGCGCGCCACAGTGGGGGCGATGACTAACCCCAGATGGAAGTTGACTTGAAAGAACGTGGGCGATGCGTGCTTCAATTAGCAACACCCGCGACACGCGCAGGACCATATTGCACTCTCGGTCGTTCTCGATACCTCCCATCGCTCGCCCAGCCCGAGGGCATGCCCGAGTGGTTGATCGTGCCATTTGCTTGCTCTGAACCTTTGACTGCACCCACTGCACTTTGCGCCGGCGATTCGCGCGCGTCACCTTGGCGACTGGATAGCGGAAGTACCGAAAACGGCGGGATTGGAGACTTGCACAATTAATCCATCGGGGACTGTATTAGACCATCGTCCGAGCATTGCATACGGATAGGAGGTGCGTGGGGACGTACTGCGTGTCAAGGATGGCGTTGTTGACCTGCACTTGCGTGTCTAGGAGTAGAACGCAGCCGCTGCCCCGACAATCCTTGTATATCCATCTCATGGCGAACGGGCAAGCTACCCCTCGCGCCCTTGACGGCCCCAGGCGCGTCAAGCCACTCAATATGTCGCTCGTTAGCCAGAAAGTCGCTGGAGTGGAGCTGGAGACAGAATCACCCCTCGCCCTCTCGGACTCCGAGAGCGACGACTCGAACTACGACTCGTTTGACGAAACATCGCCCACCGCCTTCACTCGGCCCCCTTTCCTCACAACCCTCGACAACGAGCACGAGACGCCGTCGTCTGCGAGCGACATACAGGCCGAACTTGCAGCACTCGAAGAGCTTCGCAGGAACGTGCAGAAGAACCTCAAGCTGCGTCCCATACGCTCGACGAACAACCTGCGCAAAGCTTCGGACGGGACCACTGGTAGTTCCTCGACGTCCCCCTCCTCTTCCATCGACAACGACAGCATGATCAGTCCCGCATCGAGCGTGTCGTCCTACTACACCCCGCTGAACGAGCATCCCCCGATAACTTCTCCCAAGAGCGCCAGATACATCGGGCCATCGAAATCACCATCAACACCACCTAAACGACCTTCTCGCCCCGTCGACCCAGGCACGCTCTACATCCGGCTCACGCAGTTCTTCAAGCGCCCTCTGCTCATAGATACCCGCCCCGCCGCCGCGCACCTGCAATTCCACATACGCGACAGCGTCAACGTTTCCATACCGTCCTTGATCCTGAAGCGCTGTCGGAAGCCAGGCAACAGCGGCTTCCATGGACTGGATTCTTTGCGGCAGTTCATAACCACCGACGAAGGCAAGGCGCTTTGGGACAAGCAGATGCACCCCGGCGGGCCGTGGGATGGCGATGTGATCCTCTACGATGAGGAGATGGACGCGCGCGATCAGAGCACCTCTGCTGCTGTGGCATGGGCGCTGGTGTCGGTGCTTAGCCCGCTGGTTAAGGAAGGCAACGTAGACTGGCTTGAGGATGGCCTAGCTCGCGCGGGGCACCATCCTGATCTTCAGAAGCTCGTTGTGACTGGCGCGGACTCCAGCTTCACGCCCAGCCCGCACAGCGCGAACGCAGGATCGGGACTGACAAAGCTGAACACCGGTCGGAAGAATGTCCCCCCGCCGGTGAAAGTGACCACGGACAGCCCACAACAGCCTGTGGCGAAGGCACCGCCGTCACCTTTACCTCTTATGCCGGGCTCGCTGCGCCTTGCGCCCCCGCAAGGGCCTTTGCAGGCGCTCATGGACACTACACCTTCACCACCCCCCTCGCAAGTTTCTTTCCGCCGCCCGTCACCCCCGAAGCGTCCAAGCGTGCCGAATCTACGGAAGTTGGACACTTCATCAGCCGAACGGCTGCCCAAATTATCAGTCAATACCCGACCAACGAAATCAGCAACATTGGCCGTCCCGCCTTTATCCCTGTCAATAAACCCGCCATCATCGCCCTCACACCTCACTCTTTCTCACTCGAACTTCTCCGCCTCCTCCCCACTGTCGACCGCGTTCAACCACGATGGGGACGACTCAGCATACTTTGCGCCGCCAAAGTCACCGCGCACGCCGAGACCAGAGACGCCACGTACGGCGCGGCCGGACGAGATGTCGCCCCAATCGGCATATCCCGCATCGCCTTTCCAGTCCCACTTTGGTGCGCCCCAGACCGCCTTTCATACGTCCTTCAACGATGACTCGCCGTCGTCGGCGGAGGATTCGCAGCCGCAGTTCTCCGTGTCCACCATCCTGCCAAACTTCCTCTTCCTTGGGCCCGAGATGACCTCCCCGGAGCACGTTGCGGAGCTGAAAGGCCTGGGCGTGCAGCGCATCGTCAACCTCGCGATGGAGTGCGACAAGGACGACTACGGTCTTCGGCTGGGAGACGTGTTTGACCGCTATTACAAGATCGCGATGCGCGATATCGTCGAGGAGGATGGGATTCGAAACGGTGTCAGGGAGGTCTGTGGCATTCTCGGTGAGCAGAAGTAACAACTCGAGTGGTTCGCAAACTCAATGTCTCTCTTGCACAATAGACGATGCACGGCTGCACTCTTCGCCTACCTACGTGCACTGCAAGGCGGGCAAGTCGCGGAGCGTCACCGCCGTGATGGCCTACCTCATCCACGCCAACCACTGGACGCTCTCCAAGGCGTATTCATTCGTAACCGAGCGCCGCAAAGGCATCTCGCCGAACATTGGCTTTGTCAGCGAGCTCATGACCTTCGAGGAGGAAGAGCTCGGCGGGAAGAGCTCTGGCGTGACCGCCGCGTCAAACTCCGCAGGGCGCACCAACATCGAGGATCCGTCAACTGCAGGCTTCTCGCGCCGCCCGAGCGTGGCTCGCGAGCGTGAAGCTAACGGCCCGGCCTTTGTGTCGATGCCGACGATGCCCACGCACGGGCAGTCACACTCGATATCGTTCGCGGGCACGATGTCCTTCGCGGACGCGAAAGACGAGCCGGGTTTGTCGTCGACTGAGGCCATCAAGCTCGTCGGCGGCACCGGCCACGAGACGGAGATCAAGGATGCTAGCGGACGCTACCGACACGCACGCCGCGCACCTGTCGACGAGACGACCCTCCAGCCGTCTCGGCGCGTCAGCAAGGCGGGGCTGGAGAGTGGTGGTTGGGCTTGATGGCGCCCTCACACTGGCCTTCTCTCCTTGGGAATGGACACTTGTTCTTCGGCGCGCGCATTTGGAGGCCTCTTTGATCTGCGCAGCCAAATTCTCTGACTTGCAGTAGTCAAGTTCATGTCTACTTCTTGTTGCTGTCTTTGCTACTTATCGTCTCCTCTGTTTTCGGACCTCCCCTTCCTTGGGCATCTGCATTACATATATATTATTATTGACTTCTTTCGCTCTTACTGTTGAATGTCTTATGTATTCCCCGAGTTCCAATGCAGCCTGTTGCTTGTGGTTCGTTGGCTTGCAGGTGGGGTATATAAGCCAATCACGAGGTGAGTAGTTATATTCTCTGGAATACTCTTCACTACGCAAGCCCTGGATTGGGCGCGTGAGTGGTCGACGGTGTGGAAGCACCGTCGCCTACCAGTGACACGAGTCGCAGACGGTGTCGATGATCGAGTCCTTCTTCCTCGCGATGGTGGCCTTCCTGGACGTACTGCAAAGGGCGCGAGAGGAGATCGACAGAGTAGTTGGTGCAACACGGCTGCATGACTTTGGCGATCGCGATGCCCTACCTTATGTCTCGGCCCTCGTCAGGGAGTTGTCGAGGTCTTGTGCAACAACTGTACGACTATCCTTCTGGCTGACTTGCCGCATTCACAGATGGGCTCCCGTTGCGCCTCTAGGCTTGCCACATATGACCAACGAAGACGATGTATATAACGGGTGCTTCTCTAGTCACGACGACCTTTAGCGAATCGGACCGACGGACCGCAATGCATTTTGGGCGAGGGGCGAAATTGCCCCATGCGGTTATGAACCCCTTTTCCTCCGACCTGAACTCTCATGGAGAAATACGCAGCGACCCCAATCCTTGTTAAGCCCTTTTACGAGGCTCCCATACGTCTACCGTTTCATAAAGTGCCAGACGACTGTAGCGGATGCCCGCTATATGAGCGCTTCGAGGTGCGTTTAACCTCCTTAGTGAAGGGAGGAAATTCATCCCTTTGCAGGCACTCTTCCCGGAGGTCCTACATCTCAGGGAATTGCGCGGCGACACACTCACGTTAACACTCGCGGCTGTAACAGGGTATCTGACGCACATGCAGCCGCGGCGTCCGACCAGGCTTGCTCTTACCGACGCTGATCAATGCGCCGACTCTCTTACGGTACAGGCCTTTGAGACGTGGAAAGCATATCTCCTCCTCGCAGACACCATCCTCGAGGCCATGTTCTCGGAGTCGAACCAACTCGAGCTCATGGTGGCCTTAATTGGCACTCGATCGCGCATCGCACTGTATCACATCGAAAACCTACTGCGCGCCATGCGCATCGCTCTCGACGCCGTCGATGCGCTGGAGCAGGTAGCGGTGAAGCAGTATACCGAGAGCCGCCTTGACAAGATTATCAACGCCGTCCTCGACTCCCTCAATCTCCGCCTACCTCATGAGAAGTACAGGAAAACAGCAATTGGCATCGTTGCGGCCCACCTGCAAGTCGTGCACACATATCTCAGCGACTGCATAGTCCATACATCGCAGGCGAGGTCCTCTTTAGAAGGCATGGCGGAGCGCTTTTCGCTCCAGAAAATTGTCGAAATGCGAGGAGGTCTCCCAGAAGAGCCCACTCTGGCAGTCCTCTGCGCGCAGGCAGCATCATCCGAAGCCCTGCGAGAGGCTCAGCATTGGCGACGCCAGGTCCAGATCGCGCTGATGTCGCAGGAACCCCTCTGAGAAACTTTGTATACACATGCTCAATCGTTGTTTATGATCTACTTATTCGGACTCATCGCAGGAGGGCTGAATTTCAGAGCTGGTGAGAGGCGGGTAACACGCTTGGTTTGTGCAATACTAGAGGTTTCACCAACATTGCAGAGCGCCTCTGGCTCTTGTCACGATGACGATACGTGTGTCATTGTTGAATGTTGTTCAGAGGTCGTTCGCGATCTCCTGTAGTGTCTATGTACTCTCCTTTTGACGTGCGCATACACCTTCCCTCTGCTAATTCTCTTCGGAGTCACTCGAATCTGATTTCCGACCGCCGTAATCGACCCAAACACATCTGTTGTGGAAGTTTCCAGTCAATATCTACCGAGGGCGAGGGCAATTCTCGCCGCGTTAGTTTCAGTCAGTGACAAAGCCGTGTTGTGGGTCCAGACAATTAAATCATACCCCATTTGGCGTGAATTTCGGACGCTGATCAGCTACACGGGGTCCTCTTGCAATCGCATGCCTTGCTGTCTACCGTGACGCGACCCGCGCCCATATCATTCCATCCTTCCCCTCCGGCGCCCTCGACCCTCCCGACGTTTTCCTTACGACCTGCGAGGAGCACAGACATACTCCACACCGAACACTCATTATGGTCCCCGCTCGCCCACTCGCCAGTCGGCGCAGCGTGCTGTGGGCGCTCCTGCCCGTGGTCGCCCTTGTCACGACCGTCTACCATTTCCGCTCGTTTGAAGACATCTACACCCTCGCGCCCGAAGAGGGCATTCCCGTCGAACTCTCACACGACGTCGATTCCCCACCCGCGGTCGAGGTCGAGGTCGCGGTCGCAGAACCTACTTCACCATGGTGTCAGGTCGGCGAGTGCGCTGTCGGCCGCTGGGTACCACGGACACCACAGTTTGAGACGCTGGAGGAGATGCAGGCCGCGTACATGAACCACTACGAGGATCCCTGGTCACACTGCCCGGTCTACATGGACGTGAACGGGCATCTCATACCGGACGACGAGAAGCCAGCACTCCAGGCGCAGCGCATCGTCGACCTCCTCAACTGGGAGTGGCAGCCGGACCGCGGAAAACTGCTGGACACGAACTTCGAGGACTTCATGGTCCGCTTGCTGCGAAGTCCGGGGGGCCTGGTCATGATCGGCGGTGCGTATCTCCCGCGCTCGCGCTAGTGCCAGCCGCTTACCCCTTCATCTCCCCAGATTCTATCACCCGCCAGCACCATGTCGCGCTCACGTACATGGTCCGCCAGCTCAACCTCACCTTCATCCTGAACCCGGACTGGATAGAGTACACGGACGTCAACCACGTCCACCAGTTCGTCCTGCACCCCTCCGCCCAGGCGACCGCGCTCATGGAGAAGGCCGGCGTGCCGCCGTCGCGCCTAAAGCGGCCGTTCCTCACGCTCATCCAGAACCATCTTTCCCTCAGCGAGGCGGATGTGCGAATGGTCACGCATGCCGACCCGAACTATGTTTGGAAGCACGCCCAGGCGCGTGTCGATGACTGGGACAAGATCGTCAAGCACCTTGCTACCCCCGCCCCCGGCGAGGACGACACCGTGACTGAGGACACCGTCGTGCTCTTCAACTCTGGCGCTCATGTACGTGTCTCGGATGGTATCGCTGCGCCACAAGTCTCATTCCGCTTTGTCAGTGGTCCCGCGGCGTTCTGTACCTGATTCCCCAATCGACGTTGGAAGAAGAGCATCGCATACTTACGGAGGCCTATCGAAAGATGGTACGCGCTCTCGAAAACCCAACACAGTCTATCGCTGACCGTGTTCTCAGGCTCGGATACATATCGAGCGCCTCCGCTCTGTGCCCCGTGCGAAGATATTCTTCCGCTCTACGTCACCCGGGCACCCGTCCTGTCAACGGCTCACCCGGCCGTACCCTAACATCGTCCAGGCGGAAACCGCGGAAGCCGACCCCTCCAAGCGGCTCATGGTGACGGGAAAGAACAAAGAGGAGCGCTTCACCTTCGCGCGCTGGGACTGGGACCAGTTCGCGCCGCACAACGAGATTTTCCGCGAGGAGATCGCGCGCGAGAACGCGAGGCAGAGCGCGCCGCGGGGCCGCCCGCCGCGGTGGCACTATCTCGACGTGTACAACATCGCGCTGCAGCGGCCGGATGCGCATTGGGAGCCGGGGAAGGATTGCTTGCATTGTGAGTGGATGTATGCTGGCTGTCGGGGGAATGCTTGCTGATTCGGCCGCCATAGGGTGTACGCCGGTTGTGGTCGATGAGTGGACGAGGCAACTGTTGCATCAGCTTGCGCTGGTCGAGGGTCGGTTGCCGGACGCATAGACGCGTGAGGGCTGCTCAGCCTTCTCGCTGAGCGCTAGGATATTCGATTGGTCCGACGTATCTGACTTCGCCTAACGAAGAGGACTCTTGGTTGGTCAGCTATCATCATCGCGCCGCGACCGCAGTAGACGTAGATCTCGCTGACTTGTTTACGTTGCCGGTTGGATGCGGCAACAGAGCTGTGTATATGGACCATAGGGTGGGTATCTACCAACGATCATTGGCTTGGTTGACTAGGATATGGAAAGTGTAATTATGGCGGCTGGCCTATTGTACTTGGTCAGGCGCAGGCTCAAATAGGTACATCACTATTCTTGACGGAATATACGGGCTATGCGTAATGGGACGGTTGCTTGGGATACGGGCGGTGCTCGCTCATCGGACACTTAAGCACTGGTGCGAGGCTTTGCTTTGGTTGAGCTCGCCACTGATGTAGGTCACAGTTGAAGCTGAGTGTGACGCACCATCGGCAAATGCCGCATCGGTGTTTACGAGTCACACTCAATGCGCCTTGACCCTTCTCTATCGTCCACTGCCTTCACGAGCTTGCGAAGCGCACGCGCAGCTCTTGAATAAGTCTTGTGTGGACCCTTCATATCTAAGTATCCTCCCGCTCATGCCTGGATTTCTATCGTTCAGAGAATCCATCCGCTGGCTGCCGGATGAGGCCTCCGAGCCTACGGTGACGGTCGTACTATCTGGCAAGGAAACCGGCGCCTTCGTCGACGTGCGCTTCCTCAAGAACAGCACTTATATCTTGGACTGGGCTTTCGCAGGGTTTCGTCATGCTGGTAAGCTATTTACATGACTGCGTTGAACTACAGTCATGTGCGATGGTCCACTGTTTCTGACCTCTGTAGATGGCCCCAACCGTGCCCGCTTTGAGCATTTGATTGACTCGCGAACTCTGGTACGTCGCTTCTTTCTCGAGCATGGTGGTGGATGACTCAAATGCTCGTCGATCCAGGATCCCTCCTCTGTATCTGACAGCGGAACGACCACGTCTCTCCCTGGCGGGCGTAGTCTCGAGCGCGGTGCAATGGTCAATCCAGCGACAGGTACGGTCACCGAATTTGAAGAGATCTGGCAAGAAGAGGAAGCACCGGGTGCCATCATCGTACGTCGGCGGGACGGCGGCGTGTGGAAAGCGTACGTCGGCAGGTGGCAACTAGAGGTCGGGCGCGATGAGCGGGGATGCTGGGCGTGGCAGGCTAGGCAGGCTGAGGGAGGGCAGTGGGAGATCCTACGTAGGACGGAGAACGCACCAGCAGCGGAAGTTCTGCCGTTCGGGCACGCGAAGCTGGTTGAGTGGGCGGGTGAGGACTGGGAGATACTTGAATCTAGCTGAAAGGCACGTACTCCATGGTCCATCGACCGCCTTTAGGAAGTCTCCATGCATGACTCAACTCTCCATGCTCTCCATGGAGTCAACAAAAGGAAGATGCTGGAATGGCAATCCCTAAGGTGCTGGCCGTCCCGATGTATGATGGTCCGGGCAGCGGAGGACTATCCCCCAAATCGGAAACGGAACAATAGACTATTACTTCTAGTAGCCAGCATTTGATACGATCATACGACCGACTCGTGACCATACAACGGTAACAACCATTTAAGTCAGCCTGCGAGGTCTTTGTGGTCAATTTGGGTGCATACAACAAGTGACATATTGCAAAACATAATTAGCTCGTAGAGATGTAGGTTTGGAGAGTAAGGGCCTGTTCGGGAAAAAGAAACACGTCATAGTCAGCCAACTTGCGTGACTTACCTGCCTGCAAAGGCAGGTAAGTCAGGCCTGGACCGTTCGAAAGTTCGCCGATCTTCGTTAACCTGCCTTGTAAGGCAGGTAAGTCGGGTAACTTCGACGTGTTTCTTTTTCCCGAACAGGCCCTAACAAATGTGTGTGAAATTACCATGTCCAGTGCGACATTAGATGTCTAAGATAGGACTCGAGCCAGCTAAGTAGGCCAAACTCAAGTGCGAGGAATAATAATGTAATTCGCAGAAGGTCGCTCAATCCTCCCATGCGTCGCTTCTCCAATCTCCGGCAGGATTCATCCATCCATCGTCTGTCGGCACGTATCCGTCTAGTGGCCATCGCAGCGGTACGCCCGGACACGCGACGAGCGTATGTGGCTTCTTGTGAAAATCATGGGCTATGCCCGGTACCTCCGCCAAGACAATCATCCTAGCCACACGTTTGCCTTTCTTGCGAAGCGAATACTTGGGCTGGGGTGGTAATGCAACGCAGTCGATTGTGACAACGAAATCATACGAGTTTCTGTCTTTTCGGTCAAGGATCCATTTGACGATGGCAGGTGCGTGATCGCGGATGATTGAGCGAGAACAGAGCACCTGAAAGCGAATGTCGAGTGGTGTGATCTCGGGCCCAATCTTGAGAAGCGCGTCTGAAGCGGTGGCACGATTCAGCGAGGTCGGAGAATCGCGCTCGAAGCACGCACCATCATTGTTGACCGCGCGAATTGACTTGCAGCGCGGTCGATGCCGAGGCCAATCGGCCTCCTGGCACTCTTTCGAGCAGTACTGAGTGCATAGGCACACGCAGCGGCGTACGGAGGCCTTTCGTTTGCGACACTATGCAGGATTGAGCACGTCTACAGAGTCGATGCAAAGAGCGCGCTCACCTTGCGAGCAGAGCACAACACATCGAATGAGTCCCACATGATGAGATTCCGCATCTGGGACCATGCCGATATTTCGGGGACCGTGCTCACTGTCGTGAAGCCGCGGGGTATGAGCGCCCTCAGGACCCTGATATACATACCCTGCACCATGAGCCAATCACACACTATCCTCAGCGACCGATTTTCTGGATCTCTGTGGACGAGCACGACGAGCAGATCGAAGACTTTGGCCTTTAGCGCCCACATGAGAGACCGGCGATCGCCAGCGGTGCGCCACATCGCCCACAGTACGTGCGCGGCCAACTCTGCGCATTCCAATGCTCTCGGGCGCGCCATCAGGCGGCGCAAGGTATCCACCATGGTCAGAACGACGTCGCGAGCGAAGTAGGGCGTAGGCAGCAGCGTGCCAATCATGATTGCCAGCAGCGACATTTGGTTGTTCGTCGCGGAGCCAATCGTCGTATCAGCTTGCCCGCTGAGCAGAGTGTTCGGCGGATTGGCCCTTTCCAAGGTAGCGATGAGATGAATGGCACGACGATAGAATTTCCGCGGTCGGTTTCCCGTCGTTGCGAAGGCCATCTTCTGGGCGAGGGGGTCGAGACATTCAGGCTTTCCATATTCAGGTTTGGTCACGCCCGGGGCGAGAAGAGCTGGTCTGATCGCCATGAGCAGCGTCTGAAGACGCTTCTCCGTGTCGAGCGCACGCGGGTACTTGCAGTATTGATCGATCTTCACCCATAGGTCGAACGTCAGCTGGTAGACGAGTGGTGTTTGCTGGAAGAGGTCGAACAGCTCGTTCTTGAGGGACATTAGGCCGTGAAGGGCGCAGGCGACGGCGGAGATCGGGACATTGGCCATTCGCGTAGTACCGACGTGACGCTTGGGGTGCAGATAATCGAGCCATTCGATGAGGTGTTCCCAGATCGCACGAATATGTGGCACCATCAGCGGTTTCAGTGGCGCGCTCCCGAGGTCAAAGTGAGGGATGAGAATGTTGCCGAGTGCTTCGAGGTAGCTGATCGCCCTGCGGACAGTCGGGGTGGCCAAGGTCGAGTGTTCGTTTCCCAGCAGAAACGGATTCCTGTTCAAGAACTCGAAAGAGACTCCACCAGACTGCAGCAGCGACTGGAGCTGATATTTCACGGTCGCCACCGCATAGCTTGAGCTACAATCGTCGATGGGGTCAGTCAAGGCGTTAATCAAGGAGATGTCTGCCATGGGTGAAAATGGAGGCGAATATGGAAGTGGGCAAGTTCAAAAGCAAAACGACGTCCGGGATGGCTCTTTTATACCATGAATGCACGTGTATGTCAGGGTCCGTGGCGATGCCGGTCTAAGAGAATGCAACCGTCACATCCAATCACAAACAAAAGTGGTCACCGTCTTTGTTGAGCCGTGCCAGAGCGCAGCCAGGAGCTTAGCGCCGGCTAGCAAATTCACAGGTGTTTGTCAGATGCTAAGCGCCATACAATGTTGTCCGCAGTCTATGAAGCCCTGGTCCGTCACGGTAATGAACCCCGCGAGCACGTAGCGATATCATGGAGGTCATGGCATATAGCTAATCACAGCAAAGCAAGTAGAGAAAAGAGGACAGGTAGAAGTGTCTACTCATAACACAAGATGAAGATCTTGCCCTCTCGGACGCTCAGGACGACCGCGCCCTGGCTCTGGTCGATGTTGATCGTCTCAACATCGTTTAAGTCGAGTTCCTTCGGAACTTCGAGTGTGCGCACTTGGCCCTCGGCTAAGCGCAGGTCGTCCTTCGCATCGGGTGCGTCGTCGAAGAGGGGGAACGTGACAAAGCGCAAGCGCTTCGCCTCAAGACCGCTCACAGGACCTATTGGCGGCTCGACGCCGGCGGGGTCCTCGAGGGCATTGTCGACGTCGTCTTGGACGATGGCAGCAGCAGCTTCCAAGTCGGCATCTATATCCGCGTCGAGGACCTCCTCGTCGTGCGCCTGCGTCTCCTCCTTCTCCGGCTCAATGTATTCCAACCAGACAGCGTGCCCAAAGTCGACCGCGACGAGCGGCCGCTGGCGCTCGGAGCCCGGAAGCTGCGTCTCGTCGTCGCTCTCTGCGACGCAGACGACGTCGAAAGGGCTGCTGACGTACCACATCTGCATCGGCGCATCCTCGCCCTCTTCTCGCTGGCCAGTCTTCCCGGCGTCAGGGTCCACCTCGCCCTGGCGCGGATGCCAGTTCGCTACAGCTCGTTTTCGACGCTCCGCAGCCTTCACGGCCTCCGTTCTGCTCGATGTTGCACAGAGGCGGGCATCGGCGCCTGCATCTGTCGTTTGCTCCTCTTCGTCATCGCTGTCTCGGGGACCCGCCAGTCGCACTGGGCACATCGGTACGCGGAAGTAGTGCTGCGCGAGCACGAAGCGCGCGCGACCGTACATATCCTGCGAGACAAGCAAGCACACTGTGCAGCTTACACGAGGTATACCCGGAACGCTCGGCCACCATTGCCGTACGAAGTGCACAGACTCTGGATACCAATGTGGGAAGGGGAAAGGGTTGTGGGCGCGTCGATGGCGGGAGGTGGACGTGGAATGCGGTGGAGGTTGGTCGTGGGATGGGTCGGAGGGTGGCAAGTCTTCCAAAGGATGCGCATCATCCATTTCGGGTGCTTCATCCTGTGCTTGCGGAGGGTTGATATCGGGCGGATCTTCGTCCTCATCACGTTCGGTCACTTCGTCGTAGACGACTGAGGTGGCAGAATTCAGGTCGAAGTCAAGGTCTAGCAAGTCATGCGGTGACGGCGGTTCGACCTGCGAGGTCAGGTCGACGTTAGGCGGAAGGGGGGCGGACATCGATAGACCGCCCAGGCTAGTAAGCTGTGCACCTAGGTCGGCTGACTGCGAGCCCAAGTCTACTAGCGCGAACATTGGCATCGCAGACACAGCCGGGAGGTGATGGGCCATTGAGAGCGGGGATAGCGAGGCGTTGGAGAGTAGGGGCGAAGTTGGCAGAAGTGGGGATGTGGCTGGAGGGGGTGAGGTGACTGATGTTGTTGGAGGCTCGGCGAAGAAGTCGGGAGCGGGGAAGGTGAACTTCTTGGAGATAGTCAAGGCGGGCTTGAGGTCGCCGATGACCTGTGGCGTCGAAGACATGTGACGGCTGTGGGTTTGCAGGAGGGATATGGGGTAGAAGTGCTGGTAGGCGGTATCGCTGTCTTCTGAGTGGATGACGACGTTGCGGTCGAAGAGGATACATGACCAATTTGAGGACATGTCCTGCGGGGAGCGTAAGTTACGAAGATGGACGATAAGGATGCAGATGGGGCGCACGCATTCGATCCCGGTGTCGATGAAGACGTATTCTTCCTTGTCCCAGTCCAGGATCACGTAGAGGCCGATGTTGTTCGTCCGTGCGATGTATATGAAGGCGGAGAGAAGGCGGCCAGGGGGATCGAGCACTGAGCAGTATGAGTGTACCGATCACGGAGGGAAGCATAGGACGCACAGAAAACATTCATGACCACGCCCATCGTCCGGAACTTGGAAACGTGTCGGAATGCTGGAGGGACAGTGGGATCGCCAGAGGGAGCCTCGGAAAAGTCGAGGCGCATGAGAATGAACTCCATTACTCGATCGTCCTCGTGCCTACGCGATGTCAGTGGCGATCCCAGACGTGCCGGCGGCCACTCACGTTCCCGATAACAGCCTCGCCATCGTGAAGTACACGCTCTGTTGTTCGAACTCGACGCGGCACTTCCACAGCTCCCACTTCTCCTCAGGGATCCATTCCGCGAGGCACGTGTCGGAGCGCACATCCCAGCAGACGACCTTGCCGCTCTTCGTGGCACATAGCGTATAGCTGGAGGTGATCGGGGACAGCCAGTCGATCTCCTCGCCGGGGGGCGTGGACACGACGGTGAACCACGCGCGCTCGCCGCGCAAATTGAGCGCCGCCGCCGTGGGGGAAGAAGCGCGGCCGCCACCAACGGGTCGAGGCCCGCGCACGCGCCACGCAGACTCGTAGTGCGCCGCCTGCTGCACTGAGCGGATGAGCTGGCTTGTCGTGAGGTCGGATACGCGCTGGAAGCCCTTGAGGGGGAGCGCGCGACACCGGCGGAGGAGATCGTTTGCGAATCGGCGGTACACCGGGCGCGTTGAGCAGAAGTTGTGCAGGGGGTGGCATGTCTGAGGGGATCATATGAGCGGGTGCCCCGGGTGCGCATGCATGCAAGGCTGTCACGCACCAATCCGAGACTCGTGAGCCCCCCGACATCAAGGAAGGATGCTATGTGGAGGAGGACGTCGTATGGGAGGCGCTGCAGCCCGATGCGCTCCTGATCCTGCGAACAGCATCTGCGGTGGTTGGCGACCTGACTGGCGACGGCGGGGGATAGCGGGCACATCACAGCGGAAGACAACCCGATGTCGAGATCATGGACGCCGGCAACAGGCCCGTCCATTGTCCTCGAAAGCTCCTGCCCATTTTGGTAGGATATGATCTCCCTGTGATGATCACGAGAGGCATGAGAGGAAGCAATAGCAGATGGTGTACGGATTATTAGAAATAAGCTAGATAGAAGCAAAAGGTACATGTGCTCCTTCAGACAACAATTCAATGCAACACTTCCATCCCTCCCCATTCGATGACTCGGAAGAGGCTCGTGTCCAGCGTCTTAGCTAGCTCCACGCCAACCACATCCTGCCACCTACGCACAGGCTCCTTCGCGCGTAGCTGCGCTGCCGGCCAGGCGTTCAGCTCTGCGGCGGCCACGCCCTTGAAGAGCATGAAGACCCGTGTGACAACATCGGGCGCAGGAGTGACATCAAGCGGCGCGGCACGTTCGTACGCGGCTTGCTCTATGAAGCGAAGAGCAACGTGCTGATGCTTGAGCATGGAAGGAAGCCAATATCTGATCAAAGGTGTGAGCATAGGACGATGAGTGACAAGGCGAGACGCTGCGTACGTGATAAACGACGTCCGGGCTTCCGTGTGCAGACCCAGAGCAGCCAGAGCCGTATCGAGATACGGCGTCACAGTGCCAATGGGCAGTACAACGGAATCTTCGTCCGAAAGGCCACTCAGACTGGGCCTGAAGACCTCTTGCGTTATCGCAGGGGGCGTGGCCAATGCTGGCGAAGATGGAGGGCTAATCGTTCCTGCGCCATCGGTCCTGTGGCAGTTGAGCTGGTGAAACGCGCTGCATCCAAATGTACTCACTTCGCTTCCCAGTACAAATACGCGACTTCAAGACCGGTTGTCAGTTCACGCAGCGTGCCGTCTTGTTGCGTTCGCACCCGCCACTCGAGCCCCTGCCCTGCTGCTGTGGACTTGACTGGCACCACGGGGTAGACGACCGAGAAGTTCCACTCCGGCACGAGCGAGAGACGCACGGTCGCCTCGACTGGCTGTGGGGAGTATAGATATACAACAGGGTTGCCACCTTTCTGTACATCCCAAACATCGACAGTGTCGCCATCTTCCAGGCCAACGCTGTCCACGGTGTCGGTTGGCGTGAGTCGAATCCCACTCCACGTAAAGTTGACTTCTGGTTTGGTGTCGTCGGGCCAGTAATAGAGGCTAGGAGAGCAGTATTGCACGTCCCATATTTTCGAAACAGCGGCGAACGCCTTTTCCAAGGGGATCGTACGTTTGATCCTGATCGTCTGTGTTGCGCCACCGCGAGCAAAGTGAAGATCGATAGTCTGACCACCACCAGTCGCTGTGGCGGCTGTGGGGTGCAGCATTGGCGGTGGAGCGGCAGCCGATGCGAGTCGCGGTAAGGCGTTCATAGGAACATGGGTAGCACTGGGATTGGCGGACGAGCTTGCGCTAGCCATGCGATCGACCGGGACGACACGCAATGTCCTCAGCTCCGGCTTTATAAGCTCCCAAGCATCGGAGGAAATGTCCACGTAGGCTCCATCGCAGATGTCGAGGTCGCGCGTTCGAAGTGTATACGCTGTGGATTGACCGCCGAAGTGACGGGCGGCGGCGCGTAATGCATCCTTTGAAAGCGCCGTAAGAGTCAGTAGAGTAGAGTAGAAGGCAAGGGATGAAGTAGTCACGGACCTCATACGATTGGGGCGAAGGGACAATGATCGACTTCTTGCCGTCGGTAAGGATAAGCAGGGTAGCGACACGCTTGCCCGAGGTCTTCTTGGTCTCCTCCTTCGGCATATCGAGGGATTGAGAAAGAAGAGTACAGAGTGCAGGCGCTTATACGAGCACAGAGCTGTAGATAGGTATCGCGGAGGGCAGGATCCTGGGAAGACGATGGGGGCAACGGCGATCGCGTCCGTGTCCGCGGCAAACGCGGCCCACGTGAGAGGCACGTGCATGAAGTGAAGTTCAACTTGTGAACATTAAACAGATGCAGCTCAGATGATGAGCGATTGACGGGGCTGCATTCTATGTGCGCAAGTAGAGTGAGATTTTTCTCTTGACTGGATGAAGTCGTGGAGGTCCCGTTACTGAGGCATGACAATTGCTCTATTCTTCGTCATCATCATCGTCCGCGTCCGCGCCGCTGATACCCTTCTCTATGCGCTTGTCAATCCACTTTAGCGCACGTCGCTTCTTTTTTCCTCCCAGTTTGGTCATGATGAAGTCCTTAATTTGTTCATTCGAGAGCTCAGTATCGCGTCGCGGGTCGTCCCTGCAGGCGCCATTAGCACAGACAAAGTGGCAGGTAAAAGATCATAGATAAAGGCAAGCAGAGTCTATACACACTCACTTTGCAATGGCGCCCTTCATCGGCAATCCATGAAGCAGACGATAAGGCATGTTCGGCCATTCGGACTCTGACATCGGGAGGCGGCGTAGCTGGCCGTTCCGCATGTCGGTCCCGTTACGGGCCAGACGGGCGAGCTCGCGTTGAAGGGTCATAGCACGCTGATTTTCCGGTACTCCATCTGCGACATGCAGCACACCCAGCTGTGCGGCCCAGGACTCGAGTGACCGCTTAGAGAGGCGACCAATGTTGACTTTCGCGTTGGGCAGATGGCACTGGCGTGTAGGTCCCATAACAGCGGCAAGTAAAGTTTAGATGAGACTAAGATGTCGATAGAGATATTGACGCGGGTTATTGGGCAGTCCAGGGCCGAAGAAGAAGGTGTAACTAAAGACAAAGGGGAGAACAGACTGTCAGGGGTTCGGTTCTCACGTCTTGTACATGGAGTACCCGCATTAGTAATCAACACGCCCTTGACTTGAACTGCTGGACTGCATTCTGCGCTGTGCTGGTTATCCTTATGGATGTTAAGGAACGATCCTCCGTTGTCTCTCGGGCTGTGGACTTGGTTTCTGCTCGGCAGCGCGCCTATCCTCAAACTGCCGTCTGCTCATGCTACTAATCGGAGGGCTCCGTCTGACTACGAGCTTCTTGCTCGAACGATACAGACTTCCTCCGTTCATGCTACTCTGTTGTTCGGTGACCTCGCAACTTGTACCGTATACTGCACGGCTATTCGTCAAGAACGCGAGCTTTACTTGGCTTTCTCTACCTGACCGCGCGCAGCAACGCAAGGCCATTATCCCCTCGTTGGCTAGGTTCGCCTGACAAGTAAGCTCAGGCTTCGCGCAAATCACTAGGAGACCGAGTATTCAGGTCGAAGCCGTTACAGCGGCCATGCGCGCTCCGCGGAAGGACCTCATGCTTCATCTCACCTGGCTTAAGTAGACGTTGGGATCCGTTGCGAGCCTGACTGAGCTCCACTGCTCTTCGTCTTGGCCCCTCACCTCACCTCATCGCTCGAGCCTTGTCCGTGTACACCATACTCCATCTTCCACACCGAGCATGTCGACCTCGAACAGCCACCCTCGCGGTGCCTCACCGACCTCCTTCCCCGCCACTCCCGCGTCGAAGGCGCCTTCTTCCGCGGATGGCGATCCCAACACCTTCATCCGCACGCTGCGTACGTCGCCGGAGGTGGAGGCGAGCCTCGAGAGCATCGCGGGTAACGTCCCGGAGGCGGACAAGCGGATCTGCGCGAATGCGCTCGCCTTCTTCGTGAGCACGCCCGCGCGGTCGTATGGCGCGGATGTCGGTCGGCGCTTGAAGATTCGGGAGATGAGCCTCAGCGAAAGCCCTCCTCGGTGCGAGGTGGTGCTGGAGATTGAGGTGACGAGAGGTGGGTGGCGTTCTTGATGAGGCCGATGGTCAAGGTGCAGATGGTCAAGGCGCACGTGGCTTGTGGTCATCGTTCGAGTTGCTGACGAGGCGCTGGGCGTGACAGACATGTGCAATGTCTACGAGACGCTGCACGGCGCGTGCGCAGCATACATCGTCGACCCGTGAGTGGATCATCTCTGGGGAGGGATTAGGGAGCTGATTGACGCGCAGGTGCTCCGTGGCGTCACTCATCGGGCTCGGATTAGCGGTCGGCGTCGACGGCACGGGCGTATCGCAGAGCATGAATCTGACGTGGCACGAGCCCGCGCCTCTGTACGTGTGCTCAGCTCCGTCGAGGGGAATGCGTACTCAATAGCTGGGCCCGTCCATGCAGGGGTACCACGCTGCGCGTCGTCTCGACTTCCATCTCTGTTCAAGGGCGTATACGGACCGCGCGGTGCGAGGTGAGTCTTGAGGTCCTGTAGAGCTTGTTAGCCTAGCTGACCACGAGGTGCAGATATGGGATCGCGAATGCAAGAAGCTCTTCATCTCCGCCGTCCATAGCACCGTCAAACCTTCGCCCTCGCGAGGTATGAAGCTATAGCCCCCGGGCTCGCCATCGAACATCGCTCCCGATCGTAGGTTTCGCCACAGGCGAGGACAAGATGGATAAGTATTTAGCGAACAATGTACGATAAGTATGGTGATGGTGGTCAGTGCGGGTCCGATGCAGTATGCAGGCAGTATTATAGATGGTACAGTCGTTGTAGTGGTCGTTAAATATGTCACTGTTATCGTGAGTCGTTGCGGCTCCGTGCTTGGCGTGCTAATAATCGTGATTGGTCTCCGGTTGAACTTGTTATAGCCGGCTCTTGAGCTTGAGGGGGTGCGAGGGGGAGCGCGGGTGAGGACGCGAGGCCTGCATCTTGATGTGCGTGCCAGAGGCGACCAGTCGTCGGTTGTCGATGTCCCATATCTATTTGGAGGGATGTGAGAACCGGAGGATGGATATGAGGCAGGTGAATAGACGTACCTCCGCGTTACAGACGATGGACGTGTCCGCAGCTAAGGAGCTACAGGTGCCGACGATGCGGAGGGCGGTGCCGCTGTCAGAGTGAATGAGCAATCCGTCCAGGGTCGGTGAGTTGCATGCGGTATAGAGTAATGTGGGATTGGCAGGATGAGGTGGGGAATGGAGGATGCGTCGTGAATCATTCTGCCAGCCATACTCACAGAGGTGCTGCTGCATGAAATACGGTATCGATTGTTTGCGATACGCCAGCAGATGGAGCCTCCTGACCGTTGTGCATCGCCAGAATCACCACCGCAAGCGCCGAGATCCTGGCGCAGAAGACGGTCAGAGAGACAGATATCACCAGCGCGCTCACCACGCACTGAGCACGCAGACGACAGAAGACTCACTCGTCGATCAGGAAGGCCGTACAACCTCCGTGCATTGAGTCGACAATGTCGACCATGTCTGGATCGTACGTAAGGAAGCTGTCGCGGCTAACACACCTTTCTCCGGTCGGACTCACCTTCCCATACCCGCACCTCGCACACAACACGCGCCTTCGGCTGCTCAGACGGGCTCTGCACAATGGAGACCTCCGTGACCCGGAGATCGTCGCGTATGGTGCTGCCGAAGAAAGTCGCCTCGCTCCCATCGGGCGCGCTTACCCACCCGCCAAACAGGGCGAGCCACTTCAGAACCGCCTCCTTAAGAAAACGTGGCGCGTTGCCCTCGATACAAGTCGAGAGCGAGGCGTCAGGGAGAGGCGTGGTCAGGAAGGTGCGCTTGTCAGTGGGGAAGGTGACAGAGGTCTTGCGCAGGGCAGCGGGCGTGGCCATGGTGAACAGCTTGGAGGGAGGGAAGGAGCGTGGTGAGAGTACTGAGAAAACCCGGGACGAAGGCGTTAAGGTGAGGCAGACAATGAATTGACGGAGTGCACAGCCGGACAATAGCGGTAATTTCGGAGGTAGCACGAATGCCGAGCGAGTCAATAATTAGGGTCGTATCGGGCCGCCAGGCTTGAAACAATGTCGCTGCTGCTTCACTGCTGCTACAGGGCGCAGATGATGCAGACAGCGTCGAAGTAGGAGTGAGAGCCAAGTCGCGGCTCAAGCGCGTCCCGTTCCCGAGCGGTGACGCGTCCACGTGATGTGACGTACCGTGAGCAGTCCGTGGACTCCGCGGTCGCGTCGAAGTACGGAACCTTCAAGTCGATCAGTGCATTCGTACACTTCAACACCGACGTTCACCTACCGGGTGCGCTCAGTCGCGCTCTATGTCTCAACTTACTTGTCGTCAAATTTGCTTTACCGGGGGAAGGTGGACCTAGGCAAGTGGGACAAGGCTCTGGCACGGGCGGACGAGTTGGCGTCTAGATGACGGGACGCCGTAGGCGTGCAGCTGGAAAGGACGCTACATGCTCGTTCGGGTCGTCGAGTCAAAAGGCATGGAAGTGTTGTAAATTGCGGCATTGGGGGGTTATCTGTACAGACTGATTCATTTCTATCTATTCCCAACTGTCATGCTTCATATCCTCATTCGCATTAGACCCCCTCCCTCCGTACTTTTGTCTCCCCTTTCTTCGCTACCGCCCTCTCGACCTTGTCCATCCCCACCTCCGCCCGCCGCGCCAGCTCTCGAACATCGTCCCCCAATCCTGCTAACTCACTCAACGCCTCCATTTCCCTCACTTCCGCCCACCTTCTCTTCCAGAACGCCCACCTTTCCGCGCTCCAGCCCAGCTTTCCCTTCCACAGTTCCATATCCTCGCCCCACTTCCATCCGTAGCCCGGATCGTCCTGATGCTTAGTGCGAAGCGGATTGAGATATACTTCTACTGGGCAGAGAATGAAGTATTGCGCCGCCGCCGCGATGTTCATTGCCTGGTAAGGCGTGGGCGGGTAGGCAAGGTGCGTCTCGAGAGCGTGGACGATCTGCGTGAGGGCGATGTAGTGGGCGTCGAGGAGGGAGGCAGCCATGAGGCGAGCGGTGAGGGCGTGGTAGGCGGGCCAGCGCTTAATGAGGGGATCGGGGTTGTGGCGGTCGATCTTTCTGACGTTTTTGAAGTCGATGGTCTCGGACCAGATGGCTGGGAAGTGGCTAGTCAGTCGACGATATGAATGAGGTTCAAGGAGACGGTGAATGCAGGACATGTGAGCGAAGCTCAGGCTGTACTACAAACGGGGCGAGCCTTGAAGGCAACGCAGCAACACCACGGCGATGCTGAGACGAGAACAAGTAATAAGCTGAAGTCTGACTTACAATCGTGCGTATCGCGCCATGCAGTACCTAGTGGGTACTGAGGCTTATTTGGAAGGCTCATAATCGCCTTAATCAGGTCGACAAGTTGCTCGTGCACTTCAGGGTCGTTCGCCGCAAGAGAGAGCAGTCCACCCCAGATAAGACCACCCTGGAGAGGAGGCACGCGTGCTTCAGCAGCCACGATACTTTTTGCGGCGTCATGAGAGGAGACCTCATAGTTCAGGTAGGACGAGAGAGCGTCGAGGGCGACAGGCTCGTAGCTGTGGATTTGGCGGGCATCCGCGAGCCAGGCAGAGTACTTCATGATGGTGCCAATGAGAGGAAGCGCAATGTATGGAAGGAGTCGGAGTACGGTCAAGCGTGTGGTGGTCGGCGGAGACTTGGTCTGAAAGTCAGTGTTTTAAAGGACATGTAACATCAGGCTTCAGCATGTAGCCGGGGCGAGCAGACGTCATTCAGCATGCAAGTCGTGCACTCGAATTAAAAGGTAAGTACACAAGAGGTTCCTTTTCTGATGTCGATTCAGGACCATAACCAAAGAAAGAGTACCACTGGAGTCTAAAGTATAAGTCCAATGAAGGATCGGTTTTTGCCGAACAGCTATGGGTGGCTGTAGGCGCAAGCAACTCACAATCACGTGAAATAGCCCATCCTCCTTCCTCGCTTCTATTGTTGCGAGCGACGCCTAAGGGACCCCCCGAGCTTGCGAGGGAGGGAAAGGCGGAGCGAGCAACACTGACTAACCCACGATATTAGGGCTGCTTCCCTGAACAAACAAGTACAAAAAGTGGTTTTCACGGGAAGCGGATGGGAAAATGACGGCAATTGCCGTCATCGGCCCCGTGACGCGCCTGCGGCGTGTCACATGCGTCACAAGTTGAACTCTTCAGCGAGCCAGCGGCTTGAGTCTTCGCTGCTGGCCCCTGCCTTGCCGCAAGCGTAGAAAATGTTTTTACTTCGTTCAGCAACTCTAAGCGCTTATATATCTGGGATCGATCACCACAACCTAGGCGCTCGATGGCCTTCAGCTGTGCCGACCTCTCGCGATTCTTTTACACCGCGAAAGTCCGTCTTCGGGAACAAGCGTGTCGCCGGCATCAGGAGCGACGTAGTTGCCCTCGACGTTGGAGCGTCCATTTCCCGCGCCATGTTCCGCATCGGTGCCGAGGTCCCCGGGCACGAGGTAGATATATTCACTGCGAAGGCGCTGTATAAACTCTGTATAGTACGCAGTCTGATGATCATATCCGTACAGGGAAGGAAACGCCAGAGAGGTGAGTATGATCAGTGTTGCTCGCTTGGTCCAAGCGAGCAGCCCGTGGCTTGCCACAAACTATGTTATCGACCATTCTGCACACGAACCGGCCAGGTTCTTCGTCTCTTCGATGTTCATGCCAGATCTGACCCATGTAAGCTGCATTAAGGCTGCAAGACGCACTGACAAGGCAGAAATTCGAACTATGGGTCCACGTTTGATCCGAGTACCCCAGCGGGGGTAACCGATCTTGATTTAGTAAAACGTCATCGACTGGGCGCCTGGGGCGCGCTGTAAACGTGCATGTCCGTGTTATCCTCTCGTTCGATCCTCCTCCCATGACCGTCAGCCGCCGCTCCTCCAGATCTACCCGCGACCAGTCCTCTGAATCCTCACGAACTCCACCTTCATGGCGCTCGCTATCCAACACCAAGCGCACCACGGCAGCACCGCCGAGCGTCTCGCTCGTGCTGGCCGAGTTCGATAGTCAATCAAATCCACCGCCGGCGCCGGTCATTGAAGCCACAGAGTCCAGCGAGTCGGGCTCTGGCTCGGGCGAGTACTCGAGGACGCGTGAGAGGCTGCTGTCCATATCTAGCGTGCATTCTGGGTCCATCCCGCTGCGCCATTCGCGGTCAAGTATCCTGCGCCAGGGCTCATCCGTGGAGGATCAGCAGGCGGCCGCATCGATGTCCGGAAGCTCAAGAGACTCTGTTACCGACCATATCCTCACAGACTCTCCGAAGGATTTGGGCGAAAGCGGTGGCTTGCCGCCACAGATGTCTGGTGCGAGTACAATTACAGGCGTACTTCCTGATACTAACGAGGATGCGTAGCCTCAACTTCGTCATTACAACCCAGCCCGGCATCCGTCGATCCTGCATCCACTTCCAACGCGGCGGCTGCATCCTCTATATCCTTTCCCAGCCCTGCGGAAGAACCTTCGAGAGAGACCCCTAAGCCGGACCTCAAGGAACCTGCGATTGACGCGGCAGCCTCCCTCAAGCGCGCCACCGAGCCTCCTGTACCAAAGCGCTCTTGGTTCGGCTCATTGTCTCGCTCTCGGGGCGCCAAGCTTGCAAGCCCGCCGCCAGCGTCAGCAGAGGCTCTGAGCCCGCCGTCATCAACCGATGCTGCGCCATCCGCGACTCCCGATGCGTTAGGTGCTCAGGATATTGTTACGCCATCAACATTACCTGCACAAACCGTTGACGCTGCACCTGCTCCTTCCACTGAGGCTGCTTCTAGCGAACCCACCTCCAACAGTGAGCAAGACCGACCAGCTGCGCCTCGCGCACCCGACAGCGATGCTACCATCCGCCGCAGCGCACCGCAGCCCATCCCTTCGGCGCCCATGATGATGCGCACATCGACGCTCTCGTCTGTCGACTCGCAAGTTCCGTCATTACCCAACTCACCAGCCACGCCTGATTATCCGCAACACGGTGGCGCGGGCCTGTCTCCGGGACAAACTGGCGGCGAGTCAACCTCGCCCGACCCACGGCGGCTGGCCGAGACGCCTGTTACTTCGTCGTCTGGCCTGAATCCCTCGACGTCGCGTTTCATGCTTAGCTTGCCGCTGCTTGGGAGGCCGAAGGTGCCGTTGGAGCAGGTCGTGAAGTTGGATCAGGAAGTAAGGAAGGTCGCGGGCAAAGCGAAGGGCGCGGGTGTTTGGGAGGGCGTGACGGACACCATCGAGGCTGCGCCGCAAGAAGGAGGCGACACTCCGACGCAAGAGGTCCCTGCTGTGGTTGTTGAGGCGGCGGACGACAAGTCTGGTCCCACAGACCCAGTGGACAAGCCACCAACGGAGGCTCCAATACCGACCTCGGAATCCGCGGAGTCTGGCCAGTCCGCGGACTCATCACAACCCTCGGCATCTTCCGAACCTCAGCACGATAATGCACATACTGTTCGCGCGCGCGAGACGCAGCGCTCGGCGTCGTGGTGGGACTATGTTGGCTGGGGTTACGGGTATTCGCAGGCGGAGGATGACGAGGCGAAGAAACGACACGAAGAGGCGAAGGCGGATGGTGCTACTATTGCTCAACAGCCATCCGAGTCGAAGCCCCCTCCAGAGACCATAGCGTCTGCCCCTGGCGTGTTGCCAGCTCAACCTGAGGCACAGATACCTCCGTCTCAGGATGCGGCTCTCACGACGGACGCGCCGAAGGAGACTCCGACTGTTAACGAACCTCCGGCTGCGAAGGAAGCAGCCCAGACCGCGACTGATCATCCTGCGCCGAATAAAGCCTTGTCCGTCCACTCAACTGCAGGCAGTGCGTACTGGTACTTGCCCTGGGCGTGGTACTATGGAAGTGGCGACAGCGACGACGGGAAGGGCGACACGCACGCGACGGGCGATAAGAAGGTCGAGGGGGACAAGGCCCCAGCGAACGGCGAGCAGACGCAGGCGCTGCTCACTGACGACGAGCGAGCCGAGCTCACCGCCGCGGAGCGAGTGAAGGAGGCAGCGCTCGCGCGGGACCGCGAGCAGGAGGGGAAGGTCGTGGCCCCGCCGGCGGGGCAGCGCGCGCAGACGGAGGCTGCAAATGTGAACGGTGACGTGTTGAAGGGCGAGCCGGTACAGCGCGCAGCGTCGGAGCCCTCGCGCTCGGAGGCACCGTCGATTGCGGCGGTGATCGCGAATCCGGTGGCGACGATTGTGACCAGTCGGAGTGGCTGGGCGTCGTTCTTTACCAGCAATCGGACGCTGACGCGGCGGATTGAGGATGTGCAGCGGGATGAGAACGGGATGGAGGTCATGGAGATTGGAGATGAGGAGCACGAGGGCCAGGCAGAAGTGAAGGATGGCAAAGAGGAGGACAAGGACGGCAAGGAAGTCAAGGACGTCAAGGATGGCAAGCCTGCCAAGGATGCCAGCCGCCCCGGATCTGCGTCCTCATCTGTGCATCACCTCGCCGTCAAGACGGACCGCGCGCGTGCCGACAGCGTCGGAAGCGTGATGAGCGACGGCGTGTCCAGCGTCAAGAGCAAGGCGCCCACGCTCGTGATCTCGGACGACGTCAAGGCGAAAGCGAAGGAGGTCATGAAGGCGAAGGAGGAGAGCCGGAAGGGCCGTGATGGCAAGGTCAAGGACGTCAAGGTCAAAGAGGAACCCAAGAAGGACGACAAGGATCGCGCGAAGTCGAAATCGCGCAAGTCGTCCGTCTCTGCGCCGCGTACGCCTCCGCCGCCAAATCTGGTGCTGCCGACTTGGCAGGACACCTTCCATGCGCCGCCGAGAAGCAATGTACCGCCGCCGCCACCTGCGCCGACGAAGATGGGGCGCGTTGGTCGGTTCGTGCGGGGCGTGTTGTTCAATGCAGATGCGGCGGCGGCGAGTGCGGATGGGACGATTGGCTTCGGATCGAAGGCGGCGAGGAAAGCAGGCGGCGCTTTGGGCTCTGCGTTGAGGAATGACGGAGGCGAATCAAGTACGGCGCCCAAGAGCCCCGATCCCGACTACACACGCTTCGGCATGGCACTACCTCGCGCTCTCGAGCTGCTTCCGCCTGAGTTGCGATCATCTCCCGTACCAATACCTTGCAAGCGCTGCGTGGTCATTGGCATCCATGGATGGTTCCCGGGAGCGATGATGCGCTCTGTTCTCGGCGAGGTTAGCAGCATTGATACATCGAAATGGGTCGGTACTGACTTGGCCTTGCAGCCGACTGGCACGAGTCCGAAGTTCGTCAGCATGATGGTGCAGGCGTTGGAGAACTTCCAGAGGGAGTACAACGTTGTCTTCGACAAGGTCACCCAAATTCCGCTCGAGGGCGAGGGCATGATTGAGAAGCGCGTTGAGAAGTGCGCAGCCTTGACATTAACTCTACGAGATTTTTGCTGACGTCGGTCAACAGGCTCTACGGCAACCTCATGAAGAACGAGGAGTGGGTGGCCGACTTACACGCTGCAGATGCAGTCTTCGTCGCGACTCACTCGCAAGGAACCATCGTCTCCACCCATTTGCTCGACCGCCTTGTCAGGGATGGGCATATCCGCACGAAGCGGTCAGCTTTGGGCCAGAGCCCGAGCGAGAGGCCGGCGCAGAAGGTCTGCTGCTTGGCGCTCTGTGGGATCCATCTGGGGCCGCTTCGCTACCTGAACACCAGCTCGCTCTTGCAGCCGTACCTTCAGTACTTCGAGTCCGACGCTGCAAGGGAATTGTTCGAATTCCAGGTGCGTTGCAGTCGAACTTTTTGACCTCCTGTTCTGGTGCTGACCAAGGCGCCAGAACACGGAGAACGCAGTCTCCAAGGCATATGTTGCTGCGCTGAAGAACGTATTGCATCACGGGGTGAGTGGGCATGTTTTACTTTCTGGACAACGCGAACTCATCATCGGTCAACCAGATCAAAATGGTGTACGTTGCGTCGCTCAATGACCAAGTGGTTCCAATATACTCTGGCTTGTTCACCTACGTGCAACATCCCTTGATCCTTCGGGCCTTGTATATGGACGGGGACGCTTACCAGTGAGCTTTCCCTGCACTGGGGCGCGAGTAGCAGACAACTGATATATTCTCTTTCACAGTTCCTCCGACTTCCTTTCGAACCTTCTCGTCCTGTTGCTTCGGGTCTTGAACTCTGGACTTTCCGACTCCGGACTCATCACCCATCTATCCGAGGCGACGGCGGGCTCGCTGACGGGGGTCGGGCACTCGACTGCCTATGAGGACCTGGCATGCTTTGGGTAAGAACATGAGGGCGCGCATCCATTGCCGATACTGATCCTGCGATAGGTTGGCAGCGAAATATCTGTTCCTCACCGACGACGGCATGGAGGAGCATCCAGAGCTGGCTCTCGAACCATTCAACGCGACCAGCGAGCTCAATGACTACGAGGTGAGTCATCGTCTGGGCGATGATGGGGCAATCTCTCACGTGGTGTATAGATTCCCTGGTCCCTCCGCGACCTCATCGCTGACGACCGTGTCGCACACTTCTTCGGGCGCGAGATCTCACATCTGCGAGATGCGTTCAAGGAGTGGCATCCACGGACAGCGATTTTGAGAGATGTCAAGCGTAAGCTCTCGCCCATACAGCGACTGAGAAGGGGCGTGGGCGGCGTTGAGGCTGGCCAGGGGCAGGTCTTCCACTCTATCTCGCAGCCCGGCGCGGATACCACCAGCAAGTTATAACCCAGACCTGACCTCGCGTATCGTGCATTCCAGAGAAGATATCACCGTTTCGCTCCACTCACACCACACGCAACTGTACACTAACATCCTCACGCATGCTTTCAACTGTATCTTCGCGGAGTGCATATTTTATACACGTATACAATAATACCGGGATGGACGAAGGGTCTTATATTTATCGTGGACTGGGGCCCATTAACGGCTGGCTTGGCGTAGCTACGAGATGTGTCGACTAAACTAGACGAATATTACGACTGCTGCGATTCGAATACTATTCCAGGAGGCAAACAGTGTGAATATGGTGTAGTGCACTACGGACTTTACTACATGTAGACGAAACGCAAGTTACCGACCGCATGGGTGACTTCTCTCCGTGCAGCTTGGCCTCTCTCTGCCATCTCGAGCTCCTCATCGGTCACCGTACTATATGAATATCATTAGTACGATGAGATACATACTTGTTCATCACTTACTTCATAAGACGCCGTGTCGGTACATATCGTGCAGACGGACAGTTGACTCTGGCTCCTTGTCCCGAAGCATGGTTTGGCGAGCTTTCTGACTTTCGCTCCGGCGATTCGATCCTCCAAGCTGCTTGCCAATCTCCTGTACGAATTGATTGTCTGGGGGAGCCATGCACCCGCCCGCGGGGATACGTATCGTCCAAGGATGAGAAAGGAATGGCGTATGGACCGAATATAAGGTCTCCGCCAACTTTGAGAGGCGCGATATTTCTAAACAGATCGACGTTAATGGACGAGGGTTACGTGGAGGTAATTTGCTCAACCTTACCTTGCAGCGAGCCAGTGAACCGTCACGTAGCAGTACAAAGTGTGTTTCGGGTCATCGTCTCCTTGAATTACGTCGAGTTGAAATCGCCGTAACGCTCTGTACTGCGATATTTGATGCACGCATATGGACGCCCCAATCCGCGACGCATTTCCTGCCTGGACAGCAAGGGCGGAGTCCGAGAAGGCCTGCCTATATGCGGTCTCTGGTAGGCGGTGGCGAAGTCTTCGCAGCTCCTTCAGGAACGATTTATGCTGTTCCTTGAGATCATGACCGCCGATGCCACACAGCTCATTGCATAATTTGATCAGGCAAGTCATGGTCGTTCTATCGCGGAAGGGATCGAGGACATCTGTCCCGTTAGCGTCCAGGTCCAGTGAGAGTTTCGTAAAGGAGTGCACGACCTCGTGTATGTGGAAGTGGAGAGAGAATTTGTCCACGAGGCTCAGCACGGGGAGGATGTTGTTTATGACGGTAAACAGCCCATGATTGTAGATCGTCAACAGCACCGTCCTCGCCTTCTGCGTTCGCGAGAAGTCGGTGGTCTGGATCCCAATGGCGGCCAGGGAGCAGCTGATCTGGTGAAAGGTCTCGTCGCATAAGGAGAGTATGGAACTTAAGAGGGCTAGCTGTTTGGAGAGCCTATCGTCCATCGAGCATGAGGGAAGCGTCACGGTGGGAAGACTGGGGTTGTCCTGCAGGAAGGAATCAAGATCGCTCGCTGACATGGCAGCATATGTGCGCTTGTCCGAGAGGAGACAGAGAAGCCTTAGCGTTCTGAAGACAACGTTCCACTGAGCAGATGCTCTGAATACGAATGCGGATCTCGCAAGATTTTTGTCCTGAACTTGGTGGATGTTGGTACGCAACGCGTTTGTCGCAGCTCTGATGAGCCAGACTGGCATCGTCATTCTCTGGCGAACACGCAGCCGAATGAGATGCGATAAGATGCGACCTGACAGCCTTGAATACGCAAGTTTTTTACCGGTAAGAAGCGAAACTCACCGTTATCCTCCCATGCCGACTGATGACTAAGGACGTCTACTGCGTGCACCAGACGCTTGACCTGGACCCAGTCGAGGTCCTCAGGGACGGGCGCTTCATTAAGCCCGACTGCGGCGCTCAGTTCTGAGTAACGGTCGTAGGCCATTGTCTTATGAAGCTCGTCGTCTTTGAAGGCGTCATCAATGACAGGGATGCCAGAGTATGTGTTGAGCACGAGGGACTGAACGTCCGTGTTCAAGGTGTGTTGCCATAGCCATACAAGGCTGTCATGCATTAGGGACACAGACATGCCCTGCGCTCGATTAAGGCAGATCGCTTCAGTCTCCAGTTGTCGGTACGAACTGCCGAGCAGCTTGCGAATGGCCGTGATAGCGGAGGTTCGGTATGGGCATGTCCAGATGCCGAGAGAGATGATGCTCGTGAACATGTAGAACGCAGACGTCAAGGAGGTAAGCAGAAGCACAATGTAGAAGACGAGTTCTGACTGGCCACAGACGAAAAGGACGAGGCCGACGAGAAAAAGACCAAGCGAAGCATGAAGTAGAGCAGGGATGATATCCACGATGTCAGGTACTCTCCACGCATTGAGAGCGTTATAACGAAGTTGGCGAATGAGAGCACGGTCACGTGGACTTCCCGGCGGCGCTTTACTGTATTCCTTCGTGTTTTTGTGAGCCTTAACTCGTCGTTCGCGTCCGAGCAACACGTACCATGAGCCATTGCTTGAGTAAGACGGCGACGAGAGTCGTGGATAGAGACAGCGCGAGGCTCGCATAGAAGAGCGCGTTGACAGCAATATCCTTACGACTCCTGATCGCGTTGTCTAGGCTTATCTCTGCCGGGGGAACGTCATTCGGAGAGCGCGCTCGCTGAAGCGCAATGAGCTCAAGCAGAAGAGTTGAGGTAATGCGCCCATAATTCGGCTGTAATGACTGCGTCGCCTGAACGACAAAAGCAGTCACGACGGCCGAGAATAAGGCAGCCTATGTATGTCGCTGTCAGCCGAAATGTGGGAAATTTTGAAGGAGGCAACGTACGAAGATGATGTGCACGTCCAACGATTCCCGATAACCCTGAAGCATGTCTTCGTCGAGTCTGACGCTCTCATCCAGATACACGCGCCAGACATGGGCATTAGGACCAGCTTCGTCGTCCTGCGGATCGGCAGCGGTATCACTGTCAGAACCGACAGCTGAAAACAATTCAGCGACTATAGCGGCGACACATCATCATAATACGCACGAGAGCTTCTGCGCCTCCAAGGGCGTGAACCACGCGATTGCTCAGATGAGCGCTCGGAAATGTTGGTTTCTGTAGCGCGAGGTCGGCGTCCGCGGTGATGAGTGGTTCCTTGGCCTTGTGAGGACATTCTGAAGGCCCCTAGCGTATCATGCGATCGCGAGCAAGGATGGCGATCGGCCAGGTTATATGGTGAGTCTCGTTTCTCTCAACAGCAGTTGTTGCCATGACATCCTCGCCCAGATTGACGCTGACGGGAAGCTATCAAGGATTGTCAGAGGGCTACCACGCGCGCTAGATCTCAGCATTAGGTCATAGAGCAAAGTGTTGAATCGAGTTGGCGTTCACGGGTATTGCTTTCAGGGGGCGTTAGGCGGCAAGTAGTAGAGAAGTTGTCGTGTTTTTTTGGTAGCCAAGGGGCTAGCAGAGGGCAATGCTGCGTTGACGCCTCCGTTCACCAATGCCGGGCAGTCATTGCGGCGCCCTTGCACTGACTCTCCAAGGGTACTCAATCCACTAATGCCTATCTAGCTATCAGTCATGCGTAGCTTCAATGAGAGGTACCACACTACCTCATGATCGTTATGGTACGAAGAAAGGGCGGGATGCCGTGCTTTAGATAGAACCAAATGGCAGTGGGTACCGGTCCTACCATATGAGCGGAGACAGACCAAACATGGTAGCTTGAAGGGCGCTAGTGATGGCTAATAGTGCGAACCAACCAGACTTCTATGCAAGGTACGCTCCGGCAACAAGACGGGTGGAGGTTGATTCCAAAAGGGCGGCGCGAACTCCAACTGGCAACTGCGTCTAATTGATCGGCAAATTCCGAGCACCACGAGGGCTTGGGAGCGCATAACCATTCGAGACTTGATGCTACTATTATCCTGCGATTACAAGTACAAAATGGTTCAGTGGGGAGCCCACGGTGGCTCACGCAGGGGCTTACCGGGCGCCGTAGGCGCGCGGGCTCGCAGCCCGACCGCCCTGGCGGGCAGGCTGGCGCCAGCAGCCAAGGAACGTAGATCAGTTACTTTGGGTCGAGGAATGTCCGTGAAAATTCGCTAGCTATCTCAGCATACCCGAACGCGCTCCAATGCAGAAATTCAGAGCATTAGTCTTGAGCTTGAACGCGCTGCGCGCGTCGAAAGGCGCGGAGCGCTTCTTTGTTGCGTTGCGTTCCGTGTTTTGTACTTGTTTGTACGGCAACTCCAGCCCATCCATCGCGAACACACATTGATCCCGCTTCCCCTGCCTAGTTCCTCGGCGGGACTCCTGCGCGAGCAATGAGCAATGAACCTGATACATACATCTGCTTGGAGAGCATCCTGACCGGAAACATAGTGCACAAGATTTATAAAATAGTTAGGTGGGGAACCCACGGTGGCTCACGCAGGGGCTTACCGCGCGCCTACAGCGCGCGGGCTCGCGGCCCGACCGCCCTGGCGGGCGGGCTGGCGCCAGGCAGAGCCACAGGGCAAGGGAACGTAGATCTGTCACTTGGGGTCGGCGGATTTTCGTGAAAATTCGCTAGCTATCTCATCATACCCGAACGTGCTCCCATGCAGAGTTTCAGAGCATTATCCCAAAGTTTGAACGCGCTGCGCGCGCCGAAAGGCGCGGAGCGCTTTTTTGTTGCGTTGCGTTCCGTGATTTGTACTTGTTTGTACGGCAACTCCAGCCCATTCATCGCGAACACACATTGCTCCCGCTTCCCCTGCCTCGTTCCTCGGCGGGGCCCCTGCGTGAGCAATAATGATACTGTGCGCAAAACTTCCGAACAATAGTAGGTTCATTGATACTGTGCGTGTGCGCAACTTCCGCCTTCAAATCTAGCCTTCCTACCAATACATCCAGTCTTAACGATACACATATAATATCCGTATAAAGACGAGACGCTTCTTTGCTTTTGACTTCCTCACCGGTAACGCGCGATATCCTGCGCGACTCCGAGCTCGCTCCACCCAGGCTTAAATCCAGCACCGAGTCCTGACCAGCGCACCACGCACTTCTGCCGAGTACATGCGTTCACTGCTTGACGCCCTCTTCGTCTACTCTCCGCATGCCTTCTCTCAGCTTCCCATCGAACTCGCCTCGCCGGTAGCCAGTGACGATACGCTCGAGTAGATCTGAAGTGGAGACGCCGGGTGTGCGGCGCGTTGGCAGGAATTTTCCTGCAGAGGGACATGTCAGCGGGCTCTTGCGATACAAAAAGTCGTTGAGTGGCGGAGCGACACGCGCAGAAGGCAGAGGGAATGTCGAATGTGAGGTTGCGTGAGTAACCAACTTACCCTGTTCTTTCACGAACGCATAGACGTCCTCGCTTGGCATTGCATCCTCTCCTCCGGCCTTGACCGGGTATGGTGCCTCGTCATGAGCGACATAGTCGATTTGCCATTTGTCCAGGAAGGCTTGGTCGATGATCCAGGGCGCGTCGGCGACGACTTCGTCTACCCAGCGGCAGTGACGGACGGCTTCGAGTCTGACGGTAGCGTCAGTCTTGATGGAACGCACAAAGGGCGGCAAGATGTTATGGGGCACGATAAGGTAGAAGTTTGCTCAGGCCAGGGAGAAGTACACTGGGTGCGAAGGAGGAATAGCGACTCGTCGATTGGGTGGATGCAAATGAGAAATAAAAGGAAGGGAGCGGAATTTGAGAACCAGGCCTGCTTGACAGGATATGTCGAATAGCCTCAGGCAAGGTTTGCGCTTATGTGGGATAGGAGGTATGACGGTGGCGCGCCACTACGCACCTCTCAGCATGCGTCATCACCGTCATGGCCTTGTAGCGATGGACGAGGACGTCTGAGCAGACACCGACGAGGAGGTGTACCCGAGGGAAGGATAGCTTGGCTTGCCGCAATTGCAGGGCGTGCGCGAAGTGGAAGAGGTCGTAAACACCATCCGCGTAGACGCGTACGGGACGATCCGTGGGTGGGGAATTGGTCCGGAATGGTCTTGGGCGTGGGGTCTCGCCGGATATGGAGACAGGGTCACCGTCGATGGCCTGCTGGACGTAGGCCTGGATGTCCTCCGGTGTGAGGGAAGAGGGGTCGAATGCTTCTGCAGACTGCGAGGGGACGGCGGGTTCGGTAATGTTGTGGACGGGGGCGGGGGAGGGTGTGATGAAGACCGGATGTGCGCTCATGACGGGCGAGGGGTCAGGGAGGGGTTCCGGCGCTGGCGCAGTCGGGGTGTCCGGACCAGCAGTCGCGGAGGACTCCACGTCGCCATCGTACGTGGGGGAGTCTACGCCGTCCGAGTCTGACAGGACAGATGCTAGATGGTGTCTCCGAGGGGGCGCGGCCGCGCGTCGACGGTGAAGGGCAGGCGCGCCGCCGTCGTCCGTCGGATCGTTATCTTCCTCCGATCTGCAGAATGGCGGTCAGGGCTCGGTGATGCGTGCGAGGAGGTTGGACGAGCGCACGCGTCGTAGGCTGGGGATTCCGTCGGGCGCGCATGTTTGCTCGTCGCGCGCTTCGTGTGCTGAGCTTTTCGCGTCGGTAGAGGCGGAGTGCTTTCACTGTCCATTGTAAAGGCGGATGTGACCCAAGTCACGCTGGCGGAGGTGATGTCGTGATCGGCAGAACATGATCGGCGCACGTTCGCCCACCATCGCAAGGCGCTTAGCCTCCAAGTTCGACGATGTCGCGGCCCATGTAATGGTGGTACGCTCAAAGTAGGACCATGGTTGTCAGAGGGATGAGTAGGCAGCGACCGCCTCGAGAAATGCACCTGGTCTAACTTTGGGACTATCGCCCTGAGGTCGACAAGTATCACCGCTTATATGCGTTCACCACAAGGCACTCCTCTGTGGGCTTCGAGATATACCACAGCTTTTCTCTTGTATCGCTCGCGTTCTCGCGAATTGGCTCAGTCTAGGAGCTTAATATTGCGCGTCGCTTCAAGTGCCTACCAACTGCACGAAAGGCGTAGATGTTCAAAAATGATGTATGTCGTTGTCTATTGGGTCACGCCGTATACTCGCTAACTCAGGGTATAGCGAACAGTTGATTCCGTGACGCCTTGGCTTGCTGTGAAGCTGGTTCGTCCGATACTACCAAAGTCGAAGACATATGACCACGTGGTGTATGACTCGCGTGGCAGCGCCGTGACTGGCGCGATGCTTCAACTTGACTCTCACGCTCACCTCACGTCAAAAACTTCTACACGCGTAGCTATATAATGACTGGTAAGCTTAGGGCCTCTTTCGAACCATATGGTGACGTTACTTGCATGTCTGCAGTGCAAGGAATCTGATACCGTGCGCTTGCCCCCGCGCGTCTACTGGTACTAGGACGCCTCGCTCAACCTGACCCTCCGCCTATCTCTAGCCTGCAGAGAGTCAGGCGGCGGGTCACGTTACAGGCTGAAGAGAACTCGGCAGAGGCTCACGCTGCGTGCGTGCGCGCTGATTGCCCTCGATATTCTGAGCTCGCAGGTTGGAGTCAGCCATGTCGCCCGTTAGCGGCGCTGTATGAACCCCTGCCTTTTGCGGCCGACTAGGTAGGGCAAAATCGAAGTCTTCACTGCTCCTTCTTCTATTCGGTGTCTCAGGACCTGATTTGGTACAATTGGCGCGCATGCATGCGGCGAGTATGGGTGGATAAGAGGCTTTATCTTGCTACATCTGGTCGCGAGACCGATACAGACCCCGAGATACTGATACATGCAACCTCTACGCGCCTACTTCCTGTGTCTAAAGGCGAGGAGACGCGTCTTCGCTTTGCAGGTATACTAGGTCCTTGAGGACCATTATGCTGATCCGCCCTTGCCTGAACGTGTGCACTGATAACACTAGGACGTTTGAGCGGCACTAGCATTCTTCGTATATACTTTGCAGACGACGCAAGTAGGTGAGCCATCCCCGCCTTTCTTGTCGAGCACTGTCGATATTATGACCTCCGAGGACTCAGGACTGGATCTGTATAGCGTTCGCTGTGAGCGCATCGCGATTCTCACAAGTTGTGACACCTATTGATGCCAGTGCAGATATCCCAGATTTAGCCAGCAAGAAGTTCGCGAAGTTAATCCCGCACAAGCGTGGTCTTGGGTACAAGCGCATTTACGGGACAATTGAGTTCGACATAGGCAAGGCGCAGCAATTTCGTCTCGTGTCTGAGAGAACTCTTTTCTGGTTCGTCGACCGCCACGATCTTCCTGCAGGCTCTGATGCTTTGTTCAGGGTCACGGGGACGTCGTCTGTCCTGCACTTTCGCATCTATGTTGAGCATAAGCGATCTGCGCATGAACTCCTTGCCGAGACGGCCTGCGATCTCGCCACAATCTCCTCGAACGGAGACCCTTTTCCCGGTATGTTGATCCAGCTGTTCCGTAATGATGAATAGGCATGAACGCCCCTCCACCAGTCGAAGTAGAAGTCTGCGACCCTGCTCATGGGCATATTCTGCTCAGGTATGCATGCAGGCTCGCGATGACGAAGACGAGCACAAGACACCTGGACAAAACGGCGCTGAACAGGACGCTTCGAATATCGGAAAAGTGGACGACTGTCGTGGACAAGGCCCAGAGAGCAATCGAACTTGGTTTGGCTGTCTCAGAGGTCTGTGGCGAGCGCATTAGCCTGTCCGTCGGCTGACTCGAAGTCAGATAAATCCACTGGCGAAGGCAACCGTATCCATCGTCAAACTCGTGACCGACGTGAGTTGCCCACTCTAATTCCAGGATCATAACAATCGCTGAACGTGTATACAGCAAGCCAGGAGAAGAGTCGAGTGCTATGATGCGATAGGAGAAGTGATAGACATTATCAAAGACGCAAGTGAGATGGCCCTCGAACATTGCGACGGGGATCAGAAGGAAACCGAGCTGCGAAACACACTTGTTCCTCTGATCAAGGACTGCGTGGGATATCTGTGTGAATTATCGGGTTCCAGCTGGGGTATGTGCCATTCTGCGTTCATGATCAATCTAATCCGCTTGCTCGCAGTCAAGCAATCCTCCTCTTTCGCGGCTAGGAAACTACAGGGAATGTGCAAAGCCTTACAGACTAACATGGATGCCGTAAGGCAATACACCACTTCAGTCGCGCAGAGAGACGTCCACAGGTTGATTGGCGATGTCGAGACATTGACGCACACTTTCCAAAAGTGGGCTGGTGATATCAAGAATGAGATCGGTATGTACACAATCAACTTCATGTTGTGCGATGTCGCTGAACTGCATGTGCTCGAGCAGCAGAGAAACTACACAGTCAGATGCCCTGCAACTTGACGGTTCTAGCAAACTCCATGCGGGGCTGTCTGTCGGGTACCCGTGAAGCTTTGCTGTCCAGAATCGAGACGTGGGCGGCAAATAGTAAAGGTGAACGCGGATTCTGTCTGTACGGGGCCTCGGGGAAGGGCAAATCGGCCGTCGCCCACTCTGTCGCGATCCGCCTCGGAACGGCCGGATTTGATACGGCTTTCTTCTCGTTCGACAAATCGGATCGAAGTCGCACTTCTCACCAGGCATTTCCGACACTTGCTGCGCAACTCTCCCACCATAACCCTCGCTACAAGACGCAACTCTCTAATTTATCCGACGGCGCTCTGGGCGCGATTAATCCCGCTGACCAGTGGACCAACCTATTCTCTGAACCCTTCGAAGAACAAGTGCCCCCACGTCCTATCGTTCTCATCATTGATGCGCTGGACGAGTGCCCTGACGACCCTCCTGAACGACGCGCCGCATTCATGAAGCAGCTGGACCGCTGCCTCGCAGGCTCTGTCCCTTCCAATGCCAGTGTTCGTTTCTTCATCACGGCACAATCCCAGTACGGGGGCTCCATCGTGCGCTCGGAGTCTCTTGACGAGCTTTCGGACGACTCGACGAAGCGAGATATCCTCTTGCTTGTCAAAGATCAGCTGGGTCCCCTGAGATCTGCAGAATCGGTCAACGGTGCATGCCTGGCCGACGGAGTGGCCACCGCCGCCAACAATTCCTTCGGGCACGCCGCCGTCCTCTGCCGAGAGTTGATGGGCACGCCGTCGACTTCTGCGCCCGATATCCTCTCCCGCGTTGAGCAGGCGCCAGGTCAGCTTTACCCGCTCTATCTCTTCCTGCTTCGATCGCATTTCGATATTAAGAACGCGGAAGACATGCTTAGCTATCGATATGTCGTTACGTGGATTCTCCTCGTCGCGGAGCCACAGCGCAAGCGCGTCTTCGAGGATTTCGCGGCCGTACATCGCTTCAAGGTCGATGTCGACAGCGTACTCAAACGTCTTGGCTCCCTCCTGATAGGTCTCGACATGGACGAGCCAATCCGGCCTGTTCATGCGTCTTTTCGCGATTTTCTCTTGGATGCTCACGCGAGTGGGTCGTATGCTATCGCTATTGGTCACGACGGACACTTGGACCTCGCCGACATATGCCTTCTAATCCTGAACAAGCCCAACACCGGCCTACGTTTCAATATCTGCCAGCTTCCGACCTCATACGCGCTGGACGACATCGATTTCTCGTCCCTTGCTGACGAACATATATCGGAGGGACTACAATATGCATGCGGCGCAGTGGCGAGTCACCTTCAGCTGAGCGTAGTCTCACAATCGGGTGAGATTCATCGGTTTCTTTATCGACAAAGGAGCTGATACAGTTCTTACTTTCAGTCAACCTCACCGGGCTATTGCCTCCTCAAGAGCCGCAGCCTCCTCATGAAGGTTGGATGACACTTTGGAGCGCTTCCGTCCGCTTCCTGGCTCGCTTATATCACGGAGTCCTGGGTCTGCACAATCACGACGCCCGCGCTGTCCGTCTTCCACCCCATGTCCATGAAGGCTTGGAGGTCTTCCTCAAGACAAATCTTTTGTTTTGGTTGGAGGCGTGTAGTTGTATACGACTGGCGAATTTGCCGTCCACGGCGCTCCTGCAATTGTCGGAATCACTTCAGGTACTGACGAATTCAAGCTCAGATGTATTGCACGCTCATGCGCCTCGCCTAGGATTTGCGCGCCGATGAATTGAAGCCGCTCGTCGAGGACTACATCCAGTTCAACAATCGATTTCAGGACGGCATCGCCGCATCCCCTCCACAAGTATATATCAGTGGGCTGGTGTTCTCTCCGTCGACATCCGTTGTACGCAACCTGTACGGCGCGTCCTTTGCTCACCTCGTCAACGTATCCGGAGAGGACATAGGAGAGCATTGGCGTGACGCGGCTGACAATGCAGCGACGGTGGCAAGCGCTATTGCAGCTGATGGCTCTGAAGGTATGTTTACGACTCTGGTACCGTCGCTTGCGCAGATGAATCAATATTATTCCAGTCACCGGCATCCAGTATCAGCAGCAAGACGGATGGCTGCTGCATCCACACAGGAATAGCCCTACACGATTTCTATGGATCCCATCCCATCTGCGTCACTACTCTTTCGTAGCCGTTCCTGATGACACGGTGGTGCCCGAATATACGGTGAACATCGACATACGCGACGCTGCGCTTGGCGAAGAGTGGACAAAGATATACAACGCTCCGGTTGCTCTTGATTTTGACGAGTCTGTCGCGCCTGGCCGCGACGGTTGGGCCGGTTCCCCTGTTGCTGACGATACCGAACTAATTATGCCCGGCGGGTTCCCGGCTTGAAAGGTGCAGCGCTATCAGTGCTGTATCTGACATATGCTAATAATTCGGAATAGACAAGGAGCACGATACGTAGCTGCGAATTGTACATGACTTTTGCGGGATGCGCTAGAATGCGTGAGCCGGCTACCATATTGAAGTCTACCCTCGCGAAAACTGGTCTTAATTTCTGCGCTATGGAACCCTTTCTCTCTATCTACTGTACCGATACGTATTATGGTCGCTTTCAGTGCCCCAGATTGTCCTTATGTTCCTTCAACGCCTTAGACGCTTTATGAGAGGAGAGAAGACGGTGGGAGACGGAAGCAAAATGGGATCACATCACCGCCGGTGATGAGGCCGAAAAAGGAAAGAATTCTGGAGTCCTGCCATACAGGAATGGTTGGCGATGGTTGACCTGAGAAGGATGCATGCAAGTCGAGATCTTGCAGAGCAAGTCGACGAAGAGACAAGCATGGCTGACTCATGGTCGAGGACTTACCTGAGCTCGAGGTTGCTGAAGCACGAACACGGACATTGAATGCATGCACTGGATAGGATAGATAGTCCACGTGGAATAAATACCATACAAAAGCCCGAGGAGGAGAGTGATGGTATAAAGGCAGCGGACAGGAGCGAAAGGCCGTATCGTGTGTTAAGCTGAGCTTGGTAGCGTGAATTTGGAGAAAGGTGCCCGCCAGTACAAAGCGGGACATAGCGGTTTCGTGAGCGGGCCTACGTTCTTGATGATCTGCGAGCGACGTCTGGATCGACGCGCAAAGGCTTGAGCTGCACGCGAGACATATACGGCTCTCTAGAAGATTGCCCTCACGAGGCCACCACCAATGGCCGCACCTGTGAAGAGGAATCAAGTCAGCAAACCTTTCATCGCCGCCCAACCCGCCATGCAGTCAATCCTGCTGAGACGGTGTCGAAGCCTCACCCGCACCAAACCCGACACCCCCCGCTGCGGAGTGCGCCATCTGGAAGAGGCCAACCATCAGTCAACGGCATTCCAGTAGGATTACATCCAGCCACGCACCGTATTCCCGTACTTGCCAAACTTGCTCTTCTTCTGCTCCTGCCCGGCGGTGTCCTGCTGTAGGCCCACCGAATTCGTCGACGGCGCTGCCGGTTGCGGAGGCGGCGCGTTGGAGGGCGGCTGGTTGTAAGCCGCGCCGCCGAACGGCTTGTACACTGCCTTCTCCTTCGCGCCTGTGTACGCGGGGGGCAGCGAGCGCGCCGAAGGGGAGGGCGCGGTAATCTTCTCGACGTAGGTGGCGGGGAAGAGGCCCTGCTTGCCGTGCGCGCGGCCGGTCCACCAGTCGGCGTTTGTCTCCTCGACGATCTCGATCACGTCGCCCTCGGAGAAGGAGAGGTCGTCGGGATCCTGCAAGGGCATGTCAGAGTGGATCGAAAACAGAGAGAGCGTCACGCACACTTCTGTCCTCATTGTAGGGCCACTTCGCACGCGCCTGCTGCGCTGGTGGAACGGCTGCTGCGCGAGGGGCGGGGGCTGGAGGCGCGGCCTTGGGAGCGTTGTAAGTAGGCGTGAAGGCGGACGCTGGGGTAGGAGTTGGGAATGTGGTCGCCTGTTGGCCTGCCCCTGCTTGAAGCTGCGTCAAGCGCTGCAGGAAGGGCGACGCATCCGCTTGAGCGATATAGTTCTGCGAAATCAAGAACTCGATGTCGGCCTCGACGCGGGAGACGATGTGGGCCAAAAGGGGGTCGGCGGGGGCGGTCATAATCGATCGAGTCGAGGGCAAGCAACGAGGGGGCTGTTGAGCTCGACGAGGAGGACGTGTAAGAGGAAGAATCGCAGAAGACGATGGTGGTAGGTCGAGAGGTACGGGTCAGGCCGCCGCCGCCTGTTTTACCCCCACCTCCTGAATCGTGATGAGTTTGGACGTCGTTCCCATCGCTCTCAGGCGGCACCGCCCGCCGTGAGCCGCCCGCCCGCCGTCGCGACCAGGGGCTGGCCAACCTGACTCACAGTGCTGCACCAGGCGCCGGGCGCTTGTTGTATGGAGCCTGGGCATTGGCGGGACCTGAACCTTGCCACGTGCTTGACGAGCGCCACCGTCGCCGAATCGTCACATCAGGCCCGTGATTTGGTGATGTTGAACTTGCACTTGATCCTGACCATCTAAATCGACTGTGTGGTGCTCTTTGGCTATTCTGCATACTCGGAAACTCATGATGTCTGCTGCTGCACCAGTCCAGTACCGTCAGCTGGGCAAATCAGGCATGAGGATATCAGTTCCGGTGGTGAGCCTTTCAATCGGGTACTTCTCTATCTCTGCTCACTGCTGGGTGATTGTTATTCGTGCATCGCTGACATCTGAATGAGAATCATAGATTGGTGCAATGAGCTATGGAAGTAAAGCATGGGGAGTGAGTATCACTTGACCTCGCTCGGGGAGCGCTCAGCACCAGTCTCATTATTCCGCTTCGTTAGCCATGGGTTCTCGAGGCCTCTGAAGCGCTCCCCATCCTCAAAGCCGCTTGGGACAGAGGAATCAACACCATCGACACGGCGAACGTGTACTCTATGGGTGCGAGCGAAGAGATTGTTGGAAGATTTGTAAGGGAGGTGAGTGGGTGTCGAGTATCTCCGAGTCGTTCGAGTCCCGATATCGACTTCGCTGTCAGTACAACATCCCTCGCGAAGAAGTCGTCATTGCTACGAAATGCTATAGTGCGCATGCCTTCCTTTGTCTGTGCTCCCTGAGTCGAATTCCACTGACTCCGCGCAGATCTTGTCCCCAAAACGCCTGAAGACAGCGCGTGGAAGAATCCCGCCATCGGGTCGACGCGCACCTACGTAAATCAGCACGGACTCTCGCGCGCGGCGATATTCAACGCCGTAGATGCGTCGCTGAAGAGGTTGGAGATGGAGTACATTGACCTCCTCCAGATCCACCGCTTCGACGAGACGGTGCCGGTGGAGGAGACGATGAAGGCGCTGCATGATTTAGTGCAGGCGGGGAAGGTGAGATGGTGTCTCTGAATTCCTTATGACTTCGAGAGGTCAGCGCCAAGATGATGTGCTCAAAGTGCGCTCATAGGTCCGCTATCTCGGCGCCAGCTCCATGCGCTGCTGGCAGTTTGCGCTCATGAACGAGGTCGCTGAGCGCCACGGGTGGACGAAGTTTGTCAGTATGCAGAGCGAGTACTCGCTGCTGTATCGAGAAGAGGTGAGCGCGAGGTAATAATCCGGTGCTTGAACGAGGGAATTAATTGTCAAACTCCTTCAAGGAGCGTGAAATGTACCCTTACTGCGAATACCATGGCATCGGTATCATTCCGTGGTCGCCTTTGGCTGGTGGTGAGTAGAGATGTTGACCCAGCAAGGCCACGACCTGGACTGACTTCTGCCAGGTCTTCTCGCCCGTCCGTACGGCACGGACACCCTTCGCACCGAAGCGACAAAGGGCATGCCTTGGGAGCTTCCCGTCACGGACGCGGATCGCGAAATCATCAAGCGCGTCGCGCTGCTGGCGGAGAAGAAGAGCGCGGAATTTGTTGAGCGGTCGAATGCAGCAGGCGGTGCTGACACACCACCCTCCGCCAACGATGAGCCGCCGACCATCACCATGGCCCAAATTGCGCTCGCCTGGGTGCGAAGCAAGGTCTCCAGCCCAATCGCCGGGCTCAACTCGGTGCGTAGGGTGGAGGAGGCAGTGGGTGCGAGCTCAGTGGAGCTGAGCGAGGAGGAGGTGCGGTTTTTGGAGGAGCCGTGAGTGATTTTCTCTATCCTTCCTTAGTCTTTCGACGAGGTTGTCATGAAGCTGACGCTTCCCGCGCTTCAGGTACGTCCCAAGGCCAGTGAGAGGGCATAAGTAGGGCAAATGACGAAGCGATGGAGAGAAGCTGTATAAACGTTGCATGGGCTCTATATAGTGATACCGCGTAGCAGAGGTAATAAGCGTAACATAGGTCGTCTCAGGTCGTGATGGGCATTAAGAGGTCTTATGAGTATAGGGAGGTGACGCGGGGTGTAAACCAAGAGAGAAACGATAGATAGATGATAGGGCAGGAGGAAACTCAACCGCCAGCCTTGCCGAGAAGTGCGTAGCCTCTGCCCGCAGGACCATGCAGCTGGAGAGCTAGTCAGCATATACTCGAAATGGCAGAGACAGGAGATCTACCTTGCTGTAGCACCTCACGCACACCACCTCGCCATCGTGATCCCGAATCTTCGACGAGTCGAGCGACGTAGAGCACGAGAAGCACCGTAGGCAGCCCTTATGGTACGTCCTACTCGCCGCGCGAACCTGCTCCGCAAAGTACACGTCCTTCTTGCAGCGCGGGCATTGCGGGTTCGACGACGGCGTCCACCGGCCGCGCCCGGTGGGGTTCGCCTTGACCGCATTACCCGTCATCTGCGCCCCAAAGCCGCCCTCGCGCGTCGGCGACAAGGGCGAGCGGGGGATGCCGAACGCCTTGGTGGGCGACATGGGGCGCGCGGCGCTACCCGTGGTGTGCGTGCGCACAGGGGAATGTGAGCGCGTGGCGTTGAGATTGAGCGGCATGCGCCCGCCGAGGGCGGCGCCGTAGCGCGAGCCTGTCTGCATGTGCGTGAGCGGTTGGAGGATGGGGTCGGCGGCGAGAGCGGGGTCGTCGGCGAGGGAGGCAGAGAAGGAGGGGTGCGTAGGGGAGTCGATGTCGGCGGAGAGCGTGGCGCGGTGCAGAAGAGGCGCGCGTGGTGCAGGGGCGGGGAGCTCACTGTCATCGGGGATGGGTGGGGTGGATGAGTGCGAGTCAAGGCCGGGATCGAGAGAGGCGGTTTGCGCGGTAGGAGAATGCGGCTTGGCGGGAGAGAGGGGTCGCGAGGGCGATGAGGGGGATTGCGCCTGCGGGAGGTTGGCCTGACGTAGGTCGCGCGTGCCGAACTCGCGGATATGGCATTGCTTGCAGTAGGGAAGCTGATCGTGCTCGAGAAGAGTATACGAGTCAAGCTGCATGCAGAGTGACCGAGGGAAGTATGGGGGACGGCGAGCGAGGTGGAATGGAGAGCAAATGAGATGCACTGCATTAGCAACAGCTTAGTGGGCACGCATAGCGACGACGTACCCGCTTGTCGCAGCTGGTGCACTTCAGGCATCCCTTGTGGTAGAACTCGGGGGGAGGTCAGTGAAGCAGCTTATGCAGGGCATTGGTATGCGCACGCTTCTGCCCGGGCCAATAACCTGCTCGGCGGCATAGACGGACTTGGAGCAACGAGGGCATTTGGGTGTTTGGCCGTACGAGTACATCGTAGCAGACAGAACGACTTGACAGAGCGAGTGAGCGGGTCTCGATACGCAGACGCGGGCGGAGGGACTATACACAGGTATGTGACCGTATATTCTGAGTTCGCCGCCAATGCAACAACCGCGCGTGAATCATTTGTTTGCACGTGTTTATTCTGCAGCGCGTCGTCCCCATCGATTACAATTTGCGGGCTCATTATTTTTTGCCCGCGCTCTTTAACCGCATCTCACTTCCTCCCTCCATCCGCTCCGCACCCCTTCCCTCGCCGCCCAACACTCTCCACTCACTCCGCCCCCAAAATGTCCGACGATGAGCAGCACAACCACCAGTTCGAGGAGGTATGTGGGGTGCCAGGGATGTGCGGGGGACGGGATACTGATGGGCGATCGCGCGACACAGGCCAACGCTGGGGCGTCCCTCACGTTCCCCATGCAGTGCTCGGCGCTGAGGAAGAACGGGCACGTCGTCATCAAGGGTGAGTGAATTCCACTGTGCAAGCGGAGGGCGGGAGGCGCACCCGCTGCCGCGATCGGGCGCTTGTTGGAAACTTTGGGCTGATTCGATCGTTTGCAGGCCGCCCGTGCAAGATCGTCGAGATGTCCACCTCGAAGACGGGCAAGCACGGTCACGCCAAGGTCCACCTTGTCGCCATCGACGTGAGTAGACTCGCTGCCTTTTGCCTGACTCTCAGGCAGGATCGGGATCGGGAGCTGATCGGCGCGTCTTCAGATCTTCACCGGCAAGAAGCTTGAGGATATCTCCCCGTCCACCCACAACATGGATGTGCCGCACGTCAAGAGGGACGAATACCAGCTCGTGAGTGGCCGATGAGGCTTCCGGCGTGCCGCGCGGCATCTTTGAACACTGGACTTATGTATGCGTAGGTCAACATCGACGAGGGATTCCTCAACCTGATGACGTCCGACGGTACCCCCAAGGACGATGTGAAGGTCCCCGAGGGTGAGCTCGGTCAGGAGATCGAGGCTGCCTTTGAGGACGGCAAGGACGTTCTGGTCACCATCGTTAGCTCGATGGGTGAGGAGCAGGTATGTGGTTCTTCTGACGCTGGATTCATCATCATCGTCGCTTTCGCTGTGATTTTTGCGCATGCACCTCTCTTCACGCTCTCCGCTGCACGCTTCTGCCCTACACTCCAGTTACTTCTTTGCGTTACGATTGAATCGAACTAACAATTTCGCCAGGCGATCTCCTGGAAGGAGGCCCCCAAGGGTGCCGGTGCTTAGAGTGGCCCGCCCCCTTCTCCGCCCTTGTACATGGATGTGTGTGGGGAGATACGCGTGAAGGCTCGCCTCGTTACCGTCGGAAGACACGTTTCGTTACTGTCGGCAGACACGTTTCGTCACCGTTGGAAGACACGTCACGACCGCCCTGGGCAGGCTTGTATCGCGGCACTGCGGCCTTCGTTTTTCGTGTACTCTCGTGTTGTTCACTGTGGAAGCAGATGTATGTATCGTGTAATGTATTCCGCTGCCGCCCAATGAGTGTATGTGCGCGTGTACAGAGAAGCTCGCAGGGTGTGTGCGTGTCATCTGAAGTTTAGTCTTCTCCGCTGAGATTCAGGTCGGACTGGCCTGCTTTGTTCGCCTCAACGTAACGCCGACCTCGCAGCCTACTGAACGACTTCCCTATTGGGACTGCATATTGTACCGCGCGAAGCGTCGAGCGAATGGGCGCACGGGGATTGGGGAGAGCGACGACATGCAATCGTTTCTGCAGTGGAGGATACATGTGCTTCGCGAACGTCAAGGTCGTCCTGATTCTATGTACCCGAACTCTTCTCAACGTACAAGTCAATTATCAAGACTAATACACGCTAATAAGTATGTGGCTTCAAGTGAATGTAAGTAGACGATCTTGTGAAGAAGTGCGATCTTTGCATTGCATACAAGACAGATCGTGCGACTGGCTGCGAAATCGTGCGTCTGGCTGCAAAATCGTGCGTCTGGGTGCAAAATCGTGCGTCTGGGTGCAAAATCGTGCGTCTGGGTGCAAATACTGTACGCGAGGTAAGATACCGTACGCGAGTAGGATCGAGAAAGGATGTTCAGCGTACGTTTTCATGTTGAGGCTTGGTTTGCCTATATGCGTATATGTATGTTCGAGTCGCTCCACTTGCATAGAAGTGCTAGTTAGCGCGTTACTAGGGTACAGTCGGGGAGGATGGATATCTATAGCGAGAAGGATGGATATCTATAGCGAGAAGGATGGATATCTATAGCGAGAAGGATGGCCGCCCACAGCAAGCAAGGAAAACGGCAAGAGTGAAGGCGATCGCCTGGACGAAACAAGGACGTTCGAGACGAGCAGGGGACTCGACCATGGGTGCCAGCGTAATTGGGTAGAGACAGGTATCGACGGACGCCGTAGGGCATCACCGTTACTGGGCGAAGAGAGCCCGTCAGTGTACGGAGAGAGCCCGTCAGTGAACGAAGAGTGCCCGTCAGTGGACGAAGAGAGCCCGTCAGTAGACGAAGAAGGTCGGCACTGGACGAGGAAGGTCCGTCTTTGTAGACGAGAAGGGCCATCACTGGACGAAAAGACCGAAAGAGCGGATATTCGATGCGAAGAGGAAAGGTTTCGCGGGCCTCGGGAAGGGTAAGACGGTCCTCCGGGTCCAATCGGTACGAGCAGGGCTGTCGTTCGGAATGAGCAGGAGACGAGTCGGAGTGAGCAGGAGACGAGTCGGAGTGAGCAGGACCGTCAAATCGGGCAAGTGAGGCCCTCGGGGCCGTCGACATCGGCCGCAGATGAGCGTCTGAGCGTCCGATGGGCCAGAGATCAACGTCCAATCAGTCAGAGATGGGCGTCCCATGAATCAAAGATCAAGTCGATAGATGGGACACGATGTTGCCGTCGAGCGGGATGCGATGCTGACGTCGTGGCCTTTGCCGGTCGGGTTCCTGGCGTCAGCTGGTGTAAGGATGCTCTCGTATGTTCCACTCGCGGGTGTCTACTTGGTCGCGAGTAAATGATCTAGTCGACGTACCTAACGCCGACATCGATGCAAAGAGTCCAGATGCTGGAATGCGTCCAGGTGTTGGGAAGCGCCCAGATGTCCATAAAACAACGTCCAGATGTCGGGAAGCGTCCATATGTCCATAAAACAACGTCCAGATGTCGGGAAGCGTCCATATGTCCATAAAGCAACGAGGGAAAATCGATCGCATTTACGAGGAATACGCGTGGATGAGAGAGGAATACGCGTGAAGGAGAGAGGATTACGCGTGGACGAGAGAGGATAGATCAGCGCTCGACAGGGCATGCAAATACACAGCCCTCGTCAGGGTATGCGAATAATTCAGCCCTTGTCAGGGCATGCGAGATTGGTAGGATGGTGGTGGGACGAGGGGAGATGGTTGAGAAGGGGGAGATTGTCGAGGCGAGGGAAGCAACGTCGTTGGTGCGAGGGGGAAGCGCAGGAGGTTGGTGCGAGGGAATCGGCGCCGTTGGTGCGAGGGAGGCGCGCAGCGGGAAGCGGCGAGCACGACGTGGCCGCCAATACGAGAGCGCGAATTTGCGAGCGATATTGCAGCGTTCCGTGTGCTCGGGAGCAAGTGTATGCGCGCAGAGTAGCCGAGCGCAGGGTAGATTGCGTGGTAGGAAAAGAAGAGAATAAAGCGGCAGCAAGATGGATGCAGAGAGCAGACCTGTGGGAGAGGAGGCAGAGAGCAGGCCGGTGGGGACGGTTAAGCGAAAAGAATTGAGCGTACAGTCGGATTGGCGGCCGTACATTCGGATTGGAGGTCGTAAATTCGATTGGGTAGCCGTACATTCCGATTTGGAAGCCTTACATTCCGATTGGAGGTCGTAAGTTCGGACTGGGTAGCCGTAAATTTCGATATGGAGGCCGTAGATTCCGAATTGGAGGGCTGCACACATCGACGGACTTGAGGCGGTCAACGTTGACGCGGGTGGGCGGTGGGGAGATTTGGGCAGCCGATTCGGGTGGTGGGTGCTGACAAATGGTTTGGGGCGGCTTGGACGACGCTGACGCAGGGAGGGGGGCGACTGGAGGAGGGTTGAAGGATGACGGAGTGTTGGGATGCGCCGCGGCGGAGACAATGCTGACGAGGACGAGGAGGGCGACATGCGTGACAGCGCGCGAGGAAGAAATATAGCCAGTTCAAAGACGATTTGGGGTGAGCAAAGGTAGCTTTGGGGCGAGCAAAGGTAGCTATACAAGCGCAGTCGGACTCTAGGCTCACTGGTCCGGTAGCGATGCAGTCGCAGTTGGTTGGCGATGCAGTTGAGTTGCTTGGTAGGAGAAGAGTCGAACGTCGGCCCGTTCAGAGACAGATCTCGAGCAACTTGATTGAGCATCTGATTTTTGCATGTTCGTCTGTTGATTATGTTCGTAACGTCTGTTGATAATGTTCGTAACCGGCGACTCTACAAACGCACACAGGATGGAAACCTTCCGTGAACTCGGAGGTAAGACGAGGCGGGCTGGGTTCCTGAGTCCAGGCAATGGCGTGAGGTTTGGATAGGTGGATGGGGTGAGTTTTTATGGGCCGGCCAGGTAGATCAGGAGCATGGGGTTATTCCAGTCCCCTGGTAGATGGGGTTGTTCCAGTCTCCTGATAGATGGGGCTACACCAGGCGACGTGGTCATCCCAGAGGCGAAGGAGGCGAGATGGCAGGCGCGAGGGAGTATGTAGTCATCCAGGTGGAGGCGCGTGAAGAAATCTTTTGCTTCCGCGGATGCTGACAGAGACAGACGCGTGCGCCGGGTCCGCGGTAGTGCTTGTGCATGATCGGGGCGGATGGTGGTGATCGACTTCGTGGTGCGGGCAGCGGCATAGGAAGAGGGTAGCGCTTCGTACATGGAGGCGCTGAGGCGTTGCGCGAAGGAATTCGAACGCGTAAATAGACATGCAGGCAGTGTACGTCGCGACAAGGTCAGGTCCAGGGCGTATACAGAGGCGAGACGGTGGCGATGCAGTGACGAAGGGCGCAGCGTGCGCGCCCCATTTTTCGCTGCCGGACGCGCCCCGTATCCGCTGCCGTGCGTGCACGCCCCCATAGCCGCGCCGTGCGTGCCCCCAATCCTGCTGCCGTGTGTGCCCCCATAGCCGCTGCCGAGCCGCCGCCGTCCGTTTACTTCCGCCGGTGCCGCGCGAGAGGCTTTTGGCGGCATGGGGAGAGGTACGCTGACATTGGAGAAGTCGATGGTCGGGTGGGAGAAGGCGATGGGGAGGGCGGCGAGCACAGGGATTCTCAGCTTCGACGTGTGTTGCGCGTCATGAACGCGGTCATCAAGTGTGGGCCAGATCATTGTGCGTGAGAGGGATCAACGAGCGTGGGATTTTTCATTTTGAGTCCGGGCCGGCACCTCCTCCATATGGTTCAGGGCAGCCCCGGCGTTCCGGAGCTCGATCGAGCACAATTGAAGCGTGGGAGGAAAGATTTGATGCATTTACGGACCGGCGCGCTCGGTGTCGCCGCGTCCTTGCCCGCCCAAGGCGATGTTTCTCGGGGCCTGCAGGGCGCGGCAGGAAAGATAATCCGACCTCAGTGAAAGCGTGCACGCTCGGGGCCTTGGGCTGACGAGCGGATGATGGATGGTGATGATCTGCCGATTACGACGCGCTGACTCTGACTCGTTTGTCCTGCTCTTTTTTTTTCATTCCTTCCATCCGGTTCGGGCTGCGCCTCCGGCGCGCGCAGACCGTTCTACATAACCGCGCCCATTTGCAAAGCTGGCGCTGTCGGTCCTTGTCCGCGACTACCATCCGCACGCCTTCCTCCCGCGCGCCGCTAGCGCAGCCTTATTCGACGCGACAAGCGCACGCCAGGGGCACCGAGAACGCGCTTGACCAGATCCAGAGATCTTCTGTGCTGCACTCAAAACGTTTCGACGCCCCCCGACACGCGCCGCCCGAGGGATTCGACAGCAACGGTGCAGATCACACTGACACCAGCGATCTTCCCTGTCCCGGCCGATCCCCTCGCTCGTGCACCTGTCCTGAGCTTGTACGTCCTCGCTCGCCTTGTCCCGCACTAGCGCCGGTCACTCACAAGAGTGGCAAGACGCGAAGTAAACCCAGCGCGTTTCAGCAGCCCGAATCCCGCCAAACGCAGGCTTATTTCCGCTGCAAGTAAGCCAATTGCCGCTCCAGGGTAGGCTCGCTTCATATCGGCATGTGAGATCCTGATCGCTCATTGAATCTTCTAGGCGCCTAATCGACGTCTGGGAAAGCCTGTCATCTGGGAAAGCCTGTCATCGACGTTGTTTGGGAGAGTCTCCCATCAGTGTCCCTGTTCTAAGCTCTAAACGCCGGCCTTCATAACGCCTCCTCGCGACCCGGGTGTTTCCCCTCCTCTTCTTCCTCCTCTCATCACGTTCCTCCTCCCGTCACGTTCCTCATCCTTCGTGGTTCGTTGAGCATTCTCATTACCCGCGTCTTTCCCCACCCGTCACCTTCCTCTCCTCCTCCCATCATCACATCCATGGCACCCGCGCCCACCACCGCGACTAGGGCGCCTGCCTCCGCGACCGCGACCAGGGCGCCTGCCTCCGCGACCGCGTCTCTACCCTCCACAACGGACGCGCACCGCCAGCCCACCGACGCGTACCGCCAGCCCATTGACGCGCACTTCCACGACGCCTCCGTCGACGCGCACGTCCAAGACGCTACCGCCGACCCGCACAACCTCGACGAAGTCGTGGGCCGCCTCGAGCGTCTCGCGATGGCGATGCGTGGGCGGGATATGCGTGCGCCGTTCGCGCAGTCTCCCGCGCGTGATTTCTGCGGCGATGCGTCGACCTTCAACCAAACCCCCGCGTCAGCGTTCGCTCAGTCCCCCGCGTCGACATTCGCGCACACCGTCTACGAAGAGGACGCGGACGAGCCGACCGTAATCGACACGTTCTCGCCGAGGCCTATGCATCGGGAGCCGTCTTCCACTGCCCAACCTCCCCGCTTGAACACCGCGACTGCGCCGAAGCACTCGATCTCGGAACACTCTCCGACGTCGACATCCTCCTCGTCTTCTTCCCTGGGGGTCTTGGACTCTAGGAGTTCACTTGGGCCCTTGGATTCTAGGAGTGCGGTGGAGGCGTTCCTCGCGACTAGGTCGCGCGTAGTGAGGGTGAGTCTATCAGTCCCTGTGTAAGGATCGAGCATCGCGGGCGTTGCGGGCCACTCTAAATCCCCTTCACATAATCTCTCGCGCCCTCCCATTCATCATTTGTGCGCTCTGCCATTCATCGTCCCACGTAACCAGACGCGATGTTGTGCTCATGTCCCGCGCCGTGTTCATATCATGTCTCGCGCCGTGTTCATGTCCCGCGCCGTCCTACCTACCACTGCACCCGGCTTGATTCATGCGTTCATTTCCCTCGCGTCCTTGATACATTTTCCTCATGCTCTTCGTTCACTCCTCTCGTAATACCATTCACCCTCGTAATCGAACGCACGCTGACGGTAACCACGCATGCAGGTCAGCGCGCTCGCGGGCTTGTCGGGGCTGGGCGAGCTGGCGCCGAGGCCGCAGTCGGTGTGGACGCATGAGGGGACCAAGGATGGTTCTGTCTGGGCGGTGTTCAGGACGCATGAGGAGGTGAGTTCTTGGCTCGTTATTTGTGATTTTGGCGATTTTCTGTTTTCTTTTATTGTGTTTTGTCTTCTTCGCTCTTCGTCGTCGAGCTTCCTGGGCGCTTGTCCGCGTTGTTGTCTGGCGACCGCGTCCCTTCACTTCTACATCCTGGTCTCACGTTCCTCGATCCCTGCGCCCCGCATAATTCCTGCGATGTCGCCAGGAACGCATGAAGGCGATCGTTCCGGGGTACCGGGGGGCAGTGCGCATTGTTGACATGTAGGGACGATGCGCGTCGTTGACGTGCAGGGACGATGCACGTCGTTGACGCGTACGGACGATGCGCGTCGCTGACGCGCAAGGGCGACGCGCATTGCTGACGTGCGGCGGCCCGAGGGGGTGATGCTCGGAGGCAGTGCGCGAGAGGGTGAAGGCGTGATCTTTTCAGTCAGGCGGGGGGCGTGATACGCAGGCAAGGGGCGTGATACGCAGGCCTGGGGAAAGAGATGATACGCTGACTTGTGGGGAGAGAGATGCTTACCGTCGGTTGATAACGGAGGGTGCTCTTCGCGACACCGGAGTTCATCGTCTCGCGATACCGGAGTTCATCGTCCTCGGTGATGCGCCAATTTCTTAGTGATACGCGCGGTCGATCGGATATTGATCATTCGTTCTGTCCGATTCGTGGCCCTGCATTGGCGGTTTTGCTATATTTCTTCCTCCTCCTTTGCCTTTCCCTTTTCCTTTACCTTTTCCTTTCTCTACCTTTACTTCCTCACTACCCGCGTTTTCTCTGCGCGCTTTTCCTACCTTGCGCGTACGACGGCCTACTGACTGACACCCCTCTCCCCCAGGCTCGTGCGCTCCTCGCCGCCGCGCCGTCCCATATTGCAGTCTTCCCCGCGCTGGAGGGCGATCTGGAGCCGTTCAGCAAGTTGAGGCGGGTGGAGGTTGGGATGGTGAGTGTTTGGGCGCTTATTTTTTGGGTTTCTCTTTTTCTTTGCTTTTGGGGGAACGGTGGTCCTTCGCTTGTAGAAAGGCGGTTTCTCGCCTTGGTGGGGAAGACGGGGGCGCATTGGAGACAAGAGGGCGCGTTGGGCTTGACGAGCGCGAACGAGAGATGCGTCGTGACCATGGGCGGACATGAAGGTACCCTCGTTGCGGACGTATAGGCGCCTAGGCCGTGGCACGTACACGACTTCGGTCTTGGGCGCGCGCGGCGTCCCGCGCACCGGCGCTCGTCGTCGTTATTCACGTGTCTGTTCATTTATACAATGCAGCGTGCTCATCTATCCTCTTTCAGACGCCCCCGACTATGTCCGTGCCGCCGTCGCCGTACGGCGCGTCGTTCGGCGCGCAAGGCCAGACGACGTACTCGACGCATGCGCCGTCCTCGACCTACGCAAATAACGGGCAGTCCTACGCTGATCGCGCGCCCTCGTCTTACGCCGACCACTCGGCCCACGCCTCACAGGGCCAGCGCCCGGGCCTCGTCCTCAATACCGCCGTCGCAGCGCAACGTGAGCCGATCCAGGCGTACGCGTCCCAACGCGAGTTGGCGCAATTTGCCGGCCAGCGCGAGCAGTACGCTCAGCGCGACTCAGCGCAACACACGTCGCAACGCGACAACTACGCGCCCGCGAACGACCCTGCGCAGTCGTACGCAATCTCGAGCAACCCGCCGAACCCGCGGACCAGCTTCAGGCTGGGCGACTGGATGTGAGTAGAGTGGTTTCTTTGAGTGTTATTTCGGCGTTTTGTTTGAGCGTCGGGCGCGCTTGCTATGCGCTCAGTCTCGCTGGCGGAACTCTAGCGGAGGCCCTTTGACGCGTCATGATCATATCTGGTACGCGCCCCAGAACGTGCAGGGGCGACGAGTCCGACCCTCCGAGGCCTTTGTGCTTATGGCTGGCGTACTTCCATGACATCGCGTTCCATTCTGGGGTGATCGATCGTACTGAATGCCGGCTCCGGGGTGTTGGACTTGGTTGGGATCTGTGCGTCGCGGGTATCTCCATGCTGCTCGTTGAGCATCCCCATGTCGCTCCTCGAATGTCTCAGGAAGCAAGCAAGGGAGCAATGCTGACCACGCCCTTCTCCAGATGCAGCGCAGCAAAATGCGGGGCACACAACTTTGGGTGAGTGCCGGCTTCTTTGTCTCACTTTTGGCTTTCCGTTCTCGTGGCACGTTTTGAGGCGTTGTGGCACGGATTTGGTTGCTGTGTCACACCTTTTTTTCAACCCTGTCACGCCTTTGAGCATGTAACACGGTTTTTCTTTCCGCTTCCGAGCTTTTCGGGGCACGGAGGCAAGACCTTTGTCCGAGACTCTGCCTTTGACAAGATCTTTCTGCTTTCTTCTCCTTTTACTATCATCGGCCGACAACATCACTACCTCCTGCTGTCTTTTCTGTGATCTTTGGACTATAGTCCACCTCTATAATTCACCTCCCTAATACTCGTCCCCTCGATCGTCCATTCTTACTCATGCATGCCCCTCACAGTCGCAACGTCGCGTGCATTGGCTGTGGTACCCCTCGGGTTGGGAACGGTCTGGCACCGTCCCCGACTCAGGGTCACTTCATGTCGGCGCGCCCCGTCCCCTCGCCCCGCTTCGCCGCGTCCTTCTCCGCCCAGCAGCAGCAGCACGCGTCCGCCTTCGCCGGCAACTCGCCTATGCCGCAACACCAGCCTTCGCAGCCGCAGAACAAGCCGAATCACCCGCTGCTGACGCCGTCGGGTCGCTCGTTCGCGGTCGGCGGGAGCGTCAAAAATATTTCGAGTGACCCGCTGTCGCCATGCTTCATGTTCTGGCCAGATAACGAGCCGTTCCCGGAGCAGGGGCAGATTCGCCCGAGCCATCTGTCGGGGGTGCCGGTGAGTGGATCGGGTTTTCACTCGCGTTGGAAAGTATGTTCAACACACTGTGCAGCAGCCTCCTATTCTGAACACGGGGAATCGGGGACCGATCACACATGTATGTGTTCCGCCGGGATTTTGCGTGGACGTTCATCTGATTTCTCTTGTAGCAACCTGGCGATTGGATCTGCAAAAAGTGCAACTACCTCAACTGGAGAAGGAGGAAAGTTTGCCAGACCTGCTTGCCTTGTACGTGCTCGGACATCCTTTGTCGTGAATGCGCCTAAACCGCTTTGCAGACGCAGAAGGCAATGGCGACTCGATCTCCGCTGCTGTTCAGGCCGAGCGCATCGCGCTGTTGACAAACGTCCTTACGCAGACGAACAGCCAGCCGTCATCCGCCAATGGCCTCTCGCCGCAATCGAGCGCCTTCTCGCCTTCGGCGCAGGCCTTTCCCATGCAACAGCACAACACCATGCCCCAGCAGCAGCAGCAGCCCATGCCCCTTAGCGTGCGCTCGCAGTCGATGACGCCTCCCCAGGCGCGCCGTCCGTTCATGAGCTCGGTATCGCCTCCGCTGCCGCAGGGCCGCGGCGCGGTGCACCGCTCGAAGTCGCACTTTGACCTCGGCTCGTACGGCGCTATGGGCCCCGGGCCTGTTCCCCCGATGCCGAAGCACGCAGCGACGTTGCCGTCCGGGTATGCTGTTGGGCACGGCGCCATGACCGCGGGACACGCGGGTATCTCGAGGCAGGGCTCGCCGTCGTTCCTGGCGATGCAGGAGGCGTACATGCAGCCGCCGACGCCGTCGTATATGCAGGCCGCGACCACCTTCAAGCAGCCGACGACGCCGTCCTTCATGCAGTCGCCCACGCCGTTCATGCCGATCCCGGAGTCCGCGTCTGTGCCGCTGTTGCCATCGTTCCTTCAGGACATGGTCCAGCCGTCGCCGAGCCTTTCGCCGTCGTCGACGTCCTCGTCCGCGGAGCTACCGTTTGAGGAACAGATGGAGTCTGCGGGCTCGTCGCGGTCGTCGTCGAGGCATAGGCCCAGGGGCAAGGTGTCGACGGAGGGGTTGGGGAGCATTTGGCGCTTGGATCGGAAGGAGAGTCGCTCGATGTTCAACCCGTTTGGCCCTGAGGCCATTGGGTGGCAACGGTCGCAGAGCCGCGAGCGGGTGCGGGCGGCCAGTCAGGAGGCAGCGCATGCGGCGACGCTCGAGAGCTTGCCGGCGACTATGGAGAGGCTGAATATGTGAGTATATGTTTTGCCGGGATTTCGAGACATAGACTGACGCCGTCGACCAGATAAATAAGACGATGACGATGCGGCTGCACGTCCACCGCTAGACGGCTTTTTGCTGGATATATATGTTAAGGACCAGGACATCCCGGCTGGACAGAACCCATCCCTTTTGCGCTGGACGACCCCCGGTTACTTGTTTCCTCCCCTCTGGCGGAATTTTTGGAACAGTACTTTTGGAGCCTATCTTCATCACCCATCCACCTATCTATCCTCTTGGAGCGCGCACGCGGCGAGTGCATTGTCATCTGCCCACACAGTGTATCCGCTGTGTATGCAGTGGCATTCCCTCTCGTCGCGCGCGCTGTACTACTGTCCTCTCACCGTCCTCGCAATGCTCATCTATCATCCGTAATCTACAGTCACTAATTACATGTTGCCCGTGTCTTGTGTGTGTTGTGCTCCTGATATTTACTTACCTCCCCCGTTGTACTTGAGCGCTTACCTCCTAGGATTCCGTTACCTCCTCTGCTGCTTTATCTGATGACCATGTATGTAGCAAATACGAATATTTATGCGGCGCGTTGGCCTGCGTAACATACTCAAATGGCCGATTGGGGAGGATGATAGCCGACGAGTAGAGAGCAGGAGGCGTTCGGTGGTGGCGCGAGTGTGTTGGTGGTTGCTTGTACCAGTGGTGTACACTCACGTGAATGGATAAACAACCGTGGGATACTCCTCCTTCACCTGCGGCGCCGTACTCTTGCTTCTTGCCACTTCGTTGACCCAATCCGCAGTCATATTCGCACGAATACACCCAAAAATCAGGCTAGGGAAGCCGCTGCGCGATTGTCCAAAGCTCGGACTTGACGCTGCACTAGAAGACCTGTTTTCTTTCGAGACTACGAACTTCCTCACTTCAAGGCCGCAATTGCATTCCGATGAAGCTTCGAAGCTTTTCACCAGAGAACGACGCTGTCTTTGACGATTCTGCGGCACTTGACGCTAACTGGCGCCTAAGTCACTTGCTAGCTAGCATGTGAATCCAAAAGCGACGTAGGTTCGGCGACCGCCATTTTCAGGACTCATACAGGATGGACAGGCTACTGCTGTGGATCCTCATGCGATTGTGATCTTAGGCACGCTCCTCTACACTGCTTTGCTTTTTTAAATTGCTGTTTCGACTTCAACAGCCGCAGACCATCAGCGAACTCCCGAAGGTCCTGGCGTTCATTCGACGGTGTAGCCTTCGCAGTCGTCCGAGCTTTACGTTGAGCGAAGAAATCCAATTCTTGTCTTGCGAGGACGACAGCGCTCGTGAGGAGGGACTACCGCAGGTAACTCCACGACTTCAGCGCTCAGTGACTGCTCTAGAGCCCCGAACTGAATGACCAGATTCAATCATCGCAGTTGACCTCAACAACCTTCGTCGATCGGTCAATAACCTCGGGATGCTATGCACTCATTTTGACGGCTCTGTAAGTACTACGAGAGTTTGATTCTTATCTGCCAACAGCACAGGTGGTTCTGCACGAGAACACTTGAATGAGGGTCGGGTTGCCCGTGCACGTACAAAACTCTGCTAGCTGCGTCTTAGCATCTCTTGCTGGAGATCTCTTTTTCTGCCCACACAATGTCGCAATATACTCGTAGGAGACTTCTGACGCACTCGTGAGAGGCAAGGTACCGTCTGCAGGTGCTTGCGCTATGCGACCGCCCAGTAAGGCAGGTTGTGGGCCCGGTGTTTGGCCATCGCGCATCGGTGGTCAATCAGTGAACGTGAACGATAGCGGGTGTTCACTCTCGCATCATGGAGCCCCGAGTATGTATAGTACAGCCATTGTCGGCTGTAAATGAGCAACTGAGTCGAGGAGCCGAGAGTTGGACTTCACCATGTGGATTTCTTGAAAAGGCGTGTTCACGACACGAGGCATCATATTACATCTCATCGCATGCGGACGCGCCAATCTACTATCCAACACGTCGCCTCCAGCAACCTATTCTACCTTTCTCGAGACGGTCTCGAGAAATTTCGCCCATCCGACACTGCTGTAAATGTCCTACGTGGCTTCTCATGTACCGCCATCTGTCTCCTCATCTCCCGTCACTTCCACCGCGTCCGGCTCGATATCTAGGCGACACAACCCCAATCCATCTGTCGAGTGGGAACCCGATGAAGCTTTCAAGGAGAGTCTACGTCGACGCATTCATGAGAACCTCAAGGAGATGGTGACGAATGCGCACCAGGAGCGCGACAAGAGCCTCGCGGAGGACCCCGCCAACGCAGAAGAGCATCTGAAAACGTACAGAAGTACCATGGATGAGCTCAACCACCTTGCGGAGGAGTCCTTTCAGGCCGAGCTGCAGCACGAGAGGGAGGCGCGCAGGTGGTCGTCGGGCACGTCTGCTCCCCCGGCCTGGTTGCTGAGCGAGCAGCAGGCGATCTGGGATAAGGTCAAGCAAGAATCCGAAGGACAGGCGCCACAGCGGGGTTCTCCTCAATCCCCTCCCCCTCCCCCTCCTCCCGACACCGCAGCCGCCAGCGCCGTCGCGGGAGGCACGCCGTCCATTGCCGTCCCGCCATCAACTGGTCGATCGCGCACGCTCAGCCAGGTCCGCACGCCCGATGCCCTAGATGAGGGCCCATCGCGATCGTACACGGAGCGCAGGTCCTCCCTCACCGCGTCCAAACCCATCCCCGAGATCTGGCGCCCATCCGTCACGCCCGACGAAGACGCGCGCCAAAACCGGACGCCGCAGCGGCGGGGAAGCACGGCGAGCGTGCGCTCCGTCGGCTCGGTGGGCTCGACGTCACAGCGCCTACCGACAACACCCTCAATCCCAGAGAACGATGTCGTGTGGGGCACCGAGGACTCGCGAGCGCGTCGCAGGGAGATGGAGTCGCCTCGCAATGTACGCGAGCGCACGAGCTCCAGCCAGCTTAGGGACGCGTCGTCACTGCGCGATCGGACGAGTAGTGGGGCGCTACGCTCTGCCAACACAGACTCGCCTCAACCTGCGAGGCAGGGTAGGTACTCGTCGGGCTACCGTAACCCGGACATCGCTGGTGCGTGTCATCACTTGTGCATCCGCGATGGTTAATTGATGCAGGTTTTCAGAGTCTCCAACCCAGCCTAGTTCCTTTGCCAAGGGTTCCCCCATTTCCTCCTCCTTCGAAGATCATCGCACCCGCCCCATGAAGAATGGATCGCGAGATTGGATGCCAGGCAGCCAGTCACCCTCCTCCAACAAGTCCATCCTCAGTCAAAGCCCATCCAAGGCCAGCCCATCCTCCCTGAACACGCCTCCTCGCGCATCAACTTCGGCGCAGCCTTGTGCGCATGCCTTCCTTCGTCCTCGTCGCATTCATTGACATCCCCTTAGCACAGCCTCGGGCGTCTACTTCCACGGAGTTCTCCTCGAATGCACGTTCAAGGACGTACTCGACCTATGGGCAAGAGAAGGTGTCTCCGTCTGTTGCTACGAAGTCGAGGACGTCGTCAAGTCGTAAATCACCTTCCCGTGAACCCGGTCGCAAGTCTCCGTCCCCTCAGCGGTCGTCGCAGAGCAAGAGTAGGATCACGGGTGCGTATTCTACTGTTACTGATTCCATTACGCGTGTTCTCAATGATTTTTTTCTTCATCCCAGGCTTTCAGCCTGCTAAGGCAGGCGTAGCGCCGATGGAGATCAACGAGTTCTCGGTCACGGCGGAGAAGCCTCAGGCTGTCTTGAGCGCAGATAGGCCGTCGTTGCTCTCCAAGGGAAGACCGAAGTCGGAGCGGACCCAGTCGTTGTTCTCCTTTGACAAGCCGCCGTCAATACCGTTCGGACCCGTCGAACGACCTCTGCTCGCTTCGGACCAGCCCCAATCGTTCCTTTCGCAAGGCCGCCCGCCATCGACACCTCTGGGCAACGGTCCCAAAAGGCCGACGAATGTGCGAGGCGCTTCGTACTCTGGCGATATGGGGTCCACTCGTTCAGGAGAGCCAAGGGCCCCATTGTTGGGCGAGAGAGGCGGTCCATCGGTAGCACCTGCGCCTTCGCCAGCTCCCGAACGTAGAGGTGTGCCGATACGCTCAAATCGTGTCTCAATGGACTCCTCGAATACGCCGATGCGCCCAACTTACGCCAGCGGTGCTCCTTCCATGCCTTACGAGACTCCCGGGCAACGTACATTCGACTCTCCCTCTCGGCCTGCGTACGGGATCTCAGGAAAGCGCTCGCAGGAGATGCCAGCTGGACGTGCATACGATAGCCAGAGCAGGCCGGCGTATGGCCCGGTGGGCAGGCGCAGACACGAGACTCCAGGTCGGCGGGGGTACGATCGCCGGCCCTACGACATCGCTGGTAGCCCATCGTCGACGACTTCACATACGAGCACGGGTAGTCAGCCAATACCTGTACCACCACGATCGCGACCCGTCTCCGATGACGAGGAGGCGGAGGAGTCTGGCACGGACGAGGAGGCTGAGAGTCATGATGACGATGACGACGATGAGCAGACGACTGGTAGCGAAACCGAAAGCGAAGACGGCTTCGACGAAGACGAAGCGCTCCCGTTTGCCATGCAAGACGACCCGGCCGATGCGTTCTCCACTGTGCGCGGTAATCCATTCGCCCCTCCGACCGAAGCCCTGCCCACGCCACCGAAGGAGTATAAGATGTGGGTTCCGAGTATGCCCCAGAAGGATGCGACGCGCGTTGAGCCCTCGAACAGATGGAATGTGCCGCCTACATCACGCAGGCAGACGTCCGCCACCAAGGAAGAATCGGGATCCGACCCTGACCTGACAGCAATTCCATCGACTTCGGGACGATCCGATCAGCTACGACAGGGCACCCAGCGCAGGCCGGGCATCCTGACGCGCACTGAGAGCTATCGGGACGTCCCAGCACGCGCGCGCACGAATGAAGTCGATGCGTTCAGTCGGTCCATGAACGTCATCGGGAACCAGAGAGCGAAGGAGCAAGCTCGGCGGGACGAGACGCGGTTGCGACAAGCGGAGGAGCAGCGCAAACGGGACGAAGATCAGCGACGCGAACAGGAGAAGGCCGCCCAGCGCGCGCGCGAGGAGGCCGAGAGGCGCGACCGCGAAGAGGCGGAGCAGCGCGCTCGTGAAGCGGAAGAGCAGCGTATCCGCGAAGACGAGGAACGACGCGCTCAGGAGGCAGAACGACTCGCTCGGGAGGAAGAAGAACGCCTGGCTCGCGAGGAGGAAGAGCGCCTGGCTCGCGAGGAGGAGGAACGGCAGGCCCGCGAAGAAGAGGAGCGGCGCGCGCGCTTAGAGGAGGAGCATCGTGCACGCGCGGAGCGCGAGGCGCGTCTCGCGCAAGAGAAAGCTGAGCGTGAGGCTCGCCTTGCACGGGAGAAAGCTGAGCGCGAGGAGAAGCTGCGAGCTGCCGAGGAGCGCCGCAAGCAGGAGGAGGAAGAGAGGAAGCGCGCGCTGGAGGAGTCCAAGCAGGCAAAGAAGAGCGCTAAGCAGAAGAAGAGGGAGGAGAAAGCGAAGAGGGATGCAGAGGAGAAGGCAAGGCTCGAAGCAGAAGCGGCGAAGCGCGAACAGGAACGACTCCAGCGCGAGGAAGAGGAACGGCTCAAACGCGAGGAGGACGAGCGAATCGCCGCCGAAGCAGAGGCCGCACGCTTGGCTGAACAGCGCGCTCAGGAGGCGGAGGCGCAGCGTCAGCGCGAGGAGGAGGAGCGCGCCCTGGAGCGTCAGCGTCAAGAGGAGGAAGAGGCCCGTCGCCGACGGGAGGAAGCCGAGGAGATCACGCGACGTGTAGAAGACGATGCACGCCAGCGCCTTCAAGCAGACCTTGCGCGCATGCAGGAGGACCTGCGTCAGCAGATAGCTGCGGAAGCGCAGAAGGCTATGAGCGAGGCTATGCAGCGTAAGGAGGAGGAGCTTAGGCTTCGGGAAGAAGAGCTGCACCGACGGGAAGAAGAGATTCGGCGGAAGGAGGAGCAGCGCCATAGGGAGGAGGAAGAACGCAAAGAGCGCGAGGAAAAGTTGGAGAGGGAGAAGGAGAGGGAGGAGACGCGCAGACGGAAGGAGGAAGACAAGAAGTCTAGGGAACGCAAACGCAAGGAGGAGGAAAGGAGGGCCCGGGAGGAAAAGGAGCGGGTGGCACGGGAGGCACGGGAGGCACGGGAGAAGGAGGACAGGGAGAAAGCAGAGCGGGAGAGGGCGGAACAGGAGGAAAAGGAACGCCAGGAGCGAGAGCGCGAACAGCAGGAGAGGGCAGAGAGGGAGAAGGAGGAACGCGAAAGGCAAGAGCAGATTCGCCGAGATGAACTAGAGGCCGCGCGCTTGCAGGAGGAAGAGGTCCGTCGAGCGGAGGAGGAGCGGTTACAGCGCGAACGCGACGAGCGGAGGAAGGAAGAGCGCCATAGAGACGAAGAGCGCAGGAGATCCGACGATCGGCGGCGACGGGAAGAGGAAGAGACAAAGCGTCGCGCCGAGGCTTTCCAGCGACAGCAGGAGCAGGAGCGCCTACGCCAAGCCGAGATCGAGCAGCGACGTCGGGCAGATCAACAGCGATCGCGGGCTGACAGTACTACAACCGAGAGCAGTTGGAGCAGCTCTCGGTTCTCCTCATCAAGCGCTTCTTCGGCTACCAGCGCCGCGTCGTCTAGCTGGGGCGCCGGCCGTACCCCGAAACCTTCCACCTCCGCCCGGACCACATCCACCTCAACACCACGCACGTCTCCTGCCACGGGACGCACTCCAACGGGCGCATCTCCTATGGATGAAGACGAGTGGGTACGACGCCAAGAGGAGTATGCACGTCGTCAGCAGGAGCAATTCCGACGCGAGCAAGAACGACTCGAGCGCGAGCGCTTTGTACGGGAACAAGCGAAGGACTCTCGAATGCTCACCAAGGACGACGTCCAGCGCCTCTTCGCTCGTCACGAGGAGATGTGGCAGACGCTGCAGAAGGCGGAGCGTCTTACGTGGATCTCCTTCCCTTGGCCGCTGATCAAGCAACCGTCGACCCCAGAGGACATTACGACGAACGCAGTCGACGCCTATATCCTCTCCCCGTACTATCCTGAGAAGGACAAGGACAAGGGACGCTCCCACAGGGACCGCATCAAGGAGCACATACGACGCTGGCATCCTGATCGCTTCGACACGAAGCTCCTCCCTCGGGTGGTGGAAAGCGATAGGGAGAATGTGAAGGAGGGCGCTGGGGCGGTGGTGCGCGGGCTGAATGATTTGTTGAGGCGAGCGAACACGCCAAATCCTTTTGATTGAAACGACCGTATATGATTCATTGTATGTACGCAGATTTGGCAGATATCGGGGTTCTGTAGTGATTAGCATACCATGGATTTCGCCTGACACTTTTTCCTCTCTCATATGTATTTTTCCCGTCTCGCACACGCAGTGTAGTCTGTACATTACATCTACCCACTGACTGTCAAGCATTGTATTTGTGGTCACCGGTCACCGCTCGCGCATCGCATCTGTTGATTTTTGTCAAAGGACAGTCTCAATGGCCGCAAACACTCTCAGAATGCGTAAGTCGTGCTCAAGATTCAGTACAGTGCTACTATTATACAGTTTGAAACTACGGTCTATCGGTCGATAACATGCTATGCGTGGCCGCCAGCCCACAAATTAATCACATCCTGCACGCTTCGCATGGGCCAAGAAGTCCCAACCATTCCCGCCATCCTCATGCCCGTTAATTGCGCTATATGCACCACTCCCTTACCCATAGCATGTAGCTCGTCCTGGGTCGGGACCTGATGAACAAAGTCCCTGAGGGCGTCGTCCATCAGATTCTTCAACAGTGCACTGAGCAATGTTCCCGGAACCTGGTTGCGGGTAAGATACCACGCGAGCTCTTTCGTGGATGCTGCCACATCAGGCCCTCGCGGAACCCGCTGACCCAGAACGTAGTGTCGCAGCGCATCAAGGAATGCTGGCTTTCGGCGGACGACGTCGAGGCGCTGGTCGATGGCGAGCAGAGCGCTGGTAGCCTCTGCTTCGCGCAGGAGGGGGTGGCGATAATTGTTCTCGAAGCGGCCGCTCATGCACCGTTCGTATAGCCGTCCATAGAAGTCGGCCGTTACGCGAAGGTCCTGCTGGCGAAGAATGAAGTAGGAGCTCTCGCAACCCATCTGTCGATAGCGGTAGAGGGTCAGATGCGCTTGCAGCATCTGCGGTTTCTCGTGGAGAAGGGTGTCCAGGAGTGCGGCGTGGCAATAGGTGCGGAACATCTTCTCGGCGTCGTCCGCGCTCTCGGCACCGCAGAAGCGGTCGGCAAACGCAATGTACAGGACGTCGTTTGAGAAGGAGGTAATAAACTCGGATAGATCTGCAGCGGGGTGCGTCAAGATATCAATCGCTTGCGGAACATCCAGCACGGCGGCGTCACCGGATGAAGAGCCAGAGCGCACGAAGAGACTGCGACTACCCTTGGGATCCTCGAGGTAGCCGAGGAAGGCTGACCGTCGTTTGACGAAGATCGTCTGCGACTTGAGCAGGTTCTCGCGATGTCGGCGATCGCGTCTGATGTCCATCATGACGGGCCAGTAGCGCGGCGTGTCCACCCTGAAGGAAACCATTTTCTCAACGTCGGGGAACAGTGTGGGTGAAATGAGGGTCGTGTTGCTGACGCTGCGGTTGCTGTCCAGGGCCTGCACCCGGATGGGCAGGTAAGCTATCTCGGTTGTGTCCACATCTCGTGCGACGAGACAGCGCGGCTCGATAGCCAACACCCAGAGATGTCGCAGCGCCTGAAGATAGCTTCGGTTGTCGGAAGACATGCTGTTGAACCGAGGGAAGAATGCAACGACCATGGAAGCGACGGCGGCGTCGGATGTGCCCAGCGTAAATCTGCCCTGACCGAGGAAGAGCATGCCGAGGGACATGTGGTTGAACATATGTGTGCCATACTTGAAGCCCTGGTGATAGATCGACTGCTGAAGCATCCCATACGCGAGGCGTAGGCGTCGCAATGTCGTGATCTCGCCGGTACCCGCCATGATCATGGCTAGTGCAAGGGAGATGAGATTCAGTCCATCACGAACAGCAGACCGCTTAATTCGGTGTTCAAAGGCGCCCCCTCCTAAACCATCGATGAGCGAACAATAGTCGTATTGGCCACTAGAAACTCACCTTGCGAGTATACGAGGCGCGTGAAGGCGTCGAAATACTTCACGACAATCTTGTATGCAGGTTCGCGAGCAGTGCCCGCGTACTTTAGCGCAAGCGCGAAGCAACAGCCCGAGATAATGTTATAGTACGCCAACTCAATCGCATCGTCAATTGGTTCATGGCGCTTCGCGCGTGCCTCGATGCCCTCTCTGACGGGCTGGGGAAGATGCGAATTGAACCATTCAGCCGAAGGCTGGATGTCGTCGAACAGGATGAGGCCCTTGGCAATTGTGCGGAGTATGAGGAAGCTGGGCTGCAGATGTTCAAGCTCCCGCACTGTCTCCGGGACGGCGAGGATAGCTGCGATATCGCGCCGGCCTGTACGAAGGTACATCAGACCGAGGGCCATGGTTGCAGCCGGCGACGTGAGTGTGAGGTCGTATCCAGCAGGCGGCGGCAGGCCTTCTACCGTGATGCCTGGATCCGGACCGTGGATGAGTGCATTGAGACGCTGGACGAGGGCCATATCAGCAGGGACGTTTGACCCCTTCCCGAGCATGATCATGCCGAAAGCGAGCGCTGCGGAGTACGTGTATGCCTCGCGATGTTCGTTGTGGATGTCGGGCGGGACAAGGTCGTGCCGCGAGATCTGGCTCAAGCAGACCTCCGCCATGCGTCGGTTGCGAGTGGCCATGTACAACACACCGATTCCAGCGAGGCCGGCAGCCTGCGTCATGAGCGAGACGTTCAGGTCGACGCCTGGCGTCGGCAAGAGTGCAGGGGTATGCACGGTCAAGAGCTTTGTCACCGCGCTGTCGCTCGTCCCAACATTCGCGGCCGCGAGACCTAGTAGAACACCGATGGACGTTAGGTCGTGCTTCGGCGTGAGGTAGCCGAAGGTATGCCAGGTGAGTAGCTCGCGCAGATGACCCGTCAAGCCGAGGGCGAAGAGGAACCCCGCGTGTTCCGCCGTCAGCTCATCCGGCCGGTTGAACGCGATCCAGGACGAGTCGATGCCTCGAGCCTTTGGCGAAATCCGCAAGCCTGCCGCGACGCCGTTGTGGAAGTCGCCCCACGCGATGGAGTCGAGGACGATGCCGGGCTCCGGTGAGACGGTGAGGTTGTGCGGATGCAACCGGACGAGATACTCCATCTTGGGTATCTGGTACGACTCGCGATTTACGGAGTCGAGTGTGGCGAAGGTGAACAGGGCGCGGCCATAGGGAAGAGCGAGCGTCCGCTCGGCGACGCGGATGGCTAGGTTCTGTTGCTCCTTCACTTGGTCTGTCTCACTAGAAGATGGTGAGGGAAGGGACATGAGATGGTGCTAGGAGCTCTTACCTCAGATCAGGTCGCTCGACCGCCCGGATGGTAGGTATCAGAGAAGACGCCAGCATACGCCCAACATCCTCGAGGCGACGATCACTGCCAAAGCGCACATCGGTGAATTCACGATTGGTGATCTCGACTCCGGTGATTTGAGGGCCCTGCACATCAGCTGAGCTTTGGTTTTATCATGCAAAAGTCTAGTCACCGACCTTGTTCTCTGTCTTGTTGTCGTGTAGATCCCCAGCGCCCGCGGAGCGTGCCTCCTGCGCAATGTCACCGATGGAGGGACGGTTATAACGATCGTCCTGCGCAGTATAGTGTGAGATGTGACCAACGTCAACCGGAGGGTGGACTTACGAGCAACTGCTTCCTGGTCAGATATCCGTCCGAGCGCAGGAGCTTGATGTTGTCGCCAGCAGTGGCGGCAAGATCGTTCCGCCCAACGTAGTTCCACAGGTCAAGCGACCACGTCGCGGGAGGAGCCAACTATGGGGATGTTCATGAACTCGACTCCATGACGTAGAAGGACGAAGGACTCACCTGCACAGTACGCAATGCCTCGCGAATCGGCGCCGCGATACCAAGGGGCAGACTATCGACCCACGCCAGAGGCAAATGCATGGCATGCATGAACTGCACGGTCTCTTCTGCGCGGAACTGCGCCGTCGTGTCCGAGCTATCAAGTCTCATCGGCGCAGCAGTGGGCCGCGGCTGCTTCGTCACAACCATCGGATCATGCATCGACGTGTCCTGCAGCGCCGAGCCGCCGACTTGCAGCCGGCCCTCGTTCGTCACTGTCTGCGACCGCGGGCGCAGCGGCGACTCCGCCTCGCGTATCGCCATCGCCCGCGGCGACTCTGCCTGGCTCTGCGTCTGCGCGCGCGCTCGAAGGTTCGAAGCGCCCTTTTTCGGTGAGGTCCCGCGACCGCGTCCGGCGGCGGCGGGGAGTCCAGCGCCTCGTCCGCGGGCTCTCTTGGTAGGCGATGAAGTTCCGCTGGCTGCCTTCGTGGGGGACGTTGGACGAGACTTGAGAGGAAGGGTCCTGAGACCATGGCCTGGACCAAGTCCTTCGCGACGAGGCCCGCCGGCGACGCGCTCGTAGAGGGCGCGGAGGATGCTGATCTGCGGAAGAGAGTGAGTGGTCGTTTGCGCATGAAGATGGAAGTCTGTGTACCGAGGGCGTCGGGTTGACGGCGCCGTACTCTCGGGATGCGTTTGAACAAAAGGCGTCGAGCGCATACGAGGGCATGTTCCTGTCAAACTAGCATCAGAGAAACAATCATGGACGTTGGGAGAACGGACGCACCATCCTGGCGTCCCCAACTTCCCAGTGCAACAGAACACAACGTCAGGCGCGACGGCGGGCAGCCTCTCAATCGGGACTGCGATGTCAATGATCAGCTCACTGCCTTGCGCAACTTGCACGGCGCAAAGGTTACAAGACTCTCAGAGCACTCACGAGCATCAGCGACCGGCCAACCCGCGGGCGCACTGGCATCCCCATGCTCGTGCGTCTGGAGCACATCGTCGGGGCATCTGCGCGCGTAGTGGTCTGCCCATTCGGGGCGCGTGCGCGAGGCGACAGCGACAGCGAGCGGCGCGAGCCGGCGCGCTTGGATCCAGGTGGAGGGGAGGATAGTGAGCTCTGGTGATGTCGACGATGTGTTAGCACGGTTGTCACGATATAGGGGTACGCATTTTCACGATAGATTACACAGAAAAGAAAGACATCACTCACCCTCGAACAGCATATGCAGCGCCCACATCGCCGAGGCCAGCACGGCCGGCCCGACCTCCTCTGGCTCCGCCATCGACACCTCCTGCAACGGCCCCCGCGGCGCGTCTCCCACCGGCCCTACCGAGGGCATCGCGTTCACCTTCCCCGGCCGCTTGAGGCCGCGCAGGGCAGGGTCTTCTCGGAATCGCGACGCGGAGGGCGAGAGGGCGAGCGCGTGGAACGCAGATGCGCGGCGGGGGAGGCCAGCGTCCACCCTCGCGGGCACGTCCGCGCGCTCCTTCGAGGGCGGCGGGATCCCGAGCGTGGCGCAGAAGACGGCGCAGAGCGCGGGGAACTCGGACTCGGTGCGCGGGAGGCCGGAGGAATCGGGCGCAGGATCCTCTGCGTCCGACACTGCCGGGAAACCGCCGCGCGCGCCACCAAAGATCTTCCCCGCCCACTGCGCGTAGATGCGCCAGGCAAGGTCAGCGGGAAGCGCGAGGCTGAGCGCGTGGAAGAGGCGGCGCGTCAGGGCGCAGCGCGGGGCGAGGCGTGGGCGGAGGGGCGTGCGGGTGAGGGTGGGTGGGCGCGCAGGGCGGTTTGCGATCACAGTCCTTCCCGCCGCAGTCGAGGCCGATGCGCGCGATACACCCGTCGTCGAAATCCCAAACGCAGCCCGGATGAGCGATGCGTGCGCGTCGGGGGTGGGCCCGGGCCCGATGGATAGCGAGCCTGGGAGCGAGGGCGGTACGGGGTTGAAGAGCGAGTCGTCCGGCCGGGTGCCGAGGACAAGGGGCGGGGGTGGTGCAGTGAGGTCTAGGATGAGAGGGTCAGTCGCAAATTTCAAGGCATTAAGAAAGCGAGCTTTTGGAAGAAAACGATAGAGGGGGATAATGGAACGGCCCAACTCACCATTCGTCGCCCATACCAAATTGATCCCGCCCTGGAAGTCGGGCTCAACGCCGATGAGGCGCTTCGTTGATTGTGCCGCCGCACTGTCCCCATGCATCGACGGGCCTGCTCCATACGTCGGCGGGTCGACATCCATCGCATCGGGATCAGGGGGCGTACCGGAGTCAAGAGCGTCTTGAAAGACAGTCAGCGTCAGCATCCTACTCTCTTGTACAGAAAACACAATGAAAACGCACCACCTCCCAAATACACCTCCCCACCGACCACGACGCCCACGTCGAGCGCCTGCCTCGGCCCGCGCAGGATGCGCAGCCGCCCGTCCGCGGTGACGAGCGCGAGGTCGTGCACGCGGCCCTCGTCGCCGCCCTCCATCGCGCGCGCGGGCGCGGGTTCGTGCGCGGAGGCTGTGGGTGGGGATGTGCGTTAGCGATGAGCTACTGTCGCTGTTGCTATAGCCACTGTCGTTTGGACACTCTTACCTTGTAGCATGGACCCCGCGCGAGAAGTGGACCGGGAGCGTGTGCCGGACTCGACGCCCCGGCTCGGATCCCCGCCGTACACCGCCCAGCCCGCGCTCGGCACCTCGAGCGCCATGCCCGCCGTGCCGGGCAGCGTGGCCGCAGACATCTCGGGGAACGCGGGGGAGGGGCCGGCGTTGTAGTCAGCGCTCGACGGGTGGAGGGTAGAACCAGACGCGTTGGGATCATCGCCCTCTGCCGTGGTAAGGGAGAGCTCGGGAACGGGGCCAGCGCTCGTGCCCCAAGAGGAGGCGCCGATGGTTCGGTCTGCGTTGATGCTCGATGAAGCGTCCGCGCTCGACGAGATGTTCGCGCTCAACGAGGCATACGCGCTTGAACCGATCGTCGTATCGCCATCCCTATCCCTCGTCGTGTCGCCATCCCGCATCGAAACGAACGAGCTCTCCGCGCTCGGCGGCACCATCTGCGTGGCCGTCGGCGCGGGCTGGGGGGCAGCCGTCGGGTTCGGGATGTAGGAGAGCGCGGGCGGGTCTGGGAGGGGTGGGGTCAGTCGGGGTGGATTTCTGGGTTATATGGGGGTTCTGCCTCGTTTTCATTTGGGAGAGTTCATAGTCGCAGGCGAAGAAGAAGGGGAGAAAGAAGGACACAGAAAAGAAGGAAAATAAAGAACGACCACTCACCACCCTCAGCCCCCGCGCGCGTCGCGCGCACGGGCGCGACGCTGATCCCGGGGAGTGTGGCGATGAGCGTGGCGGTGAGGAGGGTTTTCTTCGATTTAGGCGACTTGTTCGCGTTCTTTCCTGTTCCCTTGTTTTGGGCAGACTTGGAGGACTTGCTGGAGACGTTGGACTTGCTGGAGACGTCGGTGGCGGCCGATTGCACCGAGCTGGCGGCGGAGAGGGCTTTGGGTGCGGAGCGGGTCGGTGGAACGGCGAGCCCGCCAGCTGCAGGGAGGGCGCCGCGCGGAGGAACGGGCCCAGGCGTCGGCGTCGCAGATCCAGATCCTGCTAGCGGCGTCGGCGTGCCCGAGGAGGAGCGCGAGGTAGCGAGGAAGGGGTTCGAGGGGTCGACGAAGGGGTTGAGGGAGCCTTCTCTCGAGGTCGAGGTCGAAGCCGCGGAGGACGATCCAGGAGCCAATGACGAGGACGATCCAGCTGTCAAGAACGGATTATGCCGTCCCGCCTTCGAAGGGTCGAGGAACGGGTTCGGCGTGTCCTCGCGTTCGAGTTTGATCCCTTTCCCGTCCCTCGCACCCTTGCCTTTCCCATCCCCATCCTCCTTATCCTTCAACCCCCCATCCCCCGCACCCTTGCCCTCCTCTCCACCTTCCACCTCCGCACCCACCCGCATCACCCACACCGTCCCGCGGCTCCGGGACGCGATCGCGACGAGCGCGCGCGGCGGCGTGGTCGGTCCTGGGGAGGGGGAGTCAGTCGTTGGGAGGGGGGTTGGGGGGAGAGGGTGAGGAGGGAAGGAGGGGTGAAGGGGGGGTGAGGGAAGGGAAGGAGGAAAGGTGGAGAGAGACCATTAGATAGTCCAAGGAGGACGGAAACCACTAGATGGTCGAAGGAGGACGTAAACCGAGCTCGAAAACTCACCCTCACTCCGCACATCGAACAGCGCAGCGCTGATGTCGGGCACCCCGGGCACAGCGGCGGGCGCGTGAGGCGGTGGCGGGCTGGGAGGGGGCGTGTCAGTAGGGAGTTAGGAGAGAGCAGGATGTTAGTGGCGAATGGGAGGGGAGGGTGTCAGTCTGTCATACGTCTCGCTCTGTTCGAACGATCCATCGTCTCGCTCCTCCGCCTTGTCCAGCTTCGCCGAGGGGGGCCTCCTTCGCACGCTCCCAATCTCCTCCAACCTCTCGTTTCACCCCGACCCCCCTCAAACCTCCCCTCTCCAACCCTCCTCCTTTCACCCCCCTCTCTCCCCTTAAGCCTCTCCCAACTCACCACCCAACCTATCCTCCCTCTCCAACCCCTCTCCTCCTCCCAAACAAAAAAAAAAAAAACAAAAAACACACAAAACAACCCAACACAAAAACAACCAATCACTCACCCAACCTCGATCCTCCCCACGCGCTCGACCCACACGTGCGCGCTCACCCGGTCGTTGTGCCGCAGCGGCGGGAGCGGGAGGCGGGAGGGGGCTAGGGGGAGAGGGGGTTAGTGTTGTGTCGTTATTATGGGGGGTTAGTTTTGATGTTATTATTGGCGGGGAGGGGGGTGGGGGTTGGAAGAAAAGTGATGTTGGGGGGGGGGGCGGTGAGAAGAAAGTGATGGTGGAAGAAGGGATGGTGGGGGGAGGGTTAGAGGGGAGAGGAAGGTGGGAAGAGGGGGAGGGAGGGGAGGACGGTAGTGGGTGGGTTGATGGGAACAATCAAACAACCCCAAAAAGCAAACAATCAAACCCAAAAAACCTAACAAAAAACAAGCCAACACGACACTCACAAGGTCCCAGCGCGGGCGCGCCCCCGCCCCCGTCCTCGTCGTCCTCGGCGGATAGGGGGTTCGTGTCTGGGTAGGGGGGTTAGTTGGGGTGGGTGAGGGGAGGGCAGGGGGAAAGGGAGGGTGGGTGGGGGGAAAGGGAGGGTGGGTGGGGAGGGAGGGGTGATGGGGGGAAGGAGGGGTGATGGGGGGAAGGAGGTTGGGGAGGAGGGGAAGAGGGTGGTGGGGAGAAGGGGGCGAGGGTGAGTGGGGAGATGAGGGGGAGAAGGAGGAGGCGCACGCTCGCTCGACGCAGCGGCCTCGAAGCGTTCGAGCGACACCCGCGTCTGAGGCGCCGGCCTTCGTGGCGAAAGGACTAGGTGGCGAAAGGACTCGGTGAAAAAAGGACCAGGAGGTGAACGAGGAGGCGAACGAGGCAAACGATGCGAACGAGGGACACAGCACGATCCCAGATGAATCATTCCACTCACCGCCACCTTCCCCCACAGTCCCGCCGAGCGCGAGCCGATCGACGGCCGCGGCGAGGTCCGCGCTCGGGACGCGGCGTTTCGAGGCTGGGGGATGACGTGTTAGTAGGGAGTAGTTTTAGCGGAGGGGGGGTGAAGGGCGAGGGAGTAGTGGAGTGGGGGAGCAGGGGAGTGGGGAAGGGGACAGAGAGGGAAGGGAGCAGGAGGTGAGGGGCGAAGGGGGCCGAGGGGTGGGTGAAGGGGGAAGGGGGAGGGTGTGTTACCCCTTCTATCGTACACGATGGAGGACGGTGAAAAGGAAAGAGAGACAGAAGGGCAGCAAGAAAATAAAGAATCACTCACCCGCACCGCTGGCCGTGCCCGGCGCCTGTTTGGATCTGGGGGGAGGGGTGGCGTTAGTACGAGGTATGGGTGTAGAGGGACGGTTGGGGTAGGGTATGGGTGGGGGTGAGGTATGGGTGGGGGTGAGATGAAAGGTGGGGGTGAGATGAAAGGTGGGGGGAGTAACGGTTGGGTGTAGAGGGTGGGAGGAGGAGGGGGTGAGGAGGGTGGGAAGGTAGGAGGGTCAGAGGGTCGAAAAAACGAGAAAGGGACGAGCGGCCGGCGTTAGTGAAAGTGGTGATGGGAAACACGGTAAAGGGAGGGGCACGAGACGCGAGAGAGGCACGAGTCGAAGTGAAGCGAGGAGGAGAGGGCATGAGGCGAAGTGAAGCGAGGTGGAGAGCAGAAGTAGGCACGGAGTGAAGGGAGGAAGCGAAGTGAAGGCAGGAAGCGAGGAGGAGAGGGCACGAGGCGAAGTGAAGCGAGGAGGAGAGGGCACGAGTCGAAGTGCAGCGGAGGAGAGCAGAAGTAGGCACACAGTGAAGGGAGGAAGCGAAGTGAAGGGAGGAAGCGAGGAGAAGGGAGGAAGGGGAGGAGGAGAGCATAAGTAGAAACACCCAAAAAGAACAAAACGACACCCAAAGCCTCTCACGCACCTCTCCGCAGCCTCCATCATCGCGGCCATCGTGAGCGGCGTGTCCGTGGGGGGCGGGTGAGGGGGGGTCGTTTTGGTGGTGGAGGGTGGGGTTTTGGTGGTCGAGGGTGGTGGTTTGGTGGTAGAGGGGGGTTTGGTTGCGGCGCTCGCGCGACGAGTTTGGGGCTTGTCGATGGGGGCGGGCGCTTGAGCGGAGCTCGCGCGTCGCGTGGTCGGCCTGTCGGCGGCTGCGCCACCACCCGAGCTCACGCCAGAGGGAGGCTTCATGGCGGCGCTCGCCCGACGCGTGGTCGGCCTTGCCGGGGCGCTTGGGTCTTGCGTCGTCGGAGGGGGACGCCCTTCGCCGCCGCCTGCGCTAGCGGGTGCGGCAGCCACCTCGCCAGGCCCACCCTCTGCGCCCGTGCCAGTGGCGGGGGTGTTCTCTGCTGCAATCCCGTTATCAGGCTCGGGACTATCGTCATACGACTCGCCCTCCCCCACCCCCCACACGCCGCGCACCTCGAGCCCGCCGCGCTCGGGCACGCACGCGTAGCGGTAGAGCGTGAGCGTTGTCTGTAGGTGTGTGGTGTTGCTATTACCACTGCGTTCATGCGAGCTGGGCGGGGCTGCATGACTCGAGCTGGGCGTGGTGGTCGGATAGGAGCCAGGAGCGTCGGTCGACGAGCTAGGGCCGCCATTCGACGGAGCGAGGCCGGTAGTCGAAGAGCCGCCAGCGCCAGCGCCCGTCGACGAACCGCCACCACCTTGATCGCCGGTCCTCACCCGCCTCGTATGACTCGTGACCCGCCTCGTGTAGCTCGTGAGCAGGAGCGGGTGCGCGGCTGGGTTGGGGTGTTAGTGGGTTTGTTTTGATGGGGAGAATTGGGGAGAGGAGAGATGGGTGAAAGGGTGGTGGGGATAGGAAGGGAAGGGGGGAAGGGAAATGGCAAACGGAACGGGATAGCAGACGAAACGAAAAAAAAGACGAATCAAAGTAACGGATGAAAAAATTCAAAAAGAAAAAACCGCTCCTACTCACCATCCTCGCTCACCCACACGACCGTCTCGAGCGCGGGGAGGGGGCTGCCGTGGGGGGTTGAGTCGTCGGTGTGAGCTTCTTGAATGGTGGAGTTGGGCGAGTCTTCATCTTCGTTGGTTCCTCTGGCGTGGTCGGTGGGGTCGGTGCCACGGGCGTGGTCGCCAGGGCCCTTCGACGCGCTGCCTTCGGCGGAGTCGCCAGAACCACCCTTGCCGATGCTATCGTCCCCGAGGCCATCCTTAGAGGACTCCCCATCAACATGCTCTACCCCGTCGACAAGTCCTGCTATCCTCCCCCTCCCCGCCCTCGCGACGACGCCGGGCTCGGCGGTGGGCGCGGTGATGGAGAAGAGCGTGGGGAGGAGGGCGTCTGGTGAGGTGGGGTCTGTTAGGTGGAGTTAGTTTTCTGTAAGGTTTGCGGGAGGCAGAGGGGAGGCAGAGAGGGTAGGCAGAGAGAGGGTAGGAGGGGGAAGTGGGAGATTTGTGAAGTAGGACAGAGTCCTACCCCCTAGCGGGGGGGAGGGGAGGTTTGTGAAGTAGGACAGAGTCCTGCCCCCTAGCGGGGGAGAGAGGGACGAAGGGGGACGGAGGGGGGTGGGGAAGGGACGAAGGGGGTGGGAGGTAGGTGGGGATTGTGTGTATGTTGATTTAAAGATAGAAGCAAGGGAGGTGGGTGGGGGACAGGGACGAAGGGGGAGGGGGGTGGGGATAGGGACGAAGGGGGGTGGGGATAGGGACGAAGGGGGGTGGGGATAGGGACGAAGGGGGGTGGGGATAGGGACGAAGGGGGGTGGGGGGTGGGAGGGGGGTGGGTGGGGGTGTATGTTGATTAAAGATAGAAGCAAGGGGGAGGGGGGTGGGGGAAGAAGGGACGAAGGGGGAGGCGAGTGGGGATTGTGTGTATGTTAATTGATGATAGAAGCAAGGGGGAGGGGGGTGGGGATTGTGTGTATTTTTATTGAAGATAGAAGCAAGGGAGGGGGAAGGGGGGTGGGGGATAGGGACGAAGGGGGAGGGGGGTGGGGATTGTGTGTATGTTAATTGAAGATAGAAGCAAAGGAAAGACAGAAGACAAGAGGGAGGGGAGGGGGAAGGGGGTGCTCACCTTCGTCGACTTGAGCTTGGTTTGGTGGACCACCGACGGCACCTCCACGATCTACCCCTAGGCCGGCTGTCGGGTCGCCACCCACAATTGGATCAACCAAGTCCTCCCGTAACGTCGGATCGACCAAATCCTCCCGTAACGTCGGATCCATTACGTCCACCACCTCCCCCGGATCCAACCCACCCACCTCCTCCGGATCCAGCGCGCGCTGCACGAGCACGCCGGCGGGGAAGATGGGCCACGCGGCGCGGACGGAGACGGGGAGGGCGGACAGTTGGAGCGCGGGTGGGGGGGTGAGGGAGGGGGAGGGGGTGGTGGGGGTAGAGTTAGAGGGGGTGGGGGAGGAGAGGGTTGAGTTTATCCCGGGCGAAGGGCTGACGCCCCCACTGGCGTGGGTGGATCCGCTAGTCGATGTGTGGACGCCCCCACTGGTGGGTGTTGAGGACCCTGGTGCGTAGGACCCGCTGGCGCCCGAAGAGGATGCAGACGCGTGCGCTCCAGCAGACGGGAAGGCAGACGCGTGCGCTCCCGCGGACGGAAACGCAGACGTCGCGGGCGCGCTGAGATGGTCGAGCGTGTAGAGGAGCGTCTGGCCGCGGAGGAAGACGTAGAGGGCGGGGACGATGGTGGTGTGGGTGTGGATGGGGGGCGGGTGGGTGGCGGAGGTGGATGAGGGTTTGGCGGAGGGCTTGTGAGACGAGGGGTTGGCGGAGGGGTCTTGCTTAGTGGTCGAGGAGTGGGTGCCTGTGGTAGATGAGGACTGAGCGGAGGGCGTAGAGCGGCCTAGGGTGGCGGTTAGTGAGGGTGGAAGGGAGGGCGGGGAGAGAGGAGGGAGGGAGGTTGGGTGGCGATGGCGCATACGCGCGCGGATAGCGCATCGACGCGTCTAATGAGGAGATGGACGCGTCGGATCGAGGTATGGACGGGCGACTCACCATCGCGGGAGACAAACTGGCCGTCGTCGCGCAGGAGCGGCTCGCGTCCGGCGCGCCCAAACGGGCCAAAGGTCTCGCGCGGGGCGTGCGGGGTGGGTGCGGTAGTCGGGTAGCGGGCCTGGGCGCGCGAGCCGGACCAGGGGTGCGGGTCGGTGAGGTTGACGCGCGCGTAGGCGAGCACGGCGCACTCGATGCGCTGGTCGTGGGGCGAGCCGACGCGGTGGCCGGCAAAGTCAAAGAGGTGGCGGAGGCCGCCGGCGTGGGAGAGGGCGAGGCGGGTGGGCGTGTAGTCGATGCGCGTGCCGGTGTGCGGGGAGGTGTGGGTGCGGATGGCGGTGGGCGACGCGGGCAGTGGCTCGCCGAGCGCGGCGCGGATGGCGTTGTTGAGCGCCGTGGGCGGGAACAGCCGTGGCTTTTGGGCCGGCGGCGTGAGGTGCTTGGTTGCAGGCAGACGATCGGGTGGCTCGGCGTCGACCAGGATCGCAGACGACATCGCGGATTGGGTCAACAACACGCTCAAGACGCGTTCAAAGGACGCGCACGCCGGGCCGCACTTCCGAACGCCATCCGATCGCGTCCTCGTCTCCCTTCGCCCGCCATCGTCCTTGACAGCTGACGCGCGCGACGTCATGGCCGGCCCTGCTGCCACCTCATCCTCCCGAACACGGCTGGAAAACTTCCCCAACCTGCGTGTCGCGCGCGTAGGCTTCGTCTGTACAGCATACATATACCCCAGCCGCCGCCGCCTTGCGTTGTCCCACCGTGACACGTCCAAGTACGACTCGCATGCAATTGCTGACCACGATCCCGTTAATGATCGTCCTCCACGCCATGGCTGTCACTGCCGATGCCCCTTCGTGCCCTCAGCCGCTAGTCCTCGAGCCTGCTCAACACGAGCGCGCATAAGCTCTTGCTATGCCAAACTCGCACCCACATCCTCCCAATTGGACCGCAAGTTTCATTCGATCGCTCGACACTGTATCCTTCCCCTCGCACCGGTCAAAGGTTCCTTGCATCGTGCACAAAATGACCTCTCACCCACGCCATTTCTTCCTTGCCCTCGCCTTCCCTCCACTCCTTTGTCTACCTCCAGTCCATGATCCTTGACAGCTGCCGCACGCGATGTGATCTCTTCCTCTCACGTGCTCCCTCGTATAGTGGGTGCACGTTTGCGTTGAACCCTCAGAATATTTCTGCACGCGCCATGACACATGACCAACAGGTCATGACCAGAGCTTCCTTGTGTCCCCGACGTCTCTTCCTCGCGTACCCATTGTCTCTCCCTATCACGAAAACCTGTTCATTCTTACAAAGGCACATTGGCCTAGTGGTTATAGCACTGCTATCAAAAATGGGAGGTTTGGGGTTCAAACCCAGGTTTGGGCCCCTGGTCTCTGGCCACTCTAATCAGCCAGATCAGCACTTAGCTCAAATTTGCTGTTGTGTGCCAGTACCGACTGTGATTCCCTTGGTTTGAGCAGTGCTTGATCTCTTAGATTGAGCAGCAATCAATGTATAGGACAAGGTATAGGAGACTCCTACCTTGTGCCTCAGCTATGCTCAAACGGAGTGAATCGCAGCTGGTACTGGTGCACAACAGGCGGGTTTGAGTCAGGGTGCTGATCTGGCTGATTGGAGTGTTCAAAGAACAGAAGTTCATATTCTGTTTGAGTATCAAAGTACCACCTCTGGTGGAACCCATGATGCATCACCTACCTATGCTATAGTGCATTCTGTTGCATCCTTTCACTATGAACTATAGACTATGAACTATAGCGCATGATGCATCATGCGATACAACATCCCGCTACAAAACCACCTATACTACAGGTGGTGGTGGGCACCCAAGGGTCGGAGCCGAGCTATGATGGGAACAGCACGTGGTTATCGCCGAAAAAACGATGAACTCGACGATACCTCTTGCCACTGAACAAAATGCAGCACGAGTACTCATTAAAGCGATTGGCACTGACCAGATGTAGACTTCCTTGGTTTGTGCTGTAACGTCCTCTTCTCAAGATCCCTCTATAAATTTCTTGCATCGCTGTCAAACTCAGGTATAGCGCTGGTCCAGTGAATTCACTTGCTGACCCAAGGCCCTATTGGGTGAGCGATGGGGAGCAACGTCCTTGGATATTGAGTGCCTTCATGCCCGCTGTTGAGACTTATCGTGCACACAAGCACGCTGTGCCCTGACGTTGTTCCCGTTGTACCAGCTATCCCGTGTGCCGTTCTGGTCTAGTTAACGACTGAGATGCTCAGAGCCATCTCTTTGAGGGAAGACATCGGACTTACCGCTGCACTAGTCGAACATGAAGGGTTCGGGAGAGGTCACGTGTCGTTAAATCTGCTTCTGTACGACATGGTCATTCACTATGAGAGTTCCAATCCTAGTGTATCAGTGGCAAGAACGAATGTGTAGCACTCGCTGGTGGTATAAACCATGCAGAAAGGGATGCATGAGTGGGCAGAGGATAGGATTGATGCGACTGATTAGATAGTTTGGGCCCATATCCCACTGAGAACTTGCACTAGCCGCGTCAAACTGAGAGACTACATAGTAGACATGTACTTGATTTACATGGGATTTAATGCAAGGATTTCAACAAGGTTGTGGCCTCCGACGTCCGGGTTCATGTTTTTGTCGGCGATAGCCACGTGCTGTTCCCATCACAGCTCGGCTCCGACCCTCGGGTGCCCACCACCACTACAGGCGTCTCGGTCAATGCCGAGCAGGCTATTGCCGTCATCGTCGTTGTCCTGCCGCCCACTCCCTGTGTGGCTCTCACCTCTTTGGCTAGCGTGAGAAACGGGCTGTCAGGCGGAAGAGGGAGGAGAATTCTGAGTATATTTGAGTATTGTAGCATATATATATATATATAATATTTGGGCATATTGTGTGCAGCACTCGTCAAGTCTGTCTGACTTCAGGCCAAGTCAGGAACTGCTGCGCGCTGTAACACTACTGTTACATACATCTTACTTACAGCACATATCTGCGGCATACTGCCGCTTGGCCTCACGTGACTGTTACCTACTGATACTTATAGTCACTTGCGTAACATCTAGCGTACCTTTCTTCTTTCTATTGTACTCTCACGCTTCAGAACACAACAATTTCCTGTTCTTCTTCGTCTGAGTTCTCTGAGTGCTTTCTAGTGTCCGACGCGACCACGGTTGTGTTACACGCGCACAGCCAGGTTCCTCAGACATGCCAAAAGATACGAGGGCCATTTCTGACTATTCTGTTGTACAATATAGTCGCTGTTGGTTCTCGAACACACTCAAGATGGATAATCCTTTTTGACAGGTAGGGAGGTCGCGGATAGCAGGAGCGTTGGCGATGGATGATCGAAAATGACCCAGCAGTCAGATGGCAGCAGCAAGGAGGGAAGGCAAGCGACAGACCCGGTACAAAGCCCCGGGCAGGGCCTCAGAGGCCCCCCTCAGCGGCAAGCTGAAGGGGCTGGCGCGCCCAGCGGCGACGCCAAACACAGACACAAACCGAAGGCAACAACGCACGGACTAAAGAGTGTATAAGTGTGACTACTTGGCATATAAGGCGTGAACGCGTGATGTGACTGAGTGACTGCTAGAGTCGAGCTGTACAGAACAATAACCAACTCGTGACAAATCCGGAGTTCAGTGGGCTGAGTCAGCATGCATCACAACACTACCCCCTTGTTAGCCCTTTCACTCCGGTGAAAGAAGACAAGTAAACCCCAGTATAGTACAAGAGAAAACCCAAAGAATTCAAACAAGACATAAGTACAGTAGTAGAGAAATCATCGCGATATAAGTACAAGGAAAGAGACACGCAAAATATAAGTACAATTGAATATCGAGTCGTGGGAATGCTGCACTGTATGCGGCACAGTGTGACTGTGTGACGTCCAAATACTTCCTGTCTTCAGCAACAACTGCTTATAAACCTCCCCTTCTTGTCGCGACGTTGGAGGTCATCAGAGGCATGCCAGAGCGAGCTGTCAAAGCCGGCGCAAGGAAGATAATGTCGAAGGCGCTCCCCGTTGTAGAGGTTCTGCAGGATATGGCTGTTTTGTGTTCGCAACTGGTACGTGTTCTTGTCAGTAACATTATGAACTAGTAAACTGGCCGTTCGGCATATACGAGACCTGCGAGTGGGCAGTAGCCAGAAAAAGCCGAGTGCGGAATGAGCCAGTCGCGTGCATTATCTGCACAGGCCTTGGGTATGGCAACGCTCGTACGCAGATCACGCGGGACGCGCATCGCGCGTGGGAGCGATCAGCCCCTCGCTCGTCGAGTACGCGTCCGGACGTGTCACGTGGGATGAGAATTGGATGGCCAGAAGACAGGTACGTGCTGTATAGCGAGCGCAGGGGCGGTCAGCTGAGGGGAGAGGGGAAGGTAAACGGTGAGGGAGAGGCAGCGTAAAGGGCGTGCCGCGGGGGGAAGTGAAGAGGTGGGAGGGGAGCGATGGCGAGGGTGCTTTCCGACGCGGTTGAGGGAGAGACGGCGCACTTTCGCCGTTGCCGAGCAGCATGCCGCTGCTCAGGCCGCAACTACCACACTAATACACCCTGCATATACCCACCTACGCATATCACGCGCAGAGAACCGCTCATGCCAGAATCGGTTGTGGTCTGCGAGTGGGCCGCGAGGGGGAGATGAGGTGTGGGGATGGAAGTGCACGCAGCAAAGTCGCAGGAGGGCGAGACTGTCACTCGCCTGACCGCAGATCGCGCAAGGATGCTCGAGACGCTATTCACGCCTCAAGAGATCTCCATCCGCCTTCAGACCACTTCTGAGCGCGGATATGGCAGGTGCAAGGTGCCCAACGGTGGCCTTGCATGTGCCGCCGTGTCATCGATGTAGGCACCCGCGCGCCATCGGAGACGCGTGTCAAGTGTTAGCAAAGACCATTGTAGCTGGAGAGGGTGTAATCACGCACCTCCCCTGTCTCCTTGCGCCAGTCGTGTCACTGTGATCGTCAAATGAACCGAGCGGTGTAAAAGTCAAGGATACCATCTCAAAGAAGTTCGAAAGGGAAAGGGGTAGGAATGTTGAGAGACGAGGAGGGGGGAGGAGGAAGGACCACCTTATGCTGTACCCCAGATTTAAATTTAATTGATAGTTTACATATACCTTATTTGAATCCTAGCGTAGGGCCTTCGAGGCCGGCAATTCCCGTGAACCGCCTTGCGAGCTGAGCTGCCAGCCCCGGGCGATGCCCTTATAGGGCAGCACGGCCGCGACGCGCCGCGCGCGCGGCCTGCGCGCGCTCGGGCGGCTCGTGTGACGCGCTGATGCGACGCGCTCAGGTCACGTGCACCCGCTCGACGCGTCGTCGGCGCGTCGCGCGGCGGCGCGGCAGGCGCCTCGAGCACGAGAACATGGAAGAATATAGTAGTATATAGGTATAGATAACATATTCAGGTATAAAGAAAGGGAAGGGAGCGAGGGGACTGCGGAAAAAGTGAAAAAAGGCGCGAGCAAAATTTTCACTCGCGCCGATCGCGCTCCTGCCGCGCGCGTGAGGGAAAGGGAGCGGGTAAGGGAAAGGAGCCTCGCCCCGAGCTACGCGCGCGCATTCGCGTCGAAAGACGCGTCCGCCGCGACCGCGTAGCAGCGCGGGGAAGGGGAGCGGGAGGG